AGTGGAACCCAAAACAATGTTTGTTAAAGTTTTTGTATGTTTGTCGTTTTATCTGTTTGTTTGTGCGCGCTAATCTCAGAAACTGCTTAACCGATTTGGTTGCAACTTTCACTAATGCATTGTAGTAAGCTTCACTTAACATTTAATGTTAGTTTTATTTAAATCGGTTCATAAATAAAAAAAGTAACATTAACTTAAAGAACCACATTGAAGATTTATGTGATAGATACAGTCCAATTGGATTAAACTATATTTAACATATATGTTATGGTCTGTAAAATTATGATACTTCTGAATTTATATAAAGATAAAAAAATCGCCCAAATGCAAGTGGAACTCGCGCACGAAGGGTTCCGTAGATACTTTACAAGCACGATATAAAATGTAGTACAGGCGGGCTAAGCGGGAAAAGCTAGTAATCAATATGATGGGGACCCTCTATTTATGTACATACACAAAACACCCTTAGTGTATAATGAGAAAAAGAAGTCTTTGTGCATAAATCGCAATCTACCGTTATTTTCCCTCACTTATGGCCTCATGCTTCCACAGAGCGTGAAATTCATTTTTTTTTAATTCTCAACTATGCTGTTTCCTCGCAAAGTTTTACTTCACAAAGGCTAAGCATGATAAAAACGTACACCGGTTTTGTAAAACTACGACCACAATTATATCCAGTGAGTACGCATTACTCACACACTGAGTGAGTCTGCATGAGTAATTAAGAGCCATTAATTGCTAGCTTTCAGTGGCGACAAAAAATCCCGGGTTCGAATCCCAGGGTCATTCATCCATACCCTTCAGTTATTTTTATTTTGAGTTGGAAAATGAGAAAGATATGCGCCCATTGTAAAAAGAATTTTGGAGAGCTAAAAGCTAGATCGTTCATGTGTAGAATCTAGACTATTGTGACCACGAAATGCCAACATAAATGCTCACAAATACGTTTTTAGTTATGAACACTAAGGTTATAAAATGTTTATCATTCGTGTTTATAAGTATATTTTAATATCTGTCAAAACGACACGACCGGTTGGTTTATTAACGTTTTCGTCAGCTGAAAAACACTTCGACGTTTATTAAGATCGCATCGCTACTGACTTTAATACAAATTACTTGAAAGCTATTAACATGTTAAAATTCTACCTTTGTAGCCCTCCTACTCTCTGTTACCGAATTATTCTTATATTCGAATAAATATTTCCAGAAACACAGCGTTTTTCATTCGGTAAATTTAACTGTTGATAGATTTTTTTACAGTTGTTTCGTTAATTGACACTTTACAACTTTTCTCCATTTGCGTTGTGGTAGGGCTACGCAAGTCTTTGGTGTTGCGTGCATGGACTGCCTCGTCTGGGGAAGCACAGTGACCTCGCAGAAGACCGACATGAAGTGGAAGTATTACTATGATCATCACTTAACATCAAGTAAACAACCAGTACGCTTAATCGTCTTACAAAAAAAGGTGTAGTTATACACTGCACTGGAGCCTGTATCCAACTCCAATATTCCAATGACTAAAGCTCTTCCAAGCAGATGAAGCTAGGGCAAATCTCATTATACGGCCCACCGATCCCTTGGGTAGAGAAGGTCAAGAACCTAGGAGTTACTTTGGACTCCGGAACGACATTCGCAACTCATATTAGGAACATATGAAACAAAGCCGCTTCATTTTGGACCGGCTCTATAACTTAACTAGCCCCTTAAGTAAAATGCCGTTAAGACACAAACTTGTGTGATACAACGCTTACGTACGACCCGTAATTTCCTACGCTTGTATGTCCGTTGCTCATGTAAGTCAAAAATCTGCATAAACTTCAAGTAATTCAAAATAAGTTTATCCGCCTCGCTATCGGCGCAACATGGACCAGCAAAGCAATTCTATACTAAAGAGATGAACAGCATTATGTGACAAAACACAAATTTTACAGGAGAAGCAAAAATGCGTGAGTGAATCCATGAATGCATTATTGATGATGATGTCCTATATGATTGGATACTTTATTAATTAGGCGTCTATATAGAATTTGTTCTTGCGATTTTAATGGTGTAAGAAAAATAATTTTGAAAATATGGAGTTACTATTGTATGGCTCTTAGGTACAGAATTGAAGACACCTAATGCTACGAACATGTCAACAAGGAAACGGTTCATCGAAAGAGCCGAAAATCTTTCCAGCGCGCAGGATATAAACTGAAAAATTACCAGCCCGACATAAACGTAATCCGGTGGAAGAAAGTGATTTAAATGCGTTGGTCGCACCAGGGGTCCCGCTAGACAACACTATACCCACTCTATGTGCTAGCACACATTACGTATTCGTAGTCGATTACGAGCACGGTAAAACAGACACAACGCGTACAGAAGGTACACCAGCGTTCCAGGGTGGTTCCAGAGCGTTTCTTACCGCCCCCAGCCACCAATTTATACAGTCAATGGTCATATAGGTCACGGTCCGTTTAACTTGCGCGGCCCTACCTAACGCGCAGGACCGTATCAAGTTCGTGCGTTCTCGTTAACCCCAAATGTTAACATTTAATGAAGCTGTAACAATATACGGAGTAAAAGATTTTCGTCGATGTGGCAATCAGCCGATTAGCGCAGTGGCTAAAACGTCAGGCCGCGAATGCCGAAGACGTGTTCGTTTCCCACAGCGGCGACAATCTTTTCGTACTTTTCTACAAATTTTAATCCTTTCCGTCCACCATTTTCAGAATATTACACTTAAATGTCACTGTGGTCATGTTAAATCTTTTGAAAAGATTAGCCTAGTTTTCGCTGTTGTTCGATTAATTTTGTAACCAGTCTTTATACAACTAAAATGTTATAGATATTAAATAATATTAAGTAAAACAAGAATTTGACTGGCTTTGTATCATCACTACGATTACAGAGACAGTAGGACTTAACAAACGAAGGTAAAAATAAAATATACATTACTAAGTTTTTTTAGTTTAGCGATAAAATAATTCGAATTTATTATATCAAATTCCTATAGAAACTGGTTACTTAGTCTCTAAAAGAAATCGTTAAACGTAGGACGAGTATGACACGTGCGTTCCCGCTGAAAGCGGTATTTCTAGTTAAGACACTATTATTGCCAGTGAGCTTCTTGATTATGGAAAGTGAAATCACTATGAAAAGAATATGAAACTCTATCTAATGTAATAATGTGGTTTTTTTTTAATCTAAATATAGGTCCGTTAGATCAACATTAAAGTAGTTTCCTGTAATCCTGGCAGTTTTGAGAGGGTCTTTGGAAGTGGTCCGTTGGTAAAAAATATACGGATTCAGAAGAACACCGTAACTGATTAACTTCGACGATACAATGAAGACGTCTGCTATGCCGCAACTCCATCACCCCTGTTAAAGAAAAATGACCATTCAACCAAAAAGGGGAAGCGCAGCACGATACAAGGACCAAGGATGGAGGTTCAAACCCGGCTTGAACTACAATCAATACTGGAAACTATTCAAAAATAGTAAATTTTCGAAATAAAGCCGTGACTTTGAACAAAAGTAACCCTACATAACTATTCTTTCGAATATCGGCTCTTAAGCCATAGGAAAAAATATTTAATGATTTTTCACATAACAATAAGCACCCCTAGTGCTGCCGTTATAGGCGCTTTCGAAGCTAGTTCAGGCGGAATTTTAAAGTAATTAAAAAGTTAAGCTTTATCGAAATTAATATTAAATTATACCATACTTAATGTTTATAACTATTTCAAAATTATTTACACTGAATGTTTTTTAAACATATTCAAAAAAGGTAATTGAAATTGTATTTACGGCTAAACAGTCCACATGTCCCAATTACAATCTTCCTGATGACGTATGGAGGCAAATTGGAAGTAACGAAAAATGTAAATTAGGGATCGCCGAACGGTATGTGGATATCACAGAGCAATAGCCATCTGGTTCCGAGACTCTCCACACATTTCCAACCGACAACGCAAAGAATGACAATTAGGTTGATGACCATTAAATTATTATTTTGTCTCATTTTTCTTTAGATGATTTAATACGTGAAAAATTAATAAAATACTTAATGCTTTCTCATTTTTATTCAAAAGGTAAACAATCGGTACTTGAAATTACAAAAAAACTATGGTAAACTGAACCTTCTAACCTAATCTATCCGAGTCGGATGGCTGATCGGTTCTGTGACTCATTAAATTAAAAAAAAATCGAACTATCGATACGAATATTACGAGTATGACGTCGCCCGCTTCCTATATTTATCATGTTGGTAGAACTGTGTATTGAGTCTATTGAGTTTTTGAAGTCAAATTAATAAAATGACGGACTTTCTTAGTGAAAATAACAAGTATAAATGTTTTTTTCTCGAAAACTATAACCGATCGGTGAATTCTGCTTGTGGATTAATTCATTAGTGATTTTTTACTATCGTTTTTTTTTAAATTGAATTAAGCCAACGTCTTTTACATTTGCCAAAACTATACCTATAAGTTACTTATCTAACGTTTGATAAAACAAACAATATGTTTATTATAGGGTTGTAATGTGAAACGCATCTATTTACCTCCTAATTGAAAAAAAGCATTATAATATAGTACTTTTTTGAATCATTTGTTTAGTTTGGCGGATCCTACCGTTTTTGTTGAACTGATCTAGTTCCCAACACTCAAACAGATCTAGACTGTAAGCACTGTTTTTGACATTGATAGATGTCAATGTCTTTGTCAAAACTCAAAAACTCAAAACATCAATAATAAATTACTAACAAAGCAGAAACTTAGAAATTGAAAAAATATTTGTTATTGTAGTTGCGAAAATATTTTAAACATAAGATTCGATATTACGTGTTCCTTGAAATATAAAATGGGGCTATCTAGTTAAAATTATGATAAGATAGACGTTTCTAATGAAAAACTTGAAAGTCTGATCTTAGACTTCAATCTTATTTTATGCAACAAAAAATTTAAAAATATTATATTTCAGTTTACTTTAAGTATAATCTAAAACCGTTGGAAACCATGTCAGCTCTTTTAACAGCGGATTGGTTTCAACTAGATTCTTACTACAGGTATTGTATTACAACCATTTATTTTAATTAATAACTTAGTATTTTTAAATAAATTAGTATTTTTCGTTTTTGTAATAGTTTTATATGTACTGAACTAATTACCTTGTTAGAAAAGAATGAAAATATGCCATACTAGCTTTCGCTCGCATTGAAGCTCTTAAATAAATATATCTATCCCCTTTAAGAACCCTTTATAAACCTTTTTTCAATTAAAAAATAGGCTATGTCCTTTCTCAGGCTCTGGACTATCTGTGTACCAAATTTCATTTAAAATGGTTCAGTAGTTTTGGCATGAAAGCAAGACAGACAGACAGAGTTACTTTAGCATTTATAATATTAAGTATGGATAATTGCTAAATTATTAATTTGTTCATTAGATAATGTTATTCACGATTTTATTTTGTATTCACTAGAAAATTCGACCTTTACACAATGGTGTGGTCCATGGACGAAGGATTAGGTAATATGGTTGTAAGTGGTGCTCCATATGGTGGTCCCATAGCTGTAGTAAGAGATAGAAAACAATTTGTAAGAATAGCCACTACTACCAAACCCGTAATAACAATTTACAATTGTGTTGGAAGTGTTATGTCCAAAATATTGGTAAGTATTAGTAGTTTTAACATGTAAAAAATAATTTTATTTTGTTGTATCTCTGAAGATTTATTAAATAATAATAAAGTTATTGTATATTATACAATAATTTCAAATATTATTACAGTGCTACATTGCAAGACAATGTTAATGGTCCTGACTTAACTAACATTGGCCATTATTTAAATATAAATTATTTTCTGTACATAGTGAATCAAATAGATTTTTTTGGTTAATTGTGTTAACTTTATTGTTTAATATGATATATATTTATCTCAGTTGGCTCAACTTAGTTTATCTGTAGAGAAGTTACTCAACTTTCACATATAAATCAGATTATTTTTAGTTCTTTGTTTGAAAAATTGTTTATTAAGTAATATGTAATTATCTATGATTTAAGTTTCATCTTTTCAATATTTAATGTTAACTTATGTCACTGAACCAGTTAATTAATTAAATAAATTCTTTCAAATATAAAACTCATGAACCATTGTACAGGAAAACAGTCATTAACAAAATGATCAGCATGCAATCGGAACATTGCTGGACATACCCTTTCGGAAAGACTCTGTACTCGTGAAAGCCAGTAAAAATTTTCTTATCCAATATAGGTTAAATTTAAGCTCTTATTACGTCAAATAAAACTACCACTGATGCACTAAACTAGACCTGACTAGAGAAGAACCAGCAAGAGACTGCAGTCTTGTTATCCCTTTTTTTTTTTAAAGAATCAAGGACACAATATTATATAAGTACAAAATCAGCAGCAGCCACAGGACTTGCAAGAGTCATTTGCACACATCCTTGTCCTCAATGTAATCATTGACATTATAACAGGCCCTTTCCATTAGGGTAGCTTTTACAAAATGTTTCATAATCAAAAATTTTCAATTATCTGCTATCAGCAACTTATGTTTCAACACGTAATTTGAAGTTTAATGATATTTTATACTTTTATCTATTATTTTCTAGTGGAACAATGGAGTTCTTGTTCACATGGGCTGGTCTGACGGAGAGCAGCTTCTATGTATACAAGAGAGTGGGGATGTTCTCGTTTATGATATGTTTGGCGCTTACCAAAAAACTTTCAGTTTGGGACAAGAAGTCAGAGATACAAAAGTAAGAAAACTGTTTTTTAAACACACACATTTTACTATTATTTGTGATAACAAAATTCTGTGGATGTGCCATTGAAACCAATGAACTTAATGTAACAAGTAAATATTTCTTCTACCAGGTGTCAAAGGCCCAACTTTTTCCCAACCCTCATGGAATAGGACTGGCAGTGATTACAACCACAAACCGCATGTTCCTAGTCAGTAATGTATCCGAGCCTAAAATTAGATCAGTGCCAGATTTACCACGTAAGTAGCACACAGTGTAAAATTCACACATCTGTTCTGTGCTTATTACGTCTGCATCAATTTCAATGTACCTTTTACAATTGTTTGGGCCGAAATTGAAATCTGCGGTGAATTAAACTTTAAAATCCATAAAATATGTTTACTAACAAACAATTTTTACTAGAAATTTCTGATTCTAAGGTATCATTTTTTATGTTCATTATTTGCATGTGATATGTTTGCAACGATAATTTGTATTCTTTTAGGTGCTAATGAACCTATCAGCTCTTGGTGTGTGTTGAGCTCTGGGCAACGGTCTTCTTCGGTGATTGGGTTTCTCGTTTGCAGGGATAAAGAAATCTATAAATGTCAACTTGGCGAATCTAGGGCTGTCCTTATGGTTTGTAAATATTAACTAATCGTAATATAATTTCAGTATTCATCAAACAAATGTACCTGGTTGTTCTGTTATAATGGTTATTGAATTTTATTTCATTTATATGTTAATGAATTACACTCGTGAGGCAACCGTGAACCACCATGTGCGCTTGAGCTCAAAATTTTCTTAGAAACATTCAATCTCGTGCATGACGATCAAGTCGATTTTTTTCACGACTGTATTTAATTCTTACGACGTGTTCACTAATTTCGACTTAGATTACCGACATATTTATTTTTATTTATATTATATTACAAAAATCTCGTATATTAAATTTCAGCGTCCCGAAATTCAGAATCCTTACACGCAGATAGTGACGATAGTGCCATCACAAAATGGCCGCCACGTGGCCTTACTGACGGACTCCGGTTTCCTGTGGATCGGCTCTTCGAACTTCAAGACCAAATACTGTGAGATCGACACGGGATATATTAAACAACCAAAGGAACTGGTATGGTAAGTTTTTTATTTCATGTAAGAAGGTGGCCAGTGCGCTGGCGGTTGATGTTATGTTAAGTGATAACCGCAGCCCATTGACATTTGCAACACCCTTAGGGTTGCTTTGCCACCTTTTAATAAAGTGGGCCCCGGCTACCTCCCTCACCAGACGAAACGCGGAAGAATAATCATTTCCATTTTAAGCAGCTCTTTCGAGAGTTTGTGGTACTTACCCAGGGAAAACTGTTGCGTGGCCCTACCACAGTTGAGATGTATATTGTTACAATTAAAACTAAAAAACGGCATTGTAATTGTTTTACATAAGGCTTACTCTCGCGGACATCGGCTATTCCTAATATAAGTGCTCGTAAAAGGCATATATCCGCCATTACTGGGCATAGGCCTCACTTCTACAGAAGATAATAGGGCATAATCCATCACGCATCCAACTGCACGTTCGAAATATTTCTCCCGTTTCGAAAATATGCAGACATCCTAACGGTGTTTTCCTTCACCGCTGTGCACTTAAAAAGTCAACGCTTAAAATTGCAAGCAACCCTCTTCGGCGCCGCAGCCGGGATGTGAACTCACGTTGCTCGAGTGTACTAAATTAAAAGCGAGCGTCCGATCACAGCTATTCCGCTCTCAAAGAGGTTTTAGTCAATCGCTTTAAAAGAGGGTTAAAACAATCGCCTTAAAAGTGGTTTAAATACATCGCTTTAAAAGAGGTTTAAATCAATCGCTTTAAAAGTGGTTTAAATACACCGCTATAAACGAGGTTTAAATCCATCTCTTCAAAAGAGGTTTAAATCCATCTCTTCAAAAGAGGTTTAAATCCATCTCTTCAAAAGAGGTTTAAATCCATCTCTTCAAAAGAGGTTTAAATCCATCTCTTCAAAAGAGGTTTAAATCCATCTCTTCAAAAGAGGTTTAAATCCATCTCTTCAAAAGAGGTTTAAATCCATCTCTTCAAAAGAGGTTTAAATCCATCGCTTTAAAAGAGGTTTAAATCCATCGCTTTAAAAGAGGTTTAAATCCATCTCTTCAAAAGAGGTTTAAATCCATCTCTTCAAAAGAGGTTTAAATCCATCTCTTCAAAAGAGGTTTAAATCCATCTCTTCAAAAGAGGTTTAAATCCATCGCTTTAAAAGAGGTTTAAATCCATCGCTTTAAAAGAGGTTTAAATCAATCGCTTTAAAAGTGGTTTAAATACACCGCTATAAACGAGGTTTAAATCCATCTCTTCAAAAGAGGTTTAAATCCATCTCTTCAAAAGAGGTTTAAATCCATCTCTTCAAAAGAGGTTTAAATCCATCGCTTGAAAAGAGGTTTTAATCCATCGCTTCAAAAGAGGTTTTAATCTATCGCTTCAAAGGTGCGGCTCTCAGGCAGTCGTGGGCCACTGGGACGACATGATGTGCGTATACGGTTTCAACGACACCGTCGTCTCGTACCCGTACGACGGACCGTTCCACATCATAGCGGAGATGGACTGCGTAAGGGTCATCTCCGAGATGACCCACGAGCTGATACAGAAGGTGCCGCCGGTGGTGGAGAAGATAATGAGGATCAACAGCACCGCGCCCGGCTCCTATCTTGTGGAGGCGTCTAAGCAGTTCCAGGTATTGTGCTTGTTTATTTCTGTCTACATTCTTTCAGCCAGCATCGTCTAGGGATATCGAAAAAATATTGATGTATTTGTTTATATTTTTGATCTTTCTTTTTGATTCTATGTATCGATATATCGGTACAAAGTATTCAATATCGAAAAGCATATCTAAAACGATATTGTGTTCCTATTATTAATATTTTGCGCTCGCGATGGCTGAAGCTTATGGGAGCGTACCCAAATATTAGTTATTCGGTGCAATCACTCTTCATAACAGGTGCATTCCAAAACTTGAGAAGAAAGGTCTGTCGGACTGTAACACTGACACTGGCGTGCAAATATTTTCTTTTAATTTCGGATATCCTATAACTCTTTCATCAAGATTATTCCACTTGTAGATTCTTGATCAACGGAAACTGTAGCTTTTCTACCGGTTCTGTCTAATAAAAATACCTCTGTACTAATAAACATACCTCTGTACTATAGCCATACAAAATAGTAAAAAATCAGAAACACTGTGGGAGGAGGGGAATGGCAGCTAGTGGGTGGAAAATGGTTTATCCACACAACCAGGTCCTCCGCACATCGTCTAGCCGAATCGTGGTACCATGCTTTCGTACTAACGATTGCTTTTGCTTTACCGTGGAAAAGGGTATATCCACACAACATGGCGCTCCACGGATCATTTAGCCGGATAGTGGTAACGTGCTTTTGTTCTTGAAAACTAACTGCCTTTCTTGTTACTGCCTGACTACAACCCGTTGATCGGTACGGAAACTTCCTCATTTAAATATAGATGAATTTATTGTTGTAAGTGTTTAATAATTGTTATCATTAATGTATGTATACATATTATATAATCCTTATATAGCTAGCACCTACACTTCTCTCTCACTAACTTTCGGGTTGGCTGGTAGAAAATGCCTTATGGCATTAAGCGCGCCGTTTGTGCCGGTTAGTACAATAAAGTGTGCAAATAAATAAATAAATAAACCAAACCCGTGGGTTCTGGCTAGCCCACCGGTTCTGCGTCCGATGAAGCTTTAATAGTCTCGGGACTGAAAGCAAAAACATCAGTTAATACAAGATACAAGATACAAATAAATAAATAAACTTCCAGAAGCGAAGCCACCGCGCCGACGAGTACATACGGCTGGTGAGGCCGGAGCTGGCCGCCGCCGTGCAGGACTGCGTGGACGCGGCCGCCTTCGAGTTCGAGCCCGACACGCAGAAGATGCTGATAAGGGCCGCGCAGTTCGGCAAGGGCTTCATCATGGACCCAGTGCTGACGGAGCACTACGTGGGCACGTGCCGCTGGCTGAGGGTCCTGAACGCGATACGGGACCCCAAAGTGGCCATACCGCTCACATTCCTCCAGTATCCTTTGCGAACGCTCAAAGTTGAAACGAATAAAATATCAGGGAGGTCGTGGGTTCGATTACCACACGGGACAACTATTTGTGCGACCCGCAGATAGTTGTTTCGCATCCGGGTGTATGTCCTCGTGCAATTTATCTTTGTAAAACGTCATTACAACACAGGATAATGTCATCCTAAAGTGTGGGCAGTGTTTTTTTTTTTAAAAACTATAGATGTCCCAGTGCTGGGGAAAGGACCTGTGCACAGAGGGTGTTAGGGTAGTCCACCACGCGACCCCACAACGGTTGGGCGGACTTCACATGTGATAGTGAAGAGAAGTGGCAAACGAGCTGGCGGTTCACCTGATTTTAAGTGCCAACCTAGTGATAACCGCCGCCCGTAGACTTTTGCAACACCCATAACCCAAGGCCTAACTAACTCACTCACCAGGCGGAACGCAGAAGTGTAACACTTCTACTTTACGCCGGTCTTCTGTGAGGTCGTGGTACTAACCCGGACGGACCTGCCCATTCGTGCAACAGTGAACACTGTTGCGTGGCCCTACCACAGTTAATATCTTCGAAATGCTTTTCTTTGTTATTATTTTAAAAATATGAAGGTTTCCTCACGATGTTTCCCTTCACCGCTGAGCACGTGATAAATTAACTTACAATTCATAATTTCATTGATGCTGGCACCGGGATTTCAATTCTTGTTGCTCGAGTGTAATGAAAATTTATATGTATAGGCTGTTACTTTACTTAACTTTATTTTACTTCTCGAAAATGTACCTTATCGTAACGCAACAGAGTTCAAAATCTAGGCGAGCGTATATTGTTGGACCGCCTGATATGGCGCCGACTGCATTGCCTAGCGGGCCACATCGCTTCGTACCTCCAGCTGAAGGATGGACAGACTCGCGTTCTCTCTCATTGGGCCTGCTATAAGGTGCGGACCGACGGATCTAACTCTCATTTTTAACTCTCAAGTTTAACCGAAATAGTTAAGCATCCACGTCGCACTGAGCATTTTTAACACGTTGCATTCCGAATTAAAAATGCATCAAATGACCACTGCGTTTAGCAGAACTGTGAGTAAATATGTGTGGTATCTAAGGAGTAACCCACAGTCATATATCGCATGCCTCAATGATGAGAAATGACTCAACATTAATTTACTAATACTTCAACATTAATTTGTGCGTGTGTGTGTGTGTGTGTGTGTGTGTGTGTGTGTGTGTGTGTGTGTGTGTGTGTGTGTGTGTGTGTGTGTGTGTGTGTGTGTGTGTGTGTAAAAAAAGACTAAAAAGAAATCCCGTGCCTGCACTCTTTGTGTAGAGAAAAAACATTAAATACAATTGATAACGGTTTAATTAAATAACTCGGGATTACAGGTAAACGTCATAACGGTGTTATTGGTTGCCATGGTAACGCCATGAAGTACACCAACTTCATGGCGCTTTTAGACGACGCACACCGTAAAGATTCACTCTCATTGTTTTTCCCAAACGCGCCAAAAGAATTGTAACTTCATAACACTCGACGAGACTTACAGACAACTCCATACCTACACGTATCCCTCCCACCATTTGTGTACAATTGTATTTATATTGTTTTTTTTTTTTTAAATTCTACCCTCGCATAGGTAACACAGCCCCACCTGGACAACGAGAGTGCCGCCCGCGAAATAGGCGAGAAGCTCCGCAATATACCGGGAATCTCGTACGCGACTATTGCTATGAAGGCGGCGGAGAAAGGCAGGAAGGCGCTAGCTATCAAAGTAAGTAGTAACTATAACTCAGAGGTGAACAGTATTATGTGCAAAAAGGCAAACTGAGGCAAATATGCAAATTAATTGCAGGAGAGGCAAATTATGATTTCTTATACGATTAGATATTATTTTTAACCGACTTCAAAAAAGAAGGAGGTTTCTCAATTCGACTGTGTATATTTTTATTTTTTCTATGTATGTTCGCGGATAACTTCGTCGTTTATGAACCGATTTTGATGATTATTTTTTTGTTGGCGAAGAGATATCCCAAGGGTGGTATCATGATACGGAAACCCGGATCTGATGATGGCATCCCAGAGAAATCGAGGGCAATCCTCAAATGTTCTAAGTATTATCAATGTTTTTTAACTATTGTGTAGTATTTGTTCTTGCGATTTTATGATGTAAGAATTTTTTTTTGAAAAATGTGAAGTTACTATAGTATGCCTCTGAGGTACAATATCTTTAATCTCCCCACGGGATTTTTTATTTGTATTTTTTGTGGAAAGCATTCGGAGCAGTAAATCACAACTGCCACTGCGACCTAGAAGATAAATTGCAGCCTTCTCTCCGAAAACACTGCCCCATCACAGTAGGATAACATTTTTCCGGTGGTAGGGCCACGCAGCAGCCTCGGCTGTTGCACGAAGGGGCAGGCTCGTCCGGGTAAGTACCACGACCTCACAGAACACCGGCGTAAAGTGGAAGTATAATACTTTCCCGCTTCATCTGGTGAGTGAGGTGGCCGGAGCCCAATTTTCAAAAGGTTGTCACCGCATCTGGAACCCTCGGGTGTACGGGTGATCTGGAACTCTCAGATGACCATGGGCGGCGGTATTCACTTAACATCAGGTGAACCGTCTGCTCGCTTGGCAAAAAAAATCCTCTGTAAGGAAGTTTTACATACAAAATTTCAAAAAAATATCTATGGGTCACAAAAATAGTTGTCCCGTTTGGTAATCGAACCCACAACCTCCGGCACAGACCCCAATAGCTTGGCGACTGCGCCACGGAGTCATCAAAACAATTCACTAATTTCGGTTTAGTGGAGCGCTATCTCTGTTACACACTAGTCTACTGCCTTAGTGCTTCGTGCTGCTCAGTTTGTGCTGTTTTGAAGAAAGCTCTCCGTGTCCTAATTTCCAGATCTTGGAGTACGAGAGCCACAGCAAGCTGCAGGTGCCTCTGCTCCTGACCCTGGGCGAGGGCGCTGCGGCGCTGAGGAAGGCCACGGCCAGCGGCGACACCGACCTGGTCTACGTGGTGCTGCTGCATCTCAAGGACAAGATGGGCAAGCACGAATTCGAGGTGACGAGAGTTCTTGATGCGTTCAGATTCTTGAGCGATCTTAAACTTTCTTTACGTACTAACGCCCGGTTTCTGAAACAGTGATCATCAAAGAGGTCAAAGGGCTTTTCAAATGTTATTTAATTTGCAAAAGGATGGTTACACTATCGGAATTGATCAAAATGATCTAAGAAGTTAACTAATCATTCTGATCATTAAGAAATGATTTAAAATGATTAGTTAACTTCTACGATGATTAGTGTTTCAGAAACCGGGCGTAACTAACGCAACTTCTTCTGGTCTCTTGAAGGCAACACGACCACGTAAGAAACCGGGAAAAAGTAAAAAAGAAGCTGTTGTTCACGCTTTTGCATTTCGTCTAATGCGTGGGGTAATAATCGAGGACCGAAAAAGCGACCCTAAAAGCGGGTAAAGCACCTGCAAACTTTTCTGGTTTCATGTATAACGGCACCAATAATCAATACAATAAGGTGAACCTAAGAAAAGCGTGGCAATCGGTTGATTGAAACCGTAAGAGTGCATTTTTAAAACGCATGACAAGTCCAGCGTCAAAATATTAAATTTTATAGTCAATGGGAAGAGAGTTCGGGGCAGCAGGTGGTTTTGCAAAACATTTGCGATAAGTTGATGTCTTACTTTCAGAATTCCAATAGTAGGGACTTGTAACATGTAGGTTACTCTCCATGTCTCTTCCCCTCACACTTTTGAAGTGTAACATTGTGTGTGTTGGGAAATTAACGGGGATTTAAGTAGCGCTACTATTGGCATCTTTCTCGCACTCAGTATCCCTCATTCGCAGCGACTCTAGCGGTTTGACGCTTCAAAGGGCCACGACCCAGACTTGCAAACGCACTGCAAAAAGCCGTTATATCGACCAATGATAACCGCCCTAACGTTCGACTGTTGTGTGTATTCCCATTCGACCAATAGAAACGCTCCCTAGCATCAGTCAATTACGTACTCGCCGCAATCGACCAATAGTAACGCTCCCTAGCACCGCGGACCGTTGCGCGCGTTCCGCATTCGACCAACGGGAGCGCTGCTCCGCGACCCGTTGCGCCCCCGCCGCGTAACGACCGACGAGTTTCTCACACATTGTAAGCGATCCATTGCGCGCCCGCCGCAGCTCACGATACGCGGCTTCCCGCTCGCGCAAGCGCTGTACATCAAGTACTGCGCGAGCCACAACCGCGAGGCGCTGCGCAAGGTGTACGTGCAGGAGGACAACTTCGGCGGGCAGGCGGCGACGCACATCCGCGATGCGATGGACCAGACCAACCTGGGCAGCGCCGAGGCCTCCCTGATATCCGCTAGGGAGTGCTACAAAAAGGGCAAGAACGACCTGGGTATGTATCCACTCGTCAGCCTTTTCTGCGGGTTAATGTTAACTGCAAAAGATCTTTGAGTTAGCATTGGCCGTTGGGACTCAACGGTGGTAGGGCCAAGCAACATCCTCCACTGTTGCACGAATGGGCAGGTCCGTCCGGGTAAGTACCGCGACCTCGTAGAGGACCGGCGTGAAGTGGAAGTGTTACACTTCTGCGTTTCGTCTGGTGTGTGACGTAGTCGCGGCCCACTTTACTATAAGATGGCAACACGTCCATTAGCGGTTGTCACCATCAGGTGAACCGCCAGCCCGCTTGCCATCTTCTTCATGCGCACAGGCATTATCCGTTGACACTGGAAGACCCTCAGACGAACTGTCACCTTTAAAGAGAGCTTTAGGCGCCGTTCGACAGAAAATGGTGATAGTAACTGACGGATAGCGTCGAGACAGTTTCGTACTCATAATAAACTGTCTCGGTAAAAAAAAAGTAAATTGAAGTACCGGCCTATAAATATCCCACAGCAGGGTTTACCCTAAAGGCCTCCGCGACCCCAATGCGCATTTGTGCACTTCACATACCGTCGAAATATTCTCTTTGTTATTATTTCGAAAACGTGCAGGTTTGATCGCCAAGTTTTCCTTCATCGTTGAGCACGTGATAACCCAAAAATAAAAATAATAGTTTGTGTGTACTTACGTACGCACGTAAGTTATACTTCTTTGGTGTAGCAAAAGAAAAACAAGTTGAATAAAAAAATCAAAACATCGGTTCAAAAGCTGACCTTCGCAAAACATTGAACTCGAGTATATATAGATATAATATTATGAAAGCGCCATCTACATCTTAACTATGATACATATGATATATATGATCTTAACTATTAATGATAACTGTAAGGAGATTAAGAATATGCTGCCATCAAGTGGTTTAGCGGGCAGGTTCAAAGGTGTGACTTTTGTGCTACATATTAAAATTTCACTCTCATCATTTTTTCACAACGCGCCTAAACTTCAAAAGTGATAACTTCACCACGACCCGTGAAGTTATCATTTTTGAAGGGTAGGCGAAAGCTTTCAACCGCGCATCGAGTGACGCGCTTGACGCGTGGCGAGTTGTGACACCGGTTGCCTGGGCAGGCGCGGCCCTCTGCGAGGAGTTCCGCAAGCTGTGCAAGCAGCAGTCCAGCCTGCAGGAGACCTACGGCGAGAGCTTCTCGGGGCTGTCGCTCCACGACACGGTCCGCGCCCTGCTGGACCACGGCGAGGTGAAGCTGGCGGACAAGCTGCGCTCCGAGTACAAAATGCCGGACAGAAGGTGCTTACTCATAGTCAAAGGCAAAATTTCTTTTTTTTTTTTTTTTTCGTTTTATGTTCAAAGTTAAAGGCAAATTTCTTTTTTTTTTTTTTTTTTCTTTTATGTTCAGTCAAAGGCAAAATTTTTTTTTTCTTTTTTTTCGTGTTTTGTTCAAAGTCAAAGGCAAAATTTCTTTATTTATAAAATGAAACTGGTTTACGGATTTTATCGCGTTTTTATTTTGTTTTGAACTCCCGACGTTGCAGACCCTTTCCAGCGTTCATGGTATTTTTTTGTGTGAATAGTTGTTAGGCGAGCAGGCGGTTCACCTTATGCCAAGTGAATACCGCCGCCCATGGACATCTGCCACACCCATGATTTTGTTCCTGTCCATGGTTCCTGAAATAAGATCAAAATCATGGTGTTCTTAACTAGGTCCCTTTAATTCTAAAGGTGCGCTGGTGTTAAGTTCATACCGCCCATGGCTATCTAACGCTCCTGAGTGGCTTGCAGATGCATTACCAACCTTTAAATAAGCATGCTTAGTGAATGTCTAAAGGAAACTAAGGTGAATTTATTTTATCTCTCTCTATACTTCTATATATTTATTTAAAAATTTTGTATTTTTACAACGACATAAGACCAAGCTAAAGGCCAGCTTAATGCTAACAAGCATACTCTTCCAGTCAACCCTGGGAGTAGTGAAAATTTTACGTAGTTGCAAAACAAAATATATATTATAGATTAAGTAAATTCACGTAGAATAATACAGGAAATATTCTTAAATACATTTTTTATTCTACGACTAGATATTTTAAATGTCTAGTGTTTTGTTGTTTTGTATCGCACCACAAACTGGACTCTAATTTATTAAGGATCCTACATAAATCTCCCCAGATATTGGTGGTTACGGATCTTGACGTTGGCCGAGAGGGACGATTGGCCGGAGCTGGAGCGTTTCTCAAGGGCGAAGAAATCCCCTATTGGCTACGAGCCGTTCGTCGATGCCTGCCTCAAATACAGAAAGAACGACGAAGCCCTCAAGTACCTGCCCAGGTACTAAAAATATAACTGTCGATAGATGAAATGTAAGTTTCTTATGTCGATGAATGAATGATTTTGATTTTGATTTTTCATTTTCAGGTGCAGGGATGACATCAAAGTGAAGTATTACGTCAAGGCCGGGTAAGGGAAACCAATTTTAATTTTACGGTTTTATTTTTTTAGGGTTCCGTTTATAAAGGGTTAAACGGCACCCTATTACTAAGACACCGCCGTCTGTCTGTCCGTCTGTCATCAGGCTGTATCTCTTCAACCGTGATAATTAGTTGAAATTTTCACAGATGATGTATTTCTGTTTTTGAGTTTTGTGGCCACAAACATGGTAAAGCAAAATTTTTATATCTACAGAATAACATACTATTGTTTGAAGTATGTTATTTTATTTGTTTCGTTAAAATTAAAGAAGCCTCAGTTATTTTAGAAAACGAATGTGGAAGTGATTCTTAATTTAGCGTTTTATATTAATTACCAAATCGATTCACCAATTGAATGCACAAAAAAGACCTTAGCGCATAAGCAATATTTAGAATAAAAATAAAATTATCTAAAGTATTTTGGATAAATCCAAACGACCAATTCACATTGATTACATACATCTATACGCACGCATAGATTTTTTTACAGAAAAGATTCTATTTTTATTTCAGTCCTCTCGGGGCTGAAATAAAACGGGCGTGGATGTCTTTGTAAAGATATAGTTTTTTCTATTTGTCGCGGTCCTGACCTCGTCAATAAGCAATGCAACTACTTTCTCTATGGAACTCATGATTTTGTATACAGCGTGTCTTTACAATCGCGACAATAAATGAACACACATATAGGGGATAACTTTTTAAAATTGCATTAAACATTTACATTCTTTAAACATCAATATTTACAGAGTTATTAAATTTTCCAAACAAAGAATTTCAGATCACCCTTACGTATAAAACTGTAACGTAAAGTTCATTTGTAAAGGTCACATAACATATGAATGGGTTGAATGAATTTAAGAGACAAAACGTACTGTAAGAAGCAGAGGCTTGTAATGCGACGCTGTGGCGCGACTTGTATAGGATGTTATAAATTTTATTTCTTTTTTACTTAAATAGTGTGTTTGAAAAATATTTTTTTTTAATTATGGATTTTGTTTAACGTTAATATTTTTTTATGATTATTGGCATGTAGCGTTAGATGTGTGTTCATTTATTGTCGCGATGGTAACGACACGCTGTATATTATATAGCATTTTACTTGGCCGATTAAATGATAGGGTTTGTATAGAAAATCATTTTTTATGTTTTCGGCGTTTTTTAAAATAAATTACCTGTTAATAGAGTCGGGACTCGAGAATGACTTGAAAAGGGCTCGAGAAATATTAGTGCTAATAACAGATTTACATTCCACAAATATTTAAATTCGTTTGTTGATAACATATTTGCCTTGTCTACTAAGCAACACAACATTTTCTTTTAATTGAATGTTGAAAATTGATCACAAAATCGATTTATTCACACATTTCAATCACACAAATGTATTTGATCATAGACGTATCAAATTCATGAACATAACTACTTGGAACCCGCAGGATCGGAGAACACGATTCCAGACTTACGGGAATAAACGATTTTGATTTTGACTTAAAAAAATGTATTCCCTGTTTGAAACAGTGCTAAATATTATCTCTCTTTATTTATTCCAATTTCAATCCCTTTCTTTAGCCAATCTACCTTTTTTGTTATATTTCACTTACAATAACAACATAGGCAGCATTAATTTAAAACTTAATCAATACCGTATTCCAGGAATAGTCCAGTTTTTTCTAACGTTTCTTAATACGATTAAGAGAAATTTTTAATACCAAATATTATGATTTTACTCTCACAGGTTCTACGAGGAGGCCGCTCGGGTAGCGTTCGAGCTAAAGGACAAGAGCGCTTTATTTTTCGTCCAAAGCAAGTGCCCGATCCGAGAATCAAGCCAGCACGAAAAAATATCTTCTTTGCTTGAACAGCTAAATACCAAAAAATAAATTCTCTTGCTATAAACTGGTCGAAGCTTTACCATAATATTCCATTCTTATCTTAAACATAAATGCATAAGTCCTATTATTAAAATATAAGTATTTAACCATGTCACTTATTTTATTTGTTCATACCTCCTTATATATTGCTGAAAAGGAAACTAATATAGGAAAAAAAAGATATAGTTGTGGTTTGGTTTTTAATGTTATGTCATTAATAGATCAAAGAAATTAAATAAGTCAGATGCCTATTGTTTAATAATAAGTATAACAAAATCAAATAGGTTTCACTTATCACATTTTACTAAAGAAATCTTCAACATAAACCTAAAAAAAACAATATTGCCGGATATTTTTTATGTATTTCTAATTGTAATGTGCACTATAATACCTTTTAGGCAATGTTTGTGATAGCCAATGAGCAATTTTAATTAAAAACTAAATTTGTAAAAACGAAATCTTACAAAGAAATTGCAAAACTGATACAAAACTGTGTTATAATTTGAAAGGACGCATATTGATATAAAATGTTTTATTTATAGTATATTAATCATCTGTCAATATTTTGAATATTCATCTTCTTTAATATGTAGAAATGAAATTCATGATTTCATTATAAAACAAATCACATTATAATTATAGTCTGTCAGTCATTGTAATTTTAAATAAAATTGTATGTATAATAAAAGTGAAGAGATAATATATAAATAACTATTTCCAAAATATTTCTCAGGTTTAATTGGACAAGAGTAAAACACCACTGCTCAAGAAACTTCACAACCATTTAAAAACTGATATAACTACATATTAAAATGTATACATAATAATAATTCTTTAGTATTGCATTCATGTTTGTATGTAATGAACGTTTTTACATGAACTGAAAATTGGTCATTACATCTAATTGACAATCACACAAGTTAACGTGACCTTCGAAAAAGTAAAATAGAAATTCTTTCATAACCGGTGTTTATAGACTAGATAACAATGTTTAATCAATAAAAAAGTTATGAAACTAATAGCTACAAATATTTCTGACATTTTTTACCTACTTCATGTTTATAAACGTATGAAATTTACATGCATGCCAAAAAAATTTTAAAAAATCTTTTGCAAACTATGGTCAGTTACAGAAAGAAAATATATTGCATCCCACAATAGTATACGCAGTGCCGGATTAACCACGTAGCAAGAGTAGTAATTGCTATGGGGCCCCGCATATTTAAATCCACTCATCTCTGCCTGACCCTTAATTATTTTAATGAAACCTAATAAATAGAGTATTGAATTGCTTTTTTACCAGATCAAGGGCTATTTAAAAGAATTTGCTACGGGCCCCGCGCTAGTATAATGCGGCACTGAGAATACGTGAACAATTTTAAAATATACAATATAAAAACTCTTTGGACTGAAAATTTGGTAGCGTAATAAAGTTATTTAAAAAGAAAAAAAATTCGCACCTCAAATAATAAATAAAATGTCTTTCTTAACGCATAAACAATAAATAATATTCACCTCAGTATCTTCAATGATCAGTCTTAAATGAAGCAATGGCTACTAGTATTTAATGACTAACACGCGTCGTATCGCAAAATAACTACATTGTAAAGTTTACATACTATCGAAATCACAATATTTTTAACATCTTTAAACCCAATGCCGGTTTTAAATCTATAAGTGATGTATGAAATGAGAAAACTATCGTGAAGCTTGCAGGATGTATAGGATGTATATATCTGTATGGTTGTTAGGAAAAAACTTTTAATTATTAAAACCCAGAGCTTTGGAAATGAACCTTATTGAATTTTTTAACAAACCCGAACCGTTTTATATTTACTGTGATATAAAAAATTGTTTATTCCGCCTCGTCTAAACGGCAGTTATATCCGCTATACAATAGCAAATCCATAGGAAATTGCATCCGGTGTACATCACTAGTACTTTATAGCAGTGGTGGCCAACCCAGCGCCCAAGGTTCGATCTGTAATACGTCCGCTGCTATTTTCAAAGCTTTGCATTTTTTTAAGCTTTTCTTAACTATTTTAAAGTAAGTAATTATAATTTCGTTTTCTAGATTTGGTTGTTGCAATAAAAGAATTTCTTGAAAAAAAGGAGAAATTAAAATTTGTAGAAAAAGTACGAAGAATATGTCGCCGCTGTAGGAATCGAACACGTCTTCGGCAATCGCGGCCTGACGCTTTAGCCACTAAGCTAAACGGCCACACTTGCCACACCGACGAAAATTCCAAAAGGAGAATTTGAAAATTTTTTTAGCTGATATGTGTCAGAAACTGAAATCAGTTAAATCTTAAATATCTAAAAAACGCCCACTGTTTGCACATTCTTTGAATAACGTTGGCCACCGCTGCTGTATACAATAAAACAAGTCATGTGTATTTCAATCTAGTTACATCCAATTGAATTTATGACTTGCAAAAACGCGTACAGTTAAAATATTACATAGTTAACTCGCGTGCCAAACCAAACGATGGGTACCTACTCTTCGATACAAGCTTTTGGCGTCCAATACTCAACATTTATCACACCCGAACTTAAGCACCGAGCTGCTAAGCAACTGCACAACAAATATACCACCTACGTGGTTAGACCTAGCCTAATTCAAATCTCTCAAACTTCTCGTTATAGCACCTCAATCAGATTTATGGTTACACATTCACAATGATCATTAATATTTATAAGGTAGTACATGCCGATTGATTAATCACATATGGGAATATTTAAAACTATAATGCTCGAAGATACTTCTTAGCAAATTAATATAATGGGGAAAAACATGAGCATGCCAATTTAATAAATATGATCAATTGACGGTCAATGGAGCGCCATACGAAAAATCTAAACGAAAGGAAGAATTCTTCATACACCTAGTAACACTATCGTTAGAAAGCACACCTACCAGATTATTTTTTATTTAAAAAAGTTATAACCGTTTAAAACATTTAAGCTGGTAAAAGAATATACATAGTGACACTCCAGTATTTTTTTCGTTCAGTACGTAATACAACGAACGAATACAAAGAAAAGAAAAAAAAACACCTCAAAATAACGGAACAGCGTGAGAAGGGTTCTTTTTTTTTTTCATTTTGCTCAATGTTTTTCTAATTTTCACGTGAACTTATAATTAACTGCGATTAACATGTTTGAATAGGTATACGCTCACAAGCATTTTTTTTGAAGTTTTTTCTACAATATATTATCACATTTACGAGTATATCATTAACCTAGCCGACACTTAAGAGAATGCCATTTTCTTTTGTTTTACTCACTTCATTACTAAATTCTAACAATTTAGCATACCTTTAATTTGAATTAAACGATGAGAGGTCTGCTTATACATAAGTACGTAAGCGTTAAAATAATAGCACAATTGAGGGAAAACTATGAAAAACATTTTTCAATAAATATTAAATAGAAACAAACAAACAGTATACTATTAACATTAGAAACATAAATCACACCATTACTTTCCACTCTGAAATTAGCCCCTTCCAATTATTATTGCATCTTTGGATTTTAACTATTATAAATCGTTTTTCGTCTTCTGCTCTTTAATTGTTAGTCATTACTAGATTTTTATTTATTTCCTTTTTATATTTCATAACATTTAGTAACAGAAAAAAATTGTTAGATTTATTTTTACTAAAATTCACATGCAATTCCTTGATTGACTAGATCCAAATCTTGGTGATATCGCCTTAATTTTTGTCCCTAATATTTCTAAAAATCGTAGATACATTTAATAACAATAATGTAACTACCGTAATGTTCAAAAGTAATAAATTAACAAAAGACGAACAAAAAATAAAGAAAATACGATGAAAAAACTAATTAATGTAAACAAATATTTTAAAGAAGAAAACTGGAAGGTGCTAACTTTCACCTGTCACAATACAAGCAAATAAGAATAGGAACCTCGAATGACCGCGATCTGTCAACTGCCGCTTAAAAAGTAAGGTTTGCAAGCAAAATAATTTTTATTGATGTAAGCTAAAGCTAAATGAGCTAAGCTAATAAAGCTAAGTTTAGCTAAATGTAAGCCATTAAGCTAAACCTAAAATTGATAATTAATTTTCCTAATAAGTGACGAAGTAATTATTAACCACGTCAAACGAATCGAAACTGATTGAACTTTAGTATTATTATAAACACAGTTAATAAAATGATAACATTTAAATACCTACATAAATGTAATAATGTTCTATTTTCTATTGGAAAGCAGCAGTTATGATGTGATCTGTGATGCAGAAATGAGCGGAGTTGAATAGCGAGCTGCTAACTGCTAGGTTACGATTACAACTCTCTCGTGTTTTAAGCACAAAATTTCTTTGTAAGTAAATATTATTTCAAAGATATCAGTTCCTTTACTTAATTGACAGCTATGACGGTATAACATTGCGCGAGGTGAGTCCTATTCTTATTTGAATCGCATTGTAACTGAAAACAAGTTCTCCATAAGTGCCCACACACTTAAGTTTATTTACATGCCAATACCTTTCCATATAAATCATATTGGGGTAATTATTTGTAGTATCAACTGAAAACGGACAGTTAAAAAAATAATGGTCTCACGTAAAAATTCAACACACAACGCCAATAGATAACATTCAATGTTACTTTGGTAACAAAACTATAAAAACAAAAAAATTAAATTATTGGAATCACAGCAAACTAACCATTAAATAGTGTTTCTAAAATAACATACGTAAAACAACTTCTCTGAGTGAAATAATCGAATAACTCTCTATTCCCATCAAGGGTAACTAAATAATATCTATGTCACATTCACAGTAATAACGTGCAAGTGTTACGATTTGTGCATAATATTAAGATATTCACGCTATCCGTCAAAAATGTCGTAGAAAATCTATAAGTAAGACGCCAAACAAACTGACAAAGATGCTTGAAATCTAAAGTAATACATCTGACTTTTTTTACTTAATGTAACTTATAATCTGTGAAAACTGCATATGACGGTTGATGTATTCCAAAGACATTATTTATTAATATTGCAGACGAAACTAATGAATACAAAATTTATACAGACTACAGACATCGTTTTGTCACAATGACATTAGGAAATTTCCCTCCAACAATTTTGACGGACGCGGCGCACCGAAACGGCTTTTTCTCAATATTCGACGCACAGACTATAAATATCGTACTCAAAATAAAAAATAACGAGCGAGTAATTTTTCGTATTTTTTTTTGTTCATTTTCATCAATAGGAACTGCGTTAGGGCTGCAAGACTTAGCTTTAGCGACTTTTAAATTCGTAACGTCGAATGGTGAATGAGGCCCCGCCTCTAGAGGTTGTATGGGGGCGCTGCGGTGGCGGCCGGTTGGGGGTTGACGGTCACCTTCGGGTTGCGGTCGTACTTTGACCTGTCGACCGGACTCGATGTAGGAGTAAGCAACACCGGGTGCCTCACGCTCTGGTTGACCAGGTTCAAGCTGGTCAGGCCGTGCTTGGGGATGGTGAAGGAGGGTAGGTCCTTAGTTTTGATGCTGTCGTAGATGCGGACGAGCTTGTTCGCGTCGAGGCCGTCGATTATGTTGAGGGGGCGGCTGTGGGCGGGGGAGGCGGTGACGACCAGACCGGGCATTTTGGGGGCGTGCAGGCGGCCGGGCTCCTGTGGTGGGGGCGTGGGGGGTGTGGGAGGCGTAGGGGGGGCGGCGGAGGTGGAGGCCTGGCCGGTGGCGATGTGCTGCGAGATCGAGTGGCTCTTAAGGCCTTGCGCCGTTTTGTAGCTTTTGCCGCATTGGCACTTGTACGCCTTTTTTACCCTGAAAGCGGAAAAATACATCTCAAACATAGTTTAGTGAAATTAATTATCGAATAATGTATTTAACTACAACGCTTCTAGTCCAGTCATCGGTGTTTGCCGTGTAACTGTTGAACTAGTAATTAAGATCTAACCCTGTATTCTAAAACTTACTAACTTACGTTACCAACGTCAACGTCAATAATGTACATGACGACTAGAAACTTTTGTAAAAGTAACGAAGAAATCTATACGCTAAATGATTGAATTTAATCCTAAAAAAAAGAAAAATCAAACACCAAAAATATTGCTAACATTGGTACTTTTATTTAAATAAAAGATAAAGACAAAAAAATACCCATTTCTTCCAGAAATACTCCTGGGCAGTCAATCTTTTCTTTGGCGCGGTTATCTTTTGTTTGTACTGATCGTTGGGCAGTACTGGATATTTTCTATTATAAATAATTTTATTTAGGTTATAAAAATAAAAAATCTTCTTAAACCCTTAGTAATAATAGTACTTCAAGTAATTGAAGATCGATAGAAAGGTATAATAAAGTCAAAACGTAACGTATCAAACACCAGAATAATTGACCTTACTTTCAAAGGGTAACGAATAGGAGACTACTGGGCATTTTGTTAACTCCTTCATGTAGGTACACAAAAAGTACATTCTTACAGTTAATCGGTAGACTGTATTAGACACTAAAAAGAATGAAGTAAATCTTGTTTCATATTAATTTAGTACAATGGAAACTTTATTCGAAAACCTTTTCTAAAAAAGCTATTTTTAGGCCGACTTTTGGGGTATATTATGGGACGCGATTATCTATATGTATTAATCTCTAACTGCAAATGGAAGTCGGCGACTTGCCTGCCTTAATCGAGCAACAAGCAGAACATCTCGACAAAACCCGATCCGAAACAAGATAACAAAAAATACAATAAAAATTAAAAGATCGAAGAGAATAAAATAAAACTATATTCACATATGCATATTTCATTTTTACATTTTCGAATAAAAATTGTAGATACCAACAAATTTTGAAGACAACTAAATTATGTTCCGAAAATATTTCTCAACTTAAACCGTTTGAAGCTGTCGATGTGAAATTAGTTTATTCGAATTCATCTATTGTGTGTAGTAGAATGTAGTAGTAGTAGTAGAGAGTAGAACGAATGGGCAGGCTTGTCCGGAGAAGTACCACGGCCTCACAGTAGACCGGCGTGAAGTGGAAGTGTTTAAATTTTTCGTTTCAATTAGCGAGTGAGCTTATTGGGACTCATTGTTTTTGAAGCTTGGCAACGCACCTGCAACACCTCAGGTGTTGTATATGTCCATAGGCGGCGGTTGCCACTTAACATCAAGTGAAACTACAGGAAGTGGCCTACAGGAAGCAGAAAGAAACAAGAAGCTGTGTCTTATTACCGTCGGTATGTAAATAACTTTTATAATTGTTCAAATCTCTTTTTCAATTTTCGTATCACCTTTGTTACAAACAATTCTTTCCATTGCCTTTATACCATTTGAGGGCATTGTATTGACATCCCTAATGTTCACTTATTTTTTATTGACATTTCGAGATACTACTCCTTATTTCTACTCTGTATAGCTAGATAACTCGAGCCAACCTGCGTTCGATCCCCGGTGCCATATCCAATGACAATGTTAATTTTAAGTGCTGTGTTGTGTAGCAAAACATCGTGAGAATAATACCTGAATATTTTCGAAATAATAAGAAAAAAAAATTCGCAGATATTTCACATATTAAGCCATTCCGCAGTGATGTCGCGTGGTTTACTAATCCCTAACACAGTACTCTACTAATACAGTTCCGAACGCAGTACACGGTACAGTTCTGTACGGAGGCCTTTGCCCAGCATTGGGACATTCACAGCCTGTTACTTTACTTTTTTTTATATACCTACATGTATATAGATACTTTACTCACTTGCCATCCTTCTTGTGACCATTCTTCGAGTGGTATTTGATACCGTTCACGTTCTTGTAGCGCTTCTTGCAGCCGGGGACTGGACAGGCGAAGGGCTTCTCCTGGGCGGCGGGCCCCAGGGCTCCGGAGGTGGCGCTAGCGTTCATCCTGAAACACGGCGGACGGAAAAATAACTTCTGATTGGTATAGTTGGGATAAGGTTCTGACAGTGAAAACTGAATCAAATGTAGTAATTGCGATATGATAAACATTATTGTGATGATTGAAAAAGCGAAAACGAAATTAATCCAATGAGAGAGGGTGTGGTGCGGCAATGCTAGCCTCACATTCGGTTGAGATATTTACTCACAAAAGATTTCAGTTCATCGAGAACCAGTTTTGGTTTGGCTACTTTTGGATGTGTCCCTAGCAAGTGCTTAAACAACATCCTACATGTTGCTAATTGGCGACGTGAATGCAAATGGGGAACTGGCTTAGTAGTTAGAACACTGGGTAGTTATATAAAATAATAACCGTGGAAAGTAGTTAATGACCACGGCTAGTTAACGACCAGTGCAGAGATTAGCACTATAAAAATTTAAATTTATAGAAAAGCAATAGCGACATCACTCGTTCGAATTATCTTTGTAAAACGATATTGGAAATTGTTTGTATGCTGGAAAGGATATAACAATAGATGCGCCAAGCATTGCTTCAAATGCTAATAACAATGTAGAAAGAAGGCGTTAAGATTTTCGTCGGTGTGGCAATCAGCCGCTTAACTTAGTGGCTAGAGCGTCAGGCCGCGAATGCCGAAGACGTTGGTTCGATTCCCACAGCGGCGATAATCTTTTTGTACTTTTTCTACATGTTTTAAAGTTCAATCTTAAGTGCAGCGATTAGCACTACAAAAAACTTTAAATTTACAATTTATTTGGTAACTTGTATCTTGTATTAACTGGTGTTTGTGCTTTCAGTACCGAGACTATTAAAGCTTCATCTGACGCAGAACCGGTGGGCTAGCCAGAACACACGGGTTTGGGCCCTCCGCTGTGGGTAGGGCCTATTTGATAACAGTCCATTGAGTCTTCTTTCTCCAAGCGTTATCGCAACTTTGCGGGGTCGGCATAACGTGTGAATCATGTTCCAACCGGTATTTGCTAGGTTTAATACGACCGAAATCCAAATCCGGATCTGGAGCAATTATCTGTGGGTGGCACAAATACTTTTAGCGTGTGGGAATCGAACCCACGGCCCCTGGGGCCAAAGTTTAGTTTAACATCTGCGCCACTGAGTCATCGTATAGTTTATGAAGAGACTTCGTCAATATTATTTTATGTTATAAATTTTATACGCATACAAAACCACCGGTCGAAAATGTTCCCATTTCCAAACAGAGTAACAACACACATTCACACGTTTCGTTCGAATGGTATAAAAAGAGTAGCACAATAAAAGAAAAAAGTGGACGGCAAGTGTTTGTCAATTAAACTTAAGTGTAAAATAATCCCAAGGTGCATCCGTCTTTCTCGTACACGTATTAAACTTATTTGCCTATCTCTTTCTGCCTCTTTCTTTGTTTCCCACGAAACCGTCCCGTTTGGGACGTTTTCGTGGCTTTTTATTCCGAGCGCATTAACAACGTAATCTGTGGTATAAAATATGACGATTATTAACTTAGTAAATCGAGTAGTCAAAAGAAGTGAAGAAAATTCTTTCGATGTACGCCTTCAACTGTCTCAACTTATAAGATAGGTGTCTCGGAATGAAAGAAACGTACTTGACTCCATAGCGCAGAATAAATTCGGAGCTGTACTCTTCGACTGTCGTCCACGAGTCATTGCTATCTTCGGATGGACTCATCAGTTCGTCATCGTCGACTTCGCTCCCTTCAAAAATACCAATAGCCATCGTTGAAATTAGTTCCCACTAATCTTGAATTTACGTACGTCAAGAGACCTTTACTAAAACTTTCATTTTAATAGATGGGTACAACTTGGCATTTTATGTTATATAAAAAAGGCCAAGAGTCGATACGGGTCTTGTAATTTTGAATTTCTACGTGAGATCTAAACGCGCCAAACCGCTAATATTGCTGCGGTCGAGAGATATCTGGTGCTACAAATATGACTACAATCGGACGGTTTAAATACATGTTCACATTACATATTATTCACAACTCACAAATAACTTAGCACTCCGAATATGTGAAAGAAATTAAGATAGAGTACTTAACAAGTATGCATAACTCCATCGCAGCAACATCTGAATTTTATTTCAACTGTGGAGTAATATTAGCATTCTGCTGACTTATAATATACACCCTAGAGGTACGTCTACTCTACATAGCTTTAAGATTCGAGATCGGTATGTAATATCTTAATTAGAATTAATGGAATTGAATCTGAGACCCGCGACTAAACATATCTAAGTATCGTACAAATGTCGTAACGAGTAGACAGACACATTATTAACACCTGAAATTACCTGTCGGTGTGCTACTACGAACTGAAGGAGTTTTTGGAGCAGATAGTAATCGACGTCTGACATCAGCAGCAGGAGGCAGACTTTGAAATTCCCGCCGGGAGGCTTCCGTGAAAAATCTCAACACGTAACTCAGAGGAATACATGCCGGTTGGGATGCTTCTTTTTGCTCAATGACTGCGGGGTCGTAATCTGAAATAATTACATTATTCAATCAAAATAATGAGCGTAAAACGTTTTTCTATTCGTAACATCTTACAGTTTTAATCCGGATATATATTTATATATCGGCCTACCAGTCATCATACATATGTCGTTGTATCAAAATAAAGACTGGCGTTCTCTGATATTAATTAATAACATAATATATTTACATTCGCGCAGATTTTAAATGGCATACAATACACAATTCCAATGTTGACAACTTTGACATATTGATAAGACGTACAATAGGGAGGATCATAATACATTTTTCATGCAAGAAATAAACCTAGTAAACAAATATTTGGACGTATAAATAGTATTTACCAATGTGCACGTCTTCGATGTGTTCAATTAAATCAGCTAATCTTGGAAATGTGATACCACAGCCATTAAATTTACAGATGTTTATCATGAAGACGGCCATGTCGTACGGGGGATAATACACTAGTCATTGGCAAGACTATACTGATGCAACTACTAGCGTAGACTATATTTTTGAAAGCAAATATTTTTTAAAATAATTCAAAGTGATGATGTGGTCATATATTTGGATATTTTTTCAGTAATCATTTTTTTCTCATTAGTATTTAAAACCATTAAAAGTAAATAAAAAGTGCTTAACGTAGCTGTCACTTGAAACAAAAATCAATAGTTGGCTACTCTAAGCGGAACTGGCGCGTCTTGCGCATTTCAACCAATAGGCGTACGAGATTTTTACTCTGTTACAGTTCACCACTCAGAAATTGAACATTCCAAAGGCCGGTCTCCTCCTTCTCGGTGTTCTTTGGTAAGTGTCGAGATAGTGAAAAACTAAATCGGGAAAAAGTGTTAATATCGTAGGAAATCATTGAAAACTAAGTGTTTCTATCATTTTAATAAGACAATCCGTGAGTAATTACCACAATATTTTATGACGAAATTGTCAATGTTCACTAAAAATTGGAACCAAATTTTATGTTGCCGATCGGCCATTTTCCGTATAGTCCCTTACATCACTCTCATTTACTCATCTAATTTTTCCATAGTTTATAGTACACATTGATACCAAAATTAATATAAGCGTATCCATATAGATTTAAGTCAACTAAGATCCCTGTTACGTAGTCCTTTCAATTACGTAACGTTTGCCTTGTCTTCGGTCAACCTGTCAAGAGACAAGTTTTAGTTCTGTATTCTGTACTGATACCTGCCGGTAGAAACATCTCATCAATTTCTCATTCAGTATTTCGGTTTTTCAGTAGTCGCTCGCCGCACCCAATAAATAACAAAATGCTGTCTGCTGCTCGATTGATCGCCCCTGCAGCTAGGTCTGCTGTAAGTAAACTTAATGTTTTTTTTTTTCAACAATTATCGCAAAATATCTTTAATTTTCAGTACTAGCATATATCAAATTGACTACTTTTAGTTTAATGGCATAATTTTTAATACATCATTTGAAATAATTAAACCTACTTTGGTAATTAATTAAACTTTACTCGTATACAATATCACCTAAACTTTTTAAGATTTATTTATCATAATTACAATTATCTATGATACGAATTTTTCCACCGAGTGGATCATCGCGTCGCGAGCTATATGATTACATAAGCGATGTATTCTATAATTGAAAATGTTCTCTAAATTAGTGTAATAAAATGCATTTTATTTCATAATTTTATGTTACACAATCGAGGTTGACTCGCAATCAGTGTCAATGTCATTGATGTTATATTATTTACAACATTCCCAATGTTCAATGTTTTTAGATCTTCAGCAACACAGCGCTGGTAAAGCCGGTCGCTGCGGTTGCCACACAGACACACATTGTGCCAGCGGCGCCGGCTCAGCTCTCGGCTGTCCGCACCTTCCAAACCACATCTGTTACCAAGGACATTGACTCCGCCGCCAAGTTCATTGGTGCTGGTGCCGCGACAGTCGGTGTTGCGGGATCCGGTACGTCATCTCTTCATTTTTGATGAACATTTTTGCATGTCACATTTAATCCCCACGAATTTGCTATGGCACTAATACAATAATTCATGCATTTCTTCATACATTTGTTTCTTGCTGCCGTTTTTGGTCCTTATATAACTGAACAACACCCTGATTGCATAACAGGAACATTATTGATTTTTTTACATAAGACCTACTTACTGCATTGCAGTAAACCTAACATAACCTTCTTTTACTAACCCTAATAATCACCTGCAGGTATTGGTATTGGTGTGGTGTTTGGATGCTTAATAATTGGCTATGCACGAAATCCCTCTCTCAAGCAACAATTATTTTCCTACGCTATTTTGGGTTTTGCACTGTCTGAAGCTATGGGACTTTTTTGTCTGATGATAGCATTTTTGATGCTATTTGCTTTTTAAATGTAATTACATGTACATAAGTTATTACTTTTTATGGATGAACAACCTCTTGTTTTCTGTTCAAAACTATAAATCGGTGAGGCCTAATGATGATTTTAGTAGCTTACTGTAGATATTGTTGTATTTTTCAAATATTTGGATTCTAAAGTGGAAAGTGTCACATAATTTGTATATTAATACCATTTTTTTATATTGCAGGAGCGGGTATTGGAACAGTGTTTGGTTCCCTTATCATTGGTTATGCCAGGAACCCATCCCTGAAGCAACAGCTCTTCTCATATGCCATCTTGGGTTTCGCCCTCTCAGAGGCTATGGGTCTCTTCTGTCTTATGATGGCCTTCTTGTTGCTGTTTGCTTTCTAAGCCAATTACTTTTAAGAACACTACTACTGCCATCCGACATATGAGGTTCCAGTGTATACTATCTGGAGTGGACGGCCATGGAATCAAATGTGTGGGAACCTCACCCTCATAGTGGTGTAAGGACTGTTTATTAGTGTTACATTTATCAGTGCAACATCAGGAATGCAATTATTTAATTATGTAGTATAAAATATCCGCAAATAAAATGTTGTTCGTATAACATTCATTAAGCTACAATTATTCCTATTCCTGATTATTGTAGACATTTTTAAAAATCATGTTATGAATAATCTCACAGTATAGTTGTTTACAAGCCGGTGATAATATTGTAAGCCAGTTATTGCGTATTTCGCGTGTGTATTGTCATCGACTTTGCTCGATTTGCTGTTTGGGAATGTCGGCATCTGTATTGTACATTTTAGGGCGATTAAATGATACCAACCACTGTTTACGAGCATTTTTACATTTTTTTTTATAGTCATTATTTTGGAAAAACAGTTTTACGTTCAAATTGATAAGGGTTATTCTTAAAGGAAATTTTGGGTTTTCCATAAACACTAGCCAATCCTGAGTGGAGTCTAACGGTATTCATAATGCGTTGTCAACGCATCTGAAACCTTTTGAAAATTGGGCTATGGCCACCTCACTCACCAGACCAAACGCGAAAGTATTATACTTCACCTTTACGCCGGTCTTCTGTGAGGTCGTGGTACTTACCCGGACGAGCCTGCCCATTCGTGCAACAGCCGAGGCTGCTGCGTGGCTCTACCACCGTAGATATTCTACAAATTATATTCTCTTTACCTACTGAAGAAATGATTTAAAATAAAAAATGTTTGAATATAAATTACCATGGTACCTATAGGGCGTCCAGCAAACGACTGGAGCAAGAAGCGGTAGCGGGGGGCAAAGTTCGCGCATGTCCCCTTGTGATCAATCGCGCCGCCCTGCGCGATCAATACTTGCCTTCGGTGCCCCGTTGTGACTAACCTCATCTAGTCCGCAATCAAATACATTTTTCAAGTTGATTGCCGCTCACTACCCCGAGACTATGTTGACTGTTTTTCCCTTAATGGAGGTTTTCAAATCACTAATTTTAGATCATATTACACGACAAGACGTACTTTCTCTAAAATATATTTCCAAAAGGCCACTTATTTAAATTAAAACAAAAAGTAATAATAACAACAATGCTGGCCGTCTCCATCGGCCAAAGAAATCGCTTTTTATTTATTTAAAACTAGCTGATCCGGCAAACGTGTGGAATTTCGTAAAATTCTTAGCAGCTGACTTTTATCAGATTCTTATACAATTCCGCTAGTTAATCAGTAATAATCAGATGATTAGAATGATCAATTCAAAGAGTAACAATCCTTTTGGCAACTCAAATAACATTTGAAAATCCATTTGACAATATGAATTTATCAGAATGATCAATTCAGAGTTAATTAGGTAATTTCCACGATAATCAGTGTTTCAGAAACCGGGCGGTTACGTTTCATAAATATTTTTCTATAGCAATTCAAACTGATGTCGCAACGCCCGATTGACTCAAGCTAGGCTATGTATACTACGTTTATTTAAAGGTCAGGCGATTATAGGTTTACACCGCCAATCTAATCTGAAAATATATCCACGAAGAGCCAACTAAGCAGCAGTAGGTTTTTTATGAAATAAGCAGGCGATTCACCTATTAATAGCGCCACCCAAGGCCTTCTAATGCTACATCACCTGAAGTGTGGACAGTATCCAGACGAAAAGCAAGCGTGGTAGGGCCACGCAATAGTGTTCACTGTTGCACGAATAGGCAGGTACGTCCGGGTACGTGCCACAACCTCACAGAAGACCGGCTTAAAGTAGAAGTGTTACACTTCTGCCGTCTGCGTTTCGTCTGGTGATTGTGGTAGCCGAGGCCCACTTTATTTAATGGTCTCAAAACATTTGCAACCCTACCGTTGTAGCAAATGTCCATGGGCGGCGGTTATCACTTAACATCAGTTGAACCGCCTATCTATGTAATCGATATGATCACCTAATAAGACAACATTCATTAATAACATCATGGAAGGAAAAAGGGGTAAAGGCAGACCCGAGTATAGGCTATACATCTGAAATAAAAAAGAAAAATAAATGTGGTTTTACGGTGGTAGAGCCACGAAGCAGCCTCGGCTGTTGCACGAATGGGCAGAGGCTCGTCCGGGTAAGTACCACGACCTCACAGAAGACCGGCGTAAAGGTGAAGTATAATACTTTCGCGTTTGGTCTGGTGAGTAAGTAGCCGGAGCCCAATTTCCAAAAAGATTGTCATCTGCAAACCCTCTGGTGTAGCAGATGTCCATGGGTGGTAAGCAATAATTTTCTAGGTTAGCAAAATCTCTACAATGCGCAAACTTTGTTGTCGCCGTTTATACTTTACCGCGTTGGGTAGGGCCGCGCATGTGCTCATGCGTTATCTTAAGCGGGAGATTTTGCTGAATGACTCAAACGCGGGTGTAACTTTTGTACGCGTTATTGGTTTCGCCCTTCTCGTAAGAACGAACTAATAGGGCAATGTGTGGTTATAGTGTTGTCTAGCAAATCCCCGGTGGGTGCGACGTCGGCAAAGTACAAGGGTCAGACATTATAGGTCCTACATATAGCTTGAGCTATATTTGAAGAGGTTTTATAAACGGTTTAATACTAGCACATTTAAATAAAGAGGAGTTATTATCAACAAATTTATTTCAAATAAGTTTGACATGCGTTTAAGTGGATACCTCTACACAAATGGATTGATTGGGTACTATAAAGCAGTCCATTGAACAACAGAGGTAAACATTTAAAGGACAGTTTACATAATTTCTTACAATAACACTACACAACTTAAAACAGTTCCAGGCATTCTCAATGCTTTATTTCCTTAAATTATCTTCATAATTTGGATCTGTATAATCAAATGAATAAAACTTAATACTGTAAGTTTTTCATTTTGGTGATTTCAACAGCAATTTAATACACAAATCTTATAAAACAACATAATTCTCAAAGAAATGTAAAGACTGAGATATTTAAAACAAAATGCATAAGTTTTGCTATAATGATGTGAAACAATTTACTTAGTTCATCCAAATTTTCTTAATAGTCTTATGTTCAAGTTTTATTGATTTGCCCTAAATCACTAGACACTTTCTTTGTAAAGTTACAGAACATTTTCAAATGTAACATATAACAACAATATTATTGGGAATTTTTAAGCCAAACTTACAAAAATCTATATATATATATCACAAATATGTAACATATAATTTAGTCATTGATGTATTATTAAAATCGGAAAACAGTGTTAACAAAAATACAATCATGCTACTACACTACTAACTTTGTACTTACCTATGTAATAACATATAAAATCAAGTAGTAAGTTGTCAAGATGTGGGTAGTTTTTCTTGTAATATCTTTTTTTTAAAAGCTCCGTAAATTAAACCAAAGCCCTATTTGAAGTTTTATATGTATATCTACACTTCCTTGAGAATAAAAATAGGTGAACTTACATCATAATTATATATCAGTCATTATCATTACATAATTTTCGTCTTAATGACTTGAAATTTGTTTTTGTATCAAATTGGTGACGTGATATTTATTTATCTAGATAAGAGGATTTATAAAGACAAGATTATCATAGACAGTTTTACAATAATTTCACTTAAACTATAGCAAAACAAAGTATACAGTGTAAAGGCTACAAGTCAATATGATTTGTTAAAGAGATTTGTATATATGCTCATCAGACGAGATCACAGAAACCACACAAAAGCCCTAATAAAAATATGACTTAAGACTACCAGTTGTTGGAAATGTTTATGTTGTAAGCACATAATAAATTTATTGCTTTTTATAATTCACAAACAATTTTGTGAAAAACTAAGGGGTCAATTCTGATTATAAACAATATATGTGAATTTTACATTATTAATAGAATACAATTTGTACAATGCAACCAATACATGAAAATGTCAAAAAGAAAGGTAATAATATTTTTTTAGGTCAAAAAATAAAGTAAAAAAGTGAAGTCTCAGTCCCAATTTAAAATTATGAAAGTAATCTAAATTTCATATCGTGTTTCTATATTTTACATTTACTAAAATTTGATATATAACTTTTAGGAAAATATTAGATTTGTGTATTATTTTTATTTGTATGAGTAAAAAAAAATATTTATACAACACACTAATATTTACTCAAGTTTCCATGAGCTCGAATCAGAAGCTCAGCTTACACAATATATTTGGCTCAACCTTTTCCAGTAAAATCTGTTTAACACCGCCATATCATCTTTTTATATTAATTACCCTCTTTTAAACTACATGATATTTTCTTTTCGACAATATAATAAATACACTACAATAATTAAATTGTTTCCGTCTCGAACTCGTCGCCTTTATAGATTGTTATAGGTCCATAGGTGTCGTTTTGTTCTAATTTTAGAACTTGATGCTTTTTGAGAACTAATAAACTGTAAAACTTTTGCGCCACCTGGAAATAATACAAAATGAATACTTGTAAAATATTTAACCTCATACCTTACTAATTTGATTCTACATAATATAAATATAAACTGCTAGAGATTGTATTTTCATCCTATTTTCACCCAGGTAGACTCATAAGAAGCAGGCCTATTTTTGTTGAGGTTTAACCCAACTACATAATTATGGATATGTTTTTACAACATATTCATAATATCCTTTACTACATATCCAGTAACTATATATCCAGGAGTCAGGGAACTTGGAGTGCCCTAGTTGGCAACTGAGGAAGCCTTTTGACTTTGGACGAGGCTATCTATAGCCTTGAAGGAAATTGAAAACCAATGTTTGTTGTGCCTTATTAACCCCTTTCACATAAATCATCTGCTGCCCGCCACCTTTCTTAAGTCGTCAGTCCATCGTGCTGTAGGCTATTCTACACTACGTTTTCGTAACCGTGGTGTCCACTCTAACGCATATCGGCTCCAGCGACCATCAGTTTGTTTGGAGACATGGCCAGCCCACTTCCACGTACAAATTCTTTCGCGGGCTGACCAGAATAGTTTGCGCACTTTGGGGGAGGTTTACAATCAGCAGTGGACGTCAATTTGCTGATATTGTAATGTACATAAATTGTAATGAAAATAGTTTTCACTAGAAAAGTTGTGCCCGTATAAAATACCCCACCTGCTTCCTGTTGTTGTGGGGCGGCGCGAGCTCGGCGAACGAGAGCCGCTGCTCGGACGCCAGCTTGGGCCGCATCACCGCGAACAGCTGCGCAGCGCGCCGGTTCAGCACTCGCTCCGAGAACTGCTCCTCCGTCTCGCCCGCCTCGCGGGAGCCCTCCTCTCCCTGCCAGATCGAGCACATCGAATGCAAAACACACACACGATACATCGTAAACCAAGTAAATAGAGAACGCCAATAACTGAATAAACAAATAATTAGAATGAATTAAAGAGACAATTTTATTGTTAGTTGCTATGTAAGAGGTAACACATTGAGAATATCAAATAAACAGAAAATATATCGTTAAGGAATTGATTAAGAGAATAATTGAAGCAAACAACTAAATTAAATGAATTCAATAAATATGTAATAACAATGACTTATTAGTGACAATTTGATTGTTTGTAAGTATGTAAGGTAATCTAGGAAACTGTTCAAGTGTATCAGGGATAACCTGGTGCATGCCATTGGGAATCAAACCCCCTTTAAGTTGGAAGGAACTAAGTAATGAAGACCTTAATTTCTTAATTTTAAATGAATATAGGGTTTATTTTTTTACAGGGAAATGATACCAAACAGTTGAATTATATGATTTAGTGTGTCATAATACTAAAAGATTACTCACATTTTCAACACTTAGAGGCAAATCATAATCGTGTGGCGGGCTATGATGTCCATGCTGGTCGTCATAACCTAAGTTTGTCATTTGCATACCCGCCTAAAATAGAGAGAATAAAATGGAACAAATAATAACATCGCTCTTCAGGGTAATTCGAAAAAATAAATCAAGTGATAAATCTCAATCGATGTATTTATGATGTCATTAATATGCCCATGAATATTGCATGTTGTGACTTGAAAGGCTCCAAGCTTAATTTTGAGATATCACCCGATTTTATTTTTGACATATATAAAAATTAAACTTCTAATAGTTTCATTACTTGTGACATGAACAGTTGCAAAATCGTGAATCGATGAACATTTTATTCGATTTCGACCATGGAGATCTTTCAGCTCCTTTTTGATTGGGTGCTAGTGTGCTCAAAAAAGGCTTTTAAAGCAAATTTTGGCGGCAAAGTCCCTGGCATAGTGACGGGCTTTTACGTCATCGCGCTTAGCATCGTGGTCAGCTTTACGCTTATGCTCAAATTCGCGGACACGTCTCTTCACAATTCCCCACCACTCTGGACGCTGCGCTGACAAAACCTCCCATTGCAAGCGGGCGGTTCACCTGAAGTTAAGTGATAACCGCCGCCCATGGACATTTGCAAACACCCGTAGGGTTGCAAATGCGTTGCCATCTTTAAATAAAGTGGGCCCCGGCTACCACAGTCACCAGACGAAACGCACAACACTTCTACTTAACGCCGGTCTTGAGGTCGTGGTACTTACCCGGACGGACCTACCCATTCATGCAACGATGAACACTGTTGCGTGACCCTACCACAGTTCTATGTTACATCTCTTTATATGTCGCTTCTGAATTGTATAATATAGTTCAGAGTAAGATGCGTTTCGTCACTCTTTCCTTCACGATACGTGACAGATGACCACACCACCGAAGCTGTCGACGCATTAAATAGGCCTCGAATCGATCCAGAGTACGAATGTGCGATACACACACGTCTCAGAGGAATATATGCGGACATTAAATTACCTGGTAGTCGGAATGTTCGTCAAGGCCGTGCAGGGGCAACGGGTCCATCGGCATTGTGTGGGGCAAGTCGTGGTGCGGCGGCTGCGACGACGCCACGGACCGCGACAGTAACGACGACACCTGCTCGCCACCAATCTGAGGCATCATCGGCAGCTGCTCCATGCTGTGCTGCAGAAGCGCGCCGTGCTGCAATCCTGTACACGGTACGGCAACATTGTGCTTTTGCTTCGTACGACGGATGGTCACGCAAGCCGTACACAGATGATACATTCAGATGCTGCTATGCATAAGTGCATATGTATGCGTACAACAGTCCCTCATGTTTGTCGCATCTATAAATAATAACAACTTCACATTCCGCTCTGTGGTCTGCTAGCTACTCTTCGGAAAGTGAACAAGGTCGCTACACAGCATGCAGAATATAAATTCATCAATGGACGAAAGCTGACAAATATTGCATCAGCAAATATTGAAATTTTAGCAATTGCAGTTTATGGCAAACACAATATACCTCAAACCTATCTGGTTCCACATTGCGTACGACTATGGCTAAACATCGACTGACATAAAGGTAAATAATAGAGAAGTAAATAATAATAGAGGAGAAAAATAAAATAAAAAAATTACTTATCTCGCACGTAATATGAAAGCATTGGACGTACACTTACCGGACGGCGTCATCCCACCGTGCTGCAGTCCGGCGGGTGTGATGCCGCCATGCTGCAGTCCACCCGGTGTCAGGCCGCCGTGCTGCAGTCCACCCGGGGTCAGACCGCCATGCTGCAAGCCGCCAGGGGTCATACCGCCATGCTGCAGCCCGCCGGGGGTCAGGCCACCGTGCTGCAGACCGCCCGGGGTCATGCCGCCGTGGTCCAGACCACCTGTCAACAAAGCAAATCAAAGAAAAATACCTTTATTCAATATAGAATCATTAAACTTACATATTGCATGTCAAAACGCTACCACCGGTTCGGAAAAGTAAAGCTTTTTTAAAAAAAAGCAATAATTGGCACTGCCAAGGAATGTGTTATACATAACTATATATAACTCACCCGGTGTCATGCCCCCATGGTGAAGGCCAGCCGGAGTCAAGCCGCCGTGCACCAAGCCGCCCGGGGTCATCCCACTGTCGAGACCCAATCCAGGGGTCATACCGCCGGGAGTCATACCGCCCGGCGTCATACCACCGGGGGTCATGCCTGTTTAAAATTTACAGTCATTTTCATTTGATTTCAACATAGTAATTTATACTATAATAGTGTTGTAGTAGTATAATAATGTTCTAACAGGTACTACTCATGAAACTCATAAAAAACATAATTCCTTACCGCCATGATGAAGACCAGCAGGAGTCATCCCACTGCTTCCGAGGCCAAGATCAACGGGCTGCGAGTCACCATGTTGCAGCCCACCTGGGGTCATCCCGCCATGCCCGAGTCCGCCTAACGGTTGGATCAAAATATAATAGTAGGTCTAAAAAGAGAAAACCAGAACTAAATCTCTTTTAGAATTATAAGTGCCAGCACGTAAATCTAGATATTTATTTCGAAAGATGAAATAACAGTATGCAGAGTACAGATTATACATATAGAATTTACCTGGCGTCATGGAACCATGTTGCAAACTGCCAGGGGTCAGTCCACCCTGCAGCAAAGTGCCTGGTGTCAAGGACCCAAGCACACCCGGGGTCATGGGCGGTCCTAGGCTGCTAAGCATGCCACCTACAAAAAAAAATTTTTCAATCTCAATGTTAAAAGAACAAACATGTTGTAGAAAGGAACAAGGTAACGTTAGGACGAATGTAGAAAGGTTGAAGGATTCGGATGAGAGTTACTTGTATGGGTATTGTCCGCCAAATACCTTTGGACAGGACCCTTGAAGAACTCGTTTCTGGGATACAATGTCCTTCCAATTGTGGTCTTGTTATAAGAGCCAGAAGGTTAAATGTTAAAAATCGGCAAAATAATGTTAGACCATCTTTGGAACCATCCACCACAGTAGTGTTGACTTTCCTAGGTCAAACTCTCCCAGACAAAGTTTACGGCATCTCTTCCAGTTTCCATATATTAAAATTATGGAACATTTAATTAAAACCGATTAGAGTGGGTTCTAGAATAAAGGGGAATTTTATCCAATAATCAATTTGGCTTCAGGGGGTATATGATGGTTCATTTGATAGTTTAAGTTTCCTTGTCTCCAGTATCAGTCTGGCTTTCAGTAAAAGCCAACATGTTATTGACGCTTTTTTGGATATTGCTTCTGCCTATGATAATGTCCAGATTCCAATACTCAGACATAAAGTGCTTCAACCGAGTATGAGACTGGTCAATTTTATGTGTAATTTTATACAGTGGTCATTCTATTTTTGTTTGTGCTCATGGATCCATTCAAACATCTAGGTTGGCGTAGAAGGGGTTATCCCAGGGCTTTGTACTCAGTCCCTTATTACATAATGTGTACACTGATGATCTAGACTGCTCCATTTCTCCCTTTTGTAAAACTTTACAATATACTGATGACATTGTCCTGTACACCATCTGTATGATACAGATTCTTCTTTATATGATGCTGCTGGTACAATTAAAACTGTATTAACATATTTAAGCAATTGGGTAAACAATCAAGTGTCATCTATATCAGTATCTGTGGTATTCACGAAAAAAGCGCCATATTCCAATCATTAATTAGTTTATTGCTGGTCATCCTGGAACTGTACTAGACCAAATAAAATGTTAGGTTCATGTATGTCATCTTAATTATGTTAGCAATAAGTGTGAAAATAGCGTCAATATTTTGAGATCTTTATCTGGCGTTCATTGGGGTTCTCAGCCATACAGTCAAGTTATTGTATAATACCATTGTCAGATGGCATTTCAATTAGGCCCCATTTTGTTGGAACCTTGTAATAGAAATGCAAAAAAACAATCTACAAAAATTCAATTTACATCATCATTGGTGCCATGAAACTTTGTGTTACAAGTTGAATGTGTAGAACCTCTTCTTCCTCTTTGTAGACAGTATCTTGCAAATAGATATTTATGCATTATGGTTCAATAAGAACGAGCAAGCGTCTATGTGAATAAAAATATCTTATTATTATTATTATATAATACATTCTGATGACCCCTACTTCTGTTTATTGAAAACATAAGGATTTGCCTCTGCTTATTAAGTCATACCGAAAAATAAAAAATCTTCCTAATCCAGTTTTTAAAATTGTACAACACCCAATTTTTATGGTAGACTATGAATCGCTAGGCCTAGGTTATTCGATCCATGGGTGTAGATAAGAACTCACTCAATGTCCTTAGCCAATTTAATAGAATTCTTGAAATTGAATTTAATGGTTCAATCACTTTACACACGGATGCCTCAAAGTTGAATGTTGAGGTAAATGTAGGTGCAGCTGTCTAGATACCTAGGTACAAAATTATATTGAACTTTAAATGCCCTTCTCAATATTCTCTTTTTAGTGGAGAAGCAATAGCTTTTTAGAAGCTGTGTCTTGGATTGAATCTCATCAATTAAATCTATAATTCAGTCAATTAGATCTATAATTTTCTCTGATTCATATAGTTGCCTTATATAGTGGCTAGTGTGCTGGTCTAGAAGTAGTAGGAACATGGATTCCAAGTCACTGCGGCATTCTTGGAAATGAAAAGGCAGACTGCTGAACCAAAGAAGCAATTCAGCTGGGTTGCCCCACATATAATAAATGTTTTGTTCGTGATCTGCACCTCTCTGCCAAACAGAATATGATAAGGGTTTGGAGTGACGTGGTGGTCTTTTTTTTCCCTACTATCATAAGTCAATACGTCGATAAGTCGTTTTTTTCTTTTTATTTGTATATGGTTGATATTTCATTACTAACGACCATGTGGTGTTTTGTTCCTCTCTTTACAGGTACGCAACTGAAAGTGGTTTAATCCAGTATATATTATTATCAAGTCCGCAGTCTAGTCAATCTCCAACTACTAAGTATCAGTGGTAAAAAAAAGGTAACGTTATAGGAAAAGGAAAGTTAACGTTAAGAAAAGGCGCAAGACCGAATTAAATTTTCACAAAGGTTTTCCAAAAAACCACACACACATGATAAATAAATAAGTGTGGAGTTTATCATCGCGCGGAAAGCTATTGCCACGGCGAAGCGGAAGGGGCTCTTCTCCACTGTGCCGGGTGGAGTTGACGAATGGGCGAGGTGAGAAGGGTGAGAAAAGGAGTCCCACGTACCGGGCGTTTGCGGCGCATCGGACTCTTCAGGGCGCGGGCTGTCCGGGAACGGGCTGGCCGGGCTCAGCGGGCCTGGCTCGGGCTGCTCGGAAGCTGCTCCCCGCACCCCGGGTTAATTATATGTGCGGTTAGTAATGCAAGGTGAGGTGGGCAAAGCTTTTGGTTAGTTCTAGTTACGCGCATTGCGAGTGACAGGGACGGAAGACGAGAAGAGGTGAGAGATGGTTGGATAGCAAACTTGAAAAGATATGATTTTATTACTTGTTACAGCATGTTGTTAGTTTGTTTAAAATGGAAGGGAAAGAAAATTTTTGGTATGATTATTGTAATAAAAAAAAACTGTTTCAAAGAAGGCTATTAACAACTGAAACTATTTTTTCTTAAGCATTGCTATGAAGATAGAGAATAAGTTTGCGATCCATAAAACAGGCTCAAGTTTGAAAATCCTGAAAAATTTCTGAATGTAAGGAATAATCTAGAAGATCTACAGCAACAGAATTATTTCTTATTCTTTACCTCAGTGAATGCATTAGATTATTAGAAAGTGAAAATATGACTTGTGTTACTTTACCCAAATGTAGTAATTAGCTTACTATAAGGTGAACCAATTGTTAATATAAAACAGCTCAGACAGATAGAGAATACAATACAGCTGTAGTAGAATTCCCTTATTATTCTTACCGATGGAAGGTTCATATTCCTGAGGCACAGGTGTAGGAGGCTCCATATCAACAGTAGATGGAGCAGGTGTTTCTGGAGGTTGTAATGACTATAACAATAAGTTTCAATTTATTCTCTTATTCTTGATTACAGAGACAACAAGTTATTTGCCACGATAACCTATTAAAACAGCTTTTATTTTATAGCAACTGGAAATAAGAGTGGATAGTAACGAATAGTATTAATAAATATTCAGAAAAAATTATTCTATTTCATAATTGTTCATGGATAAAAACCAAAAATATATAAACAGTGATGGGTGATGAGCATTGGTTATTAGTACCCTAACATCATTATTGACCATCATCCTGACCAAATTAATATGTGAGCATTGTACTTATATGAAACAAAACTGAGTCTGACTGACTCTGGTCATTCTACTCATTTCGCGACTTATTTGATTTTGTGAGAGTAATCAAAAAATAATTTGTTATTGTTGCAAATAGTCACCTCCTCGTGGCGACGTTTTCTGCCCGCACGTCGAACCGGTTCGGGATCTGGTGAGCGCGCCGCAGCCGCGTCTGCTTCTTCTGTCTCGCCACGTAAGGTCATGTTACGTTGGTATTTCTGAAAAAACAAATGGATCAACGTAAATATTAATTTAATAAGAAGAACAGTAAAATAGACGAAGAATTTAATTGCATAAAATTAATTGACATTGATAAAACTTTGATTGGTTTTATTAATGTCAATTATAAGAAAAAGGCAAAAAGACAGAAAAATTTCTTTTTCACTCGCTTGGATTTCAATTACATGGAAAATTAACATATTAAAGGTCTTAAACAACGATCCCATTCCGACCCATGGAAACTATACATGGTTTTGTGCTAACATGTCACTCTATTTCTCATGGACCAGCATTATCCAACCCAAAAACAATAAACATTCAGCATAGTGACACACAATTCTACAACAAGGAAACCAAGTAGTAGTATCTTTGAATGTATTTCATTAAAAGGTGGTTTTGACCACTCCTAGCAAATGAATGAACACAGATGCACGTGTGATTCCACTCGTTGGGTTTTATAGAGTTCTAAAAACCCCATGTCAAATATTTTTTTTCATATAAAGCGAAAACAAAGCCAAAAACAATAAGATACAAAGGCACTGTGTGTGTGTGTATAACTCTGAGTCACTAATCCAATAACACATTTTCCATTTATAGTATTACTTGAGATTTGAATAAACAGTAAATTACCAAGTTAAAAATAACCATGTCAAATTTCTACCTTGAACAACACACGGGAGGGTATTGGCCTAGCGGGAAGGGAGAACAGCTTCTCAACACCACCAGTCTCTTTCCAGTGCATCAGCCTCTTCGTCGGCGGCGCCAGGTCCAAAGTGGTCACAATGTCCGAGGTATTGCTGAGCTGATTCTTCATCTCCTCGCCCGATATGTTCTTTACTTCATCGACGATGAGCTTGCGCTTACGCTTAGTTTTCGTGATGCCTGTGTAAAATATAAAACACCATAAGAAACAAAAGAAAAAACATAATATAAACTTTTTGTATAGTTTCAGTAGCATTATTTTTTGTGGGTATTATCAAACTATGGCTTTGTAAAAGTTGTATGATGAGGAATACAACATATTGAACAACATTAAATAGGTTATTAAAATGTTTTCAACTTCAATACAAAGTTTTAACTAATTCATTACGAAGTTTATTCAATAAAAAATTAATGGTATCAATGTTTAATTTATAATAAAATAATAACATACTAGAAACCTGACGCTTTAACCACTAAGTTTAACGACTGATTGCCACACCGACGAAAATCTTAACGTCTTTTATCTACATTGATTTTTAGCATTTGAAGCAATGCTTGGCGCAACCATTGTTATATCCTTTCCAGTATACAAACAATTTCGAATATTGTATTACAACGATAATTCGAACCACAGATGTCGCCATTGCTTTTTAGAAATTTAAATTGTTTATAGTGCTAAACTTACTACAGTTAAGATTTAACATCAAAATATGTAGAATAAGTACGAAAAGATTGTCGCCGCTGTGAGAATCAAACCCACGTCTTCAGCATTCGCGGCCTGACGCTTTAACCACTAAGCTAAACGGCTGATTGCCACACCGACGAAAATCTTAACGTCTTTTATTTACATTGGTTTTTGCTTGTAGCATTTGACACAATGCAAAAAATACTAGAACCCAATTACGATTACCTTTAAGAACCGTGGCGTCGACGGGCGCTAAAGCGAAAGACTCCTCATCATTGTTCAGCAAGGTGGTAGTATCCAATGCCGGCGCGGGAGTTTCTGCCCTGGCTGCTTCGGCAGTAGCTATTTCAGGATTATCCACTTCCTAATAAAAATATATCTTTTTAGAATTTTCAGACCTTAACACAAAAACTTAAAATATTGTACATACATTATTTCTAATACACTGGATATATTTTTAAGATTAATGTTTATTTTTAGTACTAGCCTATACTTGACAATGCGATAGTTATTCATAAATGCGTGGTACACACGTGGTTTTGAATGATCGCGCGTAAAATGCGAGTTGCCCATAAATCACGCTCTTTTTGAGATAAGTTAAAATGAATGTAATTAATTACGAGTTATTTTAAATATTTATCATTTTTATATAACATTTTTTTATGTCTAATTTAAATAAAAAAGTGGATACACTTGAAAAGTCTCTCTGTATACCTACTTAAGATGAAACTTTAAATTATGTACAAAAACTTTTGGCCCTGCAGGATTCCAACCTTCATATTCCGGTTTCGCGCCAAGACGCTTTTATATAGATGATCTATATGTAGTATGTAAACACGCCCATAGACATTAGCCAAGTAAGTTTTTGTATTAGTATATGTCATGATCATATTAAGAAATAGGTAGTTGTTCTTCGATTCCCTGACCTAGTCCGACCAGGGCTTTGAGTACCTTTTTAACATGCACATGGACTGGCTCACATCTTGAAAATATACATGCCATTGAGCAGGCTTAATGTCTCTATGTGGCACTGTGAGCGGACAACGGATGTAAACCTCATAAGTCAAACCAATTGGTTGCACGAAAATAGTTCCAAATTCTCAAGCTTTGACATGTCATTCTCAAATTGTTTGCCAGTCCCTATACACAAATTAACTACAAGCGATGCCCACCATTGGCCTGACTGAGGGCGGGCGAGGTACTGCTGGAGGTGGCATGAGATCAGCTCCATCGGTGTCCATGGGCCTCGGAGTGTCAGGCTCGTGTGGAGGGGACCCACCCCAGCTGAAATGCACCATAATTAGTTGATAATTAAATTCATGTATGCATATCTCTATTTTATGACTATACAGCATATCTTTACAATCGCGATAATAAATGAACACAAATATAGGGAACAACTTTTTAAAATTGTATTAAACATTTACATTCTTTAATCATCAATATTTACATAGTTATTAAATTTTTCGAAACAAAGAATTTTAGAACACCCTTACATATAAAAATGTAACGTAAAGTTCATTTGTAAAGGTCACAAAGCATATGAATGGGTTGAATTAATTTAAAAGAGACAAAACACTGTTAGAAGGAGAGGCTTGTAATGCGACACTGTGGCGCGAGTTGTATAGGATGTTACAAATTTTGTTTATTTTTTACTCAATTACTTTGTTTGAAAAATATTTTTTTTAATTATGGATTTTGTTTAACGTTAATATTTTTTTATGATTATTGCCAAGTAGCGTTAGACGTGTGTTCATTTATTGTCGCGATGGTAACGACACGCCGTATAATATATTCAACTGTGGTAGGGTCACACAACAGCCTTCTCTATTGCACAAATGGACAGGCTGTCCGGGAAAATACCACAACCTCACAGAAGAACGGTGCGAAGTGGAAGTATTAGAGTCCGTGGCCACCCTACGAGTGTGGCAAATATCCATGGGCGACGGTTATCCCTTAACCCCTCCACACATAACTAATTATCAATGTGAAAACCGTAACTAGGTTATGAGCAACTTGAAACTCTGCGGTACTCATTCAAATATACTGTGAAAGTGGATTTAACCTTTGGTAGAAATAAAAAAAAAAACACCTGTGCTGCGGCGAGTTGCCGGCGTCGTAGTGGTCGGGCATGTCGTCGTCGGAGTCGTGCGCGTCGCCGGCCGCCGCGTCCGTCTCGGCCGCGCGCTCGCCCGCCGCCTCGATCTCCGCCTGCGCACGCGCGGAACCGTTTACGTCTAGCAAATCTGTACGGGTAGTATTGCGCTCTCGTTCGCGCCGCTGCGCAAATCGCTTTCCGTCTCGCTCCCTCCTCACGTTGATGTACAGTCGTGAACGACGTCACTCTTCAGTGGTCAAATTTATTTCGTCCAATGTTTGATAGTTCTAACCAAATACGCACATGCGCAGAACTCGCAGGGGCAATTTCTTTTTTTTTTCCTACTATGGCTCCACTGATACGCCAGTTCGCTTGACATATTTTGCGTTACACAAAAATTAATAAACCTACGAGTTAAAAGGTTGCTAATACCTGCAAAGACTGGGGCTGGGTGGAAGTGCCCGGGAGGCCAGCCGATGTCCCCGCGCCTGAGCTGCCTGCAGTTACGTCGCCGAATAGATCGCCTTCGAAAAGTCCTCCCGCGTCTATTGGACGAAATTACGAAAAGAGCTGACGATAATTAATTTGACTTTATTATTGTGCGGTTAATTTTAAAACACAAACGTTACATTTGGCAAAATAATTATAGTGCACTATAGAATAATAATAAAAAAGTAGAAGTATTCAGTTTCGCGTCAACATCGACGACGCTTTCGTTCGCGCCGCAGTGCAAATCGCTTTCCGTCTCGTTATGTTCTCACATTTAATTAGACAAGCTCAGGCATATGGTAAATAAAAAACTAAAGTTAAAAAACGTGAGAATTTGTGTTTGACCAAATTGTATGTTTATATAGACCATGTTAACCATAGATTTGTTACATGGTTTTTATACTAACACTAACAGTGTTTTATACTAGTTTTATGTAAGTGCTACATTGTTACATAAGTCAAAATATTTTGTTTTGGCTCTTACTTCTACTACTTACTACTACTACTTTCTCTTCAGAGATTTGTCTTTGAATTTTCACATTTTATGCACTTTAAGCATCACAAATTTAAACCAGAACAAAATTAGAGTAGAAAGAATTCATGGAGACAATTAAATGGACCATTAATAGTCAAAAGGTTGGTTTCAACAGCATTGGGATGCGAAATCTGCGCGTACAGGGCCGAGGCAACTGTAAAACTTGATGACGTCGCAGAACAGTTTAATTCACTGAACACTAACGCCCAAAGTCCGGCACGTCGGCGATGTTGGCCCCGAAGCCGTCGTCCAAGTGGGCGGGCGCGGGCTCGAGGCGGGGCGCGTCGCGGGGCGCGCTGGGCCCCGCCTCCTTGCCCGTCAGCTCCAGCGACGACCCGTCCGCGAACAGCAGGTTGCTCTGCGAACACAACACGCTAAGATGAACAACGGCTATTTGTAAATCTCACGAACTCTTTCCCAGAGGGCTCGTCATCTAGGGGTGTTTTTTTTTTAAAAATATGATAAGGTGGTAAGCGAAGAGGCGGTTTACCTGATGTTAAGTGTTTACCGCCGAATTGGACACCTGCAACACCCATAGAGTTGCAGATGCATTGTCACCTTTAAATAAGTGGGCCCCAATTACATCACTCACCGATCACCGATCAAATACAGTAGTATGACACTTCCACTTCAAACCGGTCTTCTGAGAGGTTGTGGTACTTACCTGGATGGACATGGCCATTCATGCAACAGTTGAAGCTGTTGCCCGTCCACCGTTAAATTAATGTATACACTATATTCTATTTATTTTTATGTAATATTTATTTTGTTATATTTAAAGATAAAAAATACTGATGCATTATTACCTGCTCTAGAGCCCCTTCATTGCCAATGGCTTCTCTCATGATATCAGGGTTATCAGTATCAAATCCCATGTCCCCAAAGCCATCATCATGTGTGACCAAGTTTAGGGAGCCATAGTCTTCCCTCATTGTAATCTCCTCAGCTCTAGACTGATTCAGGGAGAATTGGGCCTCAATATCCACTTCGCTGTAAGAGTAGTAATTAGAATAAAATGTAATAAAACCTGTTTATACTATATTTAACCCAACAAATTATTGAACAAAAAAATGTTAAATAACAAAGAAAAATCATAAGTTAAGAATTTTAGAAAAAATTTTATTGCGTTATTTTTTCCTTGCATAGCTTGTAAAACATTAAATCTTATATAAATTATTATAAACCGTAATACTCTACTCTAACATCAGAAGAATTTGTATTAAGATTTAAGTTCTTCCTTTTGCTCTTATCACACCCAGATGGGGTGAGCACTACATGTGTATCATGTTGTTAATGGTATTGACTAATTTTTTTATGAACAGCAGTCTGCAGTCAACACTTTTTGGGAACAAACTCCCAGATCTGGAACAATTACCGGTGTCCCATATGGAAATTGAACCCACAACCCTTGACAGAAAAAACCCATAACTTTACAATCACCACCGAGTCATCAACATTTATCACATTAATATTCAACATAGTATGATCCAACATTGTTGACTATTTCCCAAAAACAGAGATGACTGAAAATATCAATCAAATAGTCTTAAAAGAGTTATGGTTTGGTATGGTGATCACAAAATGATTATCTTTTTATATTAAATAATATGTAGCACCAGCTACTTACTTCAGTTCAGGCATAGCAGTATCAAAATCATGAAAGACCTCTGGTAATGTTATGGCATTCATGGCCGCCTCTCTGTGTTCCTCGGGCAAGTCCACCATACCAGGCCTAAAGGCCATTAATCTCTATATTGCTTAAAAACAATATAACAAAGAAACAATATGTCTTTATTAGACATAGAAGCTGTAGTTGCATATTAGACCCAAAATAACAAGGTAAATGTTCAGGACATTAACAGGCAAATCTTGAAATTCAAATAAATTTTAAATAATAGAGAAAAATAACTAAAGAATTAATCAACAAGTAGATTTCTCCAGTCGCCTAAAAATATTGAAAAAATAAATAAATTGCGTAATTTTCACTATGGAATCTCGCCATTTTGTTGTTGTCAACATTTTAATTCTACTCTTATTTCTGGATAGTCATAAAAAATAACCATGAAAGCTCAGGCAGGAGCAGAGCTCCCATGCAAAACTTCTAACCTAACTTGTCTGAGTTGGATGGCTCTGTGACCATTCTGTGAATCATAAAATTAAAAAAAGTTTTATAGAACAATCAATACAAGTATATAGGTTGCCCCCTTTCTATATTTATCATGTTGCCAGGCCTATGTATTCACTTTTTGTTGGTGAAGTAAAATTAATAATTTGGTGGACTTTCTTAGTGAAAATAACAAGTTTTAAATATTTTTTCGAAACATATAAGAGACCATAGAATTCTGCTTGTTAATTTATAAGTGACTTCTCTATTTTAATTGTAATATGCACTTGTCAATATGCTAAACATTCGGCAATAATAACAAAATATTTGCTTAATAACAAGTAATCTCATTTAAAAACCACAAAATTTTTTTTAACAAGTAGTTTTAGTAGCATTTGAGATACTTTTTACACACGACTTGAAATGTATTATTTACAACGAAACAAGTCTCGAAGAAACTTACCTTGATCTTAACGAAGGCTTCATTACAGTCTTGAAGCAAATACTTCGCTTTTCTTGAATAGATTCTTACAACTCCAAGCAACAGATGGCCTGAAGTTCGTAAAGCCATTTTCACTTTTGGTTTAAGAATCCCATCGACTGACTTCTCAATATTGGTTTCAAAGACATGAGCTTTGGTTAACTTTTTATCCCAGTGTGCCGCCAGCCAAATCTTGGCCAAAGGGCCTTTTTTGGCCAGCACAAAGTGCGCGTAGAACATTTTTGAATATCACTAGATCTGGTCTCTTACATTAACATTGATCTAAAAAATTAAAATTTAATCATAAGCAAAATACACTTTTCTCACAACATTAGTAACAAGTAGATATCATATATTACGGAAGCAAGAAATAAAATCGTTAACGATGGCAATTTGGCGCCTATTCTGTTTTAGAGTAAAACAAGAAGTGTCTGATAAAGCCAATCATTACTTCGATATAAGAACATGGATAATAACGATTTGTTAACATTAAAATATACTATTTAAATCAATACTCGGTATTATTTCAAGAATTATAAATTTATAGAAATCACCTTTCACACACAACGTAAACATGACAACATTTACGCTTTCAAGATGGCGGGATCTTTATTATACTGTTTAACCTAAGGATGCTGAAAAAATTTCGATGTATCGATATTTTTTAATGTATCGATATTTTTGGCCGTTATATTTTGATCCGATATATCAACATAAAAATAGAATATTGAAATCCTAACAAAAACGATATTTTTATTCAAACTGATTCAAAGCCGTAAAAGATAAAAATTAACGGAAAAAAAACTGTGGTCTGTTACTAGTATTGTCACGGATGCAGAGTTGCATTTTGTATTAGTTATGGTATTTTAAATTTGATGCTTCAACAGGATATAAAGGTGTTACAAATCATTAATATTGAACAACATATTATGTTAATTTATAAATAGCATGCAAAAAATTCTCGATACTTAAATGACACATAATATAATATCGAGTTTTCATATAAACTTATTTATTTTCATAAAATAATTTGACGTCAAAAAAATTATTATCATTTATCCACTTATGCAACTTGTTTAAATTGTCGTTCAGCATTTTCATGTCAATCAAACCAATTTTACTAAATTTTGTTGATGGTTGTCGATGGTTGAAATAGGACAAGTCTTCAGGACAATCTTTTAGGACAAGTCTTTACGGTTTTCTTTTTGCCCATAATTAACTTTGTTTTAAACAATTCTTTATGTTTTTTTACAAAGTTAAAGTCACATGTTTTTAATTAGTTATTTTTTGATTCGATTCAGGGCTAAAGAAACTGGTTTATCATACCAAATAAGCTGTGTGTTTTTTTTCCAAAGAAGGTCTTGATAAATAACATACATAGAAGTTTATTTTAATAAAAAATAATGATTAAAATTATTAAATAATTAACGCTTTATTAAAATTTCTGATTCAGTTAAATAATGTGAATTTGATATAAAAATTACAATTAATTATTATTGAATCAGACTCAACTAAATACATTATTTTTATATATCTATTTTTTTTTTCAATATATTTAGTTCGATATTGATATTTTTATAAATATCAATATATCGATATTTTTTTCGACTTTCGACATCCCTAGTCTAACCGTTGTTTTGTTACCATAGATCACAATTAAGGTACCCAACTGCCCAAATACATTTACTCTGTACCAAATTAAAATATAAAAAAATAACTATACATAATTTTGGAACATAGAAAGAAAAAAATAAATGACATTGAAATGGTCTCGACGTAGGTGTTGTATTGTACACAGATTTTTAAATCTATGTAACGTATAATAAAATAGACTCCATGATGATTTCGATCACTTCTTCAAATTGTAAAGTTATTTAATTTTGATGTGTTTTTATTGAGTTGTAAATTAATAACCATCGATTAAACAAACGTGACTTCTATTCACTCGTACTTGATATCCTTCGAGAACAGTGACACTATAATTATAATGTCGAAACCCATAGTTGCAAGGTACCTATGTAAAATTGCATTCCCTACGACTCTTGAAATTCTGGCTGACCTGTATGTAAGATCGTAATAACATTAAAAATGGCATTTACTTTGCTCTTTTACAATTAATATTTTATATTTTGAAACGCATGATTACAATTTTAAGTCAACCAAGCACAATTCCGCCCGAGCCCCGTATGGGCACTTCCCACTACCGATCGCAAAAAACCTTGACTTTATCCGGCAAACTGCACTAATTACCCTCGATCCGCTACTTTCTCAAGTAGTGGATCGAAGTCAAACCAGAGAAAAATAAGGCGATCATGTCACTTGGACTTCAAAAAAACGAGTGTGAGTGTAAAGGAGACAATAGGCATGCACTATGTCTTAGATGTACGAAACGTAACTCTCTCTCTCTTTTTATTTCACGAACTTATATATCCGTCACAACTTCCGTTCACCACGCTCGATCACACTTTTAGGTCAAGCGTGTCTAAAGAAGTTTCACTTCAAAAACTCACGATAAAACAACAGATTAGTATTGTATAAGCAATAAGACAAATAACGTTCGGCACGTCCGTCCTGGTAAGTATCACGACCTCACAGAAGACCAGCGTAAATTAGAAGTGTTACATTTCTTCGTTTCGTCTGGTGAGTGGGGTAGCTAAAGCCCATTTTATTTTAAGGTGTAAACGCATTTGCAACCCTACGGGTGGCAAATTGCAATCCCCCTTAAACCTAGGCGCTTTTGAATCTCTTGGGTTGTTATTGTTATATAATAGGGACTGCATATGTTCATTTGGCGTTAATGATCACTTATTATTTTCTAAAAGGAATTATTTTCGTGAGTTGATTACTTTAGAAAATCTAGTGCTCGTAAATGTTAAATATTCTTCTTCATTGTTTGTTTTAGTAATTAAATTATTTCCTTAATATATTTTTTGTGAAGGGATAGTTTCGAAAAATGAAACGCCAAAAAACGCTGCCAAATATTTCCAGTACAATTGAATGATAAAACAAAGTCTTGGTTCCCGACTTCCCGTGTGTGTCATATTGTACACACCCACAAAGAAAATGCATTTTTAATATTTTGTTTATTACAGGATACAAATTATAATTTCTAATAACAAAATTAAACATTTTGTTAGAATTGTATCTTGGGATAATTATTTTGAAAGTGAATAAGCTTTATTATTTTTGAGGGCAAGGGCAACATTAAATTTTGATAACAATGTTGGTAACTGGTAATCTATCCCTCTACATTTCGCCATTTTATTTTAGTAGTCTTTTCCGGTTCGTCTGTGGAGTACGCGAGACGTATGTGTACCTTCTTTAATCTCTAAATATTTTGTGAACCGGTGAACATTTATTATTTCCACGTTTAAATTTTTAATTAGAACGTTAATACCGTGTCTTTTGTGGCAATATTTTATTGAAAGTGTAATTAATCATGTTCATATTATTGCAGACGTGTGTTAACAGCATGTCTATCTTGGCGGGCTTCAAATCGCTTTTTTTGTGGCCAGACCGATGATGTGACTTCTGATCAATTTTATTGATTTTGTTGCTAGGTCTGCCACAGGCTTCCTAAGATGGGCGCGTACAGATACATTCAGGAATTGTATCGCAAAAAACTTAGCGATGTTATGCGTTTCTTATTGCGCGTGCGAGTATGGCAGTACCGCCAGTTGACTCGTATGCATCGTGCTCCTAGGCCCACAAGGCCTGACAAAGCCAGAAGGCTTGGATATCGTGCCAAGCAAGGTTAGTGTAAAGGTTTTATTTTAGCGTGCTACAACTTACTGTCCTTTCTCTTACAATAGGTTAACAATTTTTATTTTGGTGTAGGTTATGTTATCTTCAGAATCCGTGTTCGCCGCGGAGGTCGTAAACGTCCAGTTCCTAAGGGCGCTACCTACGGCAAACCTAAGAGCCATGGTGTCAATCAGCTTAAGCCTACACGCAACTTGCAATCAATTGCTGAGGTACATAGTTTTTAATGTAAATTTTTTTCATAAAATGTTGCATATTGTAAGTGTATCTCCTAAATTATAATTAGTAAGCTTCTAATATTGTTTCATTATTTACAGGAGCGTGTTGGTCGCCGATGTGGTGGTTTGAGGGTGTTAAACTCTTATTGGGTTGCTCAAGATTCATCCTACAAATACTATGAAGTTATCCTGGTTGATCCATCACACAAGGTAATTTTGTTATTCTTTCCCAGTTATTAATTTTTTTTGCCAATATAATGATGAATTTCTATGTCATGCACCAATCTGAAAGGTTTTGATGTATATTCACCTACCATTTTATCTGACACCTGTACTTGTAAACCATTTACCAATTTAAGCTATCTATTTGTTATTAAACCCAAATTATGTTTCAGGCTATCCGACGGGATCCAAAGATTAACTGGATAGTGAATGCAGTTCACAAGCACCGTGAAATGCGGGGTCTTACCTCAGCTGGCAAGAGCTCAAGAGGACTTGGAAAGGGGCACAGATTCTCTCAGACCAAGGGAGGTTCTCGTCGTGCTGCTTGGAACCGCAGAAATACCTTGCAATTGCACCGCAAGCGTTAACTTTTAGTTTAATTACCTTTTCTCTGATTTTCTCTTCATTCTTGTCTATAATCAGAGAGGATATCTGGCAAAAGAAATAAATTTTATGTGTACTGATTATGTATTTTTACTTTATTTTATTTCATAAATTAGATTTCAAATTCATAGCTAAGTAAGTATGGATTATGTTTTATAATTGACTCTTTCTATATGTTTAATTGTACTAAAATTATTTCTTTTTTTACTTTGCAGTTTATCAAGTAATATAGCACCTAATTATAAAGGTGAATATATTTAATTTCTTAGTATTTTTTTTTTTAATTATATCTAAAATGATGATAAAATGCAGTAATGAATGCGCAAACCGTGATTACCACGCATTTTCAACTTCCTTGGATGGCTGAAGTCAACTAATTACTAATGAAGTGTTTAAATGAAATAGCTTTCATTCATTTATTTTATTATATTTGCTTTCAGATACATGCAGTTGACTCTAATTCAACATCAAACAGGTAATTTTCATATTTGAATATTTTTTAAATGAACATGTACACAAAAATTTATTGATATCAAATTTAAAAATATTTTATTAATTTCATCACCTATTTAGTTTTATATGGGTTAGATTTTCAAGATTAATATAAAGATGTAATGTTGTAAATATTGGTTACAAAAAAGAATTATTTTGAAAAGAAAAAAGTAATGAATTTTGTGTACAACTTGTTACAGAATCTAAAATGATGACAACTTTTATTAAAACCTCTTATAATTTGATTGATTGAATGAAATTTATGTAAAAGTTGAATATAAAGGTGAATCCAAATTATATCTTAATTTCATATAAATTATTTGTTTTTATGAAAACATAATTTGGTAATATGAAAAATCTCGTCTAGGTGAGGATATTGTCAATTTCATTTTCAGTAAACCTCAATCCGGCGAGGAACAAAATAAGAGATAGATATATCTTTTTACTGTAGTTTCTTTTGACTTTTTCTTAACATATTTTACCTTTGGTTTCAGGTACGATGGTTAGGTGATAAGTTTCTCTGCCCTACACAGGGGTGGAAACATAATAGATATCCCATTGGGATCTGTGTTACGTTAGTTTAGTATCAAATAATCAAAATTCCTCATCTTTAAATGGATTAATCTCTAAGAAAATTCATCTGAAGCTGCTCCTTCCATGTCATGTCAAGCAAAAGTGGGAGCTGAATTTAAATGTGGTCATTGATGGACTGCCAAACACTACAAACAACCATGTAGAAAACCATCTAAAAATTATGCTATTCTGCTGGGAAGCTCAAATTGTGGGGATATAAGAAAAAAAGTGTATGAAACATCTTGTACAAAGAAAAATGCTGTTCTATTGTTTCATCGTTACTTGAATAGTTCGACGTCGAAGCAACTGAATTTTTAAGAAAATGAGGTTAATAGATTATCGCAGCGTCATCAAGTTTCTTTCCAAGGACGGAACTGTTCAAATTATTCTGGAAGAGATGTCATCAGTTTACTGGAACTTACCTGGAAAAAACAATGGTCTACAAATTGTGCTGACTGAGCTTCACTTGTCAGCCAGGATGGTTTATTAAGGTGACTGGAACTGGTTGATAAAGCGAATACGAAACTGGTTCATCACAAAAGTGGCAAAGCAAAGCAAAGCAGAGGTCCTGCTGACTGCTCTTACACGATAATGCGCTCGTATATGACCCGTGTAGCACTGGCTGCCCTGCACAAGGTGGGCTTCTTACCCTTTAGTCCAAAGCTGATTTCCAAAATTTGAAAAATGAGTTGTGTAAAAAAAAATTTCTACCCATGAAGAAGTTGAGGAAGCAGTTTACTCTTATTTTTGAGAAATACATAAAAGTGTAAAAATAAATAGATTAACTGAATGATCTCAAAAATGTATTCGTCTTGCAGGAGAATATATTGACCCAGTTGATAGAAAATGACTCGACTACTTCGGTACGTGCCATAGAAGCTACAGGAATCCCGAAAAGTTCTGCACATCGAATATTAAAACGTCACAAGCTTCACCCATATCACTACAGGCGTGTGCAGACGTTATTACCGCGGGACTATCCGCTACGGGTCATATTTTGCCGTGTAATGCTGCAAAGGCACAGTGAAGATCCCCACTTCCTAGACAAAATTCTATGGTCGGATGAAACAACGTGCAAGAAAGATGGGTATTTAAATCTTCATAACCTACATAGTTGGAGTAATGAAAATCCACACTTGATGAGACAAGACAAATCCCAATATCTATTCAAGGTTAACCTATGGACCGGCATATTAAATGGAAAAGTAATTGGGCCCTTTGAGTTACAAGGAAACTTAGATGGCAATAGTTATTTAAACTTTTTACAAAATGACTTGCAAGAGTTGTTAAACGACGTGCCCTTAAGTGATCTTCAAAACATGTGGTTCCAAAATGATGGTTGCCAAGCACATTATGCCCGTCCTGTGCGAGAATATTTAAATCAAGAGTATCCAGGGCGTTGGATCGGGCGACTTGGTCCTATCTTATGGCCACCCCATTCACCCGATTTGAACCCCCTGGACTTCTTCTATTGGGGTTGTCTTAAAAACAGGGTCTACTCAAAACCCATTGTGACATCGTCGAAATATCACTCGGGCTGCTGATTACATTAATAGCAGAAGATATGCAAGACAAATAAAACAATCATTTTTAAGGCGATGTCGTGCATCTATCAATGCTGGTGGCAAACAGTTCGAACATTTGCTATGATGTTAATAACTTAATAAATTACACGTGAAACTGTTTGTACCATTTGTTTTGAAATATTAAACATTTTTCAAGAACTAATACTTTTATTACACCCGACCGTCATTTGGCCCCTGTTAAGAAATAATAGAAATTTTATAACTTGTTTTCCTAGAGTATTATACATTAAAGAATTTTTTTCAAAGGGAATCCTGGGTTTAGAAAAAAGATGGGACTAAATGTATTGATTTGTTAGGAGACTATGTAGAAAAATAAATTATTATTTTAACTTTAATTACCGTACCGTACCGTTTTATTTTCATTATCATTACTTTTGGATCACCCCTCGTATTTAAAAAAATTAAAGCAACTGATTAATAAAATATTACTTTACCAATTATAACGGTTAAATATAACGACCTAAAACGTTTGTGCGAAAATGGTACCATACCAAAGGTCTATCATGTAAATGAACCCGATATTTTTATCACTGATGATGTAGAAAACAGATAATGAGTCGATTCGGTTTATCAACAGACTTCACTCAATTCGACTGTATTTTTTGTTGGTTACCTCAGAACTTTCGATTGAATGAACTGATTTTGATGATTCTTTTTTTATTTGAAAGCTCGTGCTCATGTGGTTTCATATATAATTTCATTGGTATTGGATCTTGGGCTTCGGAGGTACGTAAGGAACTCCTGAAAATACAATTATAAAATGAATACAGAGCGAGATATTTGAAGTCGGTTTTGTTTTTCGTTAGTAAAAAGTTGTTATTTTGCTTGTGATTGACATAACATACCATAACATGTAATACCTATTGTCTGATTAGTTTAATAACGTTTTGACCAGTGTTATTGTTCATTGCTTAAATGTAGATTGGATGGTACCAAATTTTTTAGTCGTTTTAATAAATTGATGTGTAACGTAAATTGTGACGTACTCTATCATTGACTAAAATTATTCCAACCAAATCAATGAAATTATTGTTGTACCTGAATCCTGAACCATTTCAAAAGTTAATTTTATAAATTTACTTGCTTTTCTAGTCGTAAGGTAATTTTTTTTATTTAGCATATTTTAAACTATAAACATATAACAAAAAATATATAACAAAAATAAATATATAACAAAAAATTATATATCCATAATTATATGTACTAGGTTCCGGTACGCACTTGATAAGTTTTCTCCGGTTAATGATAGAAGTGTTGCTGGAGTTTCTTACGCCACTTCTAGCGCTTTCCGAAGTTCTAGTAATGATAGCTATAGAAATTCTCCCAGACAGATTACAGCTACCGATCGAGCCGAGGTTCAGCTCTCTCGAGTACGTCGAATCTGAATGCTAAACGGGTATTGAGTGACAATGCGAGCCGAGCACGGGAGCCCTCGACCCTAGTCTCTCCATGGAGCATCCGCCAAAGGACCTAAGAGCTCGGCAGCCTCTCAAATCGGTGAATTCAATAATAACAGCATGACGGCCGGTAAATAGGTGTAGTGGACCATTTCCTAAAACCTATACAGAGGCTTCTGCCTAGCAGTGCGGCATATAGAGGCTGTAACCCAAGGGATCGGATCGGTTGATCATAACAGGTTTTTAATTGGTCCAGCTTCCTGGTCTGGTGCGCTCGATTCACTGAAATTTCAGCTAGCGAATGACGATGCTCCTTCCATGCGTCCAGGAAAGAGCAGCGGCCTGAAAGGATTTTTAGAGAACGTTGCTAATTTAATCGGGAACTGGGAAAACCCTGATTTCAATTTTTAACTAGGTTTTAGCCATATTTTAATGTTTAAAGGGTCAGCTGCTGGTAGCGCAGACGTAAGTTCGATAACATTGGTCCCTGTTCGACAGGTTAATTGGATTGATGACGACTACGGTCACTGTTTTCATATTTCGGGCAAATTGCCATTAAGCAATGTGCCAGAGATCTTTTAGTAGGGCGCCTCACGCCTTTGGTCACATATGCGACCTTTTGAAACCGGACCCAACTCAGACACCTAAACCTAGGTGTCTGAGTTGAGTCCGGTTTCAAAGTTTAAATTTCTTTATTCACTAAAGGGTTATTTTAAGATCATATTGAACGTCAAAAAACTAACAACGGTTCACTTAACAGACCTGTCCAGAAAAGAACCGATAAGAAACTCTGCGGTCGTATTATATTATGTATATAATATATAATTTTATGTTGACAAAATTACTAAGTACAAACAGTGCCCGCGACTTCGTACACGTGAAAATTAAAATAAATTAAATTTCTTAAAATAAATGTAGCCTCAGTTACTCCTTAATACATCAGCTATCTGCCAATGAGTCACGTCGAAAATAAGTCCAGCCGTTTCAGAGATTAGCCGGAACAAACAACAGACAAAAGAATTGTGAAAAAGGTTTAAAACTCCAATTTTATCTATCTGTAAAGATAATATCAGCAGCAGGCAGGGACTTGCAACTGCAGAGTTAGATTTGATTCTTCGTCAGGTGGAAGGTAAAGCAAGGGTCAACCGTCACTTTCATTATGTATTTGTTCTTAATCATCAACATCCATAGAAATGTGAGATCTGAGCCTGACTATAGCCTCGGGTAGGTTAGGTTATAGGCCTGAGGTCAAAGGCCTTGGTACACATGAATTCAATTTTCATTAAACAAAAGACAGCCAATCAAAAAAAAAACTACGATAATTTATCTATATAACTTACATTTAAATTTTGATACTCAAGACTTTCTTTACAGAATAATTAATACATATACACAAAAACAACAGGAAACAAGATAACATGTAGTAAAAACGAATAAAATCGTTTAGATATATTATAATAAACAAGTCTTGGCATATATGGAAAGTACCATTTAAGCACTATACTTACCAGTTTCTAAAAATAGGCAAATAAAACATGTTAATGTTTTATTCATAATTATAGAACCTTAAAATTAAATAACAAAATGTTTTTCAGCGTAGAAATGATAATACACGATACACTACCCATTACAAAATTTAATATGAACCAGATAATTTGTTGGTTAAGTATCTGTTTCTGTTACTAATAATTAAGATTATTTATAACCATAAATAATACTAAATACAAAAAGCGCCTTCATAATTTACAGAACATATCAACTACATTCTTGATTTTGGCAGTTTTCTAATGCGGACAGTATAAAATAATTCATTAAAAACATTGGCAATTTCTGCTAACAGCTCAGAATTTAAAGTTATTGAGATTATGAATGGAGTGTGCTTTTCAAACAGTGCTGCAAAATTAATGTGATTCAAAACAAATTTTTGCGCAGTGCTATAGAGTATATCATACATTAAACAATGGGTTATTACTCAGGATTAAAAATGTTTTTATTACAAAACATGAAATTAAAATTCATATGAAATATTTCTAAACATAATAAAGAATAAAAAGATTAATTTTAATATGTACACATTTTTCCAAGTCACTTGAACATTCTCACTAATTTTATAGAATAAAATACCCAGCTAAATACATAAACTAAATAAAATATGTTACTTGGAAATATTTTAATTCTCCTTTGACCTTTTGTTGACAATATTATGTTGAGATGAGAAGTTTTGAAATCTTCATTAATTACATTTGGTGCATCATTAAGATATCACAATATAACTTGCAAAACATTTTTAAGTAAATTTAAAATACAATATTCCTATACCAGAATCCTCCACTTTAGTAATGAAAATAATTTAAGTGAACGACATTCTAACAAGTTTCAGCAAATATAACACAACAAAGTATTATATGTAAGTAATTTTAAAGTGTTTTATAAATATTATATGCACAATGCATCACAAGAATAAGCATTGTGAACATACTTTTTATTTCCGAGTCCATATGTAGGACTAAGATAATTAGCTTTCAAATATACAAATGTGACTTTAATAATACTTATAATAAAATTGGAATCACAGAAGACACAAAATTAAGATTTTAAAAGTCTTTGGCGTGGCAAGGAAAATTTGTATGGTAACAAGTTCATGCAAATCATAATAAATAAAAAAGTTAGAGAAGCAAATTAACAAAATTGAATTATACATAACATACATAATTATGTTGATTGTAATATTTTAGTATAATAACCAGCTTGTCTATGTTAAAACCTACATTATATTTTTATTGCGTTTGGGTAATTGTGTGATTGAACTAGAATGTCGCTCATATGACTGGCTGTGGTCGTATATGCGTTTAGTTGTTAGCCGCCGGCTGCGGGGCGGGCCTGCGGTCGAAGTGGAATGTGTCGGACAGGTAGAGGCCGAAGATGGCAACACTGTAGAATACCGTCAGACCGAACAGAGCGACGCTCGCGCTCGCCGTGAACATGTTTGAATATTCGCACCTGGAACGTACCAATTCGGAATGTGGACTCGGTGTATTCGGTTTGGAAGCCTCCCCCTTCGCACCCCAAATTATTGGCACTCTAATCTACCATAAAAACATGTTCTCATTATTTGATTGCCACTAATAATTAGGGCCAAACAAAGAACTAATAACCCAGGTCTGCAAGTGGGAAGTACAACCCAAGGAAAGGTTGAAGTCAGGTAGACGGCTGGTCGTAAAAAACAGCCAAAATCGTTTACAACATTACTAACATGTTGCGCTGTGCTGACCCCACACTGATATGAGGAGGAGAAAGAAGCACTACTAACTGCAAGCAGGTATCAAAAGGTAGAAGTTTAAGGAAGCAACTCGAAAAGGTATAAGTTAAAAAACTTGTTTTGAAAACATATCAGATACACCAACTTTGCAGTTTAAGTCAAAGTTCCCTAATAAGAAATCTCATCCAGGTCCAGTAACAGACTTATTAACATCTGAAGAATTATGTATATTAGAGGAAAGACGACCTCATTTTCAGTGTAATCGTTTTTTATGTGTATTCTGAAGTGAAATTTTCTCAAAATTTAATACTGTAAAAGGAATTTATAACCAGCAGAGGTATGGGCATATAAAAAAACTGTATGAAAAGTATTGGCACTACGAAAGTAATGTATGTACCTACTTTGTGAAGAAAATGAAGAAGTGATAAGAAAAAGAAAAATTCTTTTCGCAATGATTGTCTGGAAAAAATCGCTCTCAGAGCGAAAAGACAGCCTATTGTACTTCCTTTTACATTCATTTGTAATTTAAACTTTTTTTATATGCTTACATCTTAGGTGTTTGTGTAAAATATAAATTAAAAAAAAGAAAAGTAGAAAGGGAAAGAAAAAGGTCTCAAATGAAAAATGGAGCCAAAAAACTATGCTTGCTTGCCAAATTCTCACGAAAAAAATCTTACAAACACTAATTACTAATAAATGATAAAATTTGTATGTATTATCGGTGTTTGGTGCTAGTACAAGCCAACACTATGGCCAAGAGGAGTCAGTGTATGGTACTCAAGTTTAATAAAAACAAAGTGAAAGTTTATTTAAATTAAAAAATATTAGTGTAGTTACTACCAATATAAAAAATTATATGAACGAATTTACAAAAGTCAATTTTTTATTATTCAGTGGTCTATATTGTTGTTAAGAAGTTAGTAAGTTAGGAAGATAGTAGAGAGTTAATAAGATCATTATTGAACATTGAAAATGAGTACCACCGTACATTTAGCCCGTTCAGAGAAGAACCACCTAACAAAACTGCAGTCTCATTCACTCTTTTTTTATATGATATATACAAATTTGTAAAATCAGCACTTTGACACAGGGGACTTGCAAGTACAGAGTAAGAGATTTCAACGCACGCTTATCCTCAAATGTTCGACATTATAATAGGCCTTTTCTGTTAGAATAGATTTTACAATAATATGTTTGGAATTATTTGCATTTAGTTGTTTGTGGATATCACTAAACTACAAAATAATCTATTCAACATTTTTTGGAAGTTTTAGTATGTTTACGGTATAAGTATTACTTAAAGTGCCAATAATTGGGTAATTTACTGTATAGACAATACTTTGCACAAATAAGCAGGTCTGTCTGGGTAAGAAACGCGACCTCAAAGAAGAGCAGCATGATGTGGAAATATTATACTTCTACGTTCCGTCTAATGAGTGAGGCCGGGTACATTTTATTAAATGGTTGCATTCATAATCATTTCAAAGGTATATCTTTATTTAATCCATATGGTTTAAATTGTATTATTGGAATATGCTATTCATTAATGGAAGATAATTTTTAGTATGAATAAATATATATAATTATATAATAATTCTTTAGTTAGATAATTTTTGCCAAGAACGGAATTATGACGAAATAAAACTTCGTTCACTTAAACCTAATATCTAGATCTCATGTTCTAATATTTACATTTTCTTTCTTATTTTCAATACCGAAATAAACAGGTGCATGGCTTACACATTGCAAGACCGTAGACCATGCAAAATCTAAGGTCTTGAGATGAGAAAAAACGCATAACTAAACATAGATTTGCAGTGGATACAGAAATCTGGATTTTAACAAAAGCGAACATTGGCAGTGACCAGAGGAAACCGTCAGCACGTCAATTTATATTTGGTCTATTTATCAGCAAATTCTCTTGAAATTTAAAATTCAATTTATCTTGACACCTCTAATCTGTAGTTAGTTCAACACTTCATCCTTTATCTGTGCTCACTGGAATACATCAAACATATCCGAGTGAAAATTTAAAAACATCAAATTGTTACATTGCCTCAAACTGCGTAGTAAAAATAAAGTGTGGAATACATTACCTGAAGAACCAAACAACAGTCAGTGCTACAGAGACGAGGGTCATCAGAATATTCTCGAGGTCCCATGCTCTCTCAGGCTGCACTACCCTCTCTGTAATCAGTTCGTGAGTGGCCGCTACATCCGCATCGTCAGTGACAGCGTGTTGCTAAGGAAAAAGCAATGAGTAAGAAATAAAAAGGAATGTTTGGAAATTTCTCATCAAGATTTTTAAATAACTATTACAGAGATTCCACTTTTACCAAAACACAGAATAAAATATTGTCTGATGTTAACACTTGTTACATAATAGGGGCTTTCGCGGGCGAGGGGCAAGTTTGCCTGGTTTTACAGGTTACTACTCATCCCGCGTCCAAGCTGCTACCCTAAGACTGCAGAGGTTTCTGCATGCGAGGGTCAAGTTTGTCTGGTTTACCAGGTTACTGCTCATCCCGCGTCCAAGCTGCTACCTTAAGACTGCAGAGGTTTCTGCATGCGAGGGTCAAGTTTGTCTGGTTTACCAGGTTACTGCTCATCCCGCGTCCAAGCTGCTACCTTAAGACTGGGGAGGTTACCGCGTGCGAGGGTCAAGTTCACCTGTTCTCCCTGGTTGCCGCTCCTCGCGCGTGCACGCTGCCACCTTTATACTGGAGAGGTTTCCACGTGCGGGGGGGGGGGGGGGGGGGGGTAGTCAAGTGTGGCCGGTTTACCTGGTTGCCGCTCCTCTTGGGGTGCACGAGGCAGTGCACGACGGCCCGGTCGTGGAGCCCGCACGCCCGCAGCGTGGCGCCCTCGTCCACCAGCACGTGCCCGTTGAAGATGAGCCGCACGCGGCTCTCGGACGCCAGTTCCGCGGCGAAGTGGCGCCTGAAAACGTTTCATCGTCATCATCATCAGCCGCAAGACGTCCACTGCTCAACATATGGGAGACATACCATATAGAGGCCATACCATACCACATAGAGACATAGAGGCCTAAGAACGCCAAAATGTTTACGTTTGGGTAATTTGAAATTCATATAAAACTAGCGGATCAGATATACGTTGTCCTGTACACACGGCTTAAATCTGACAACAGCTTATAATTATAGTGGAACTAATTGTGAATTTAAACCATTCTCGGATCATCCTGAAGACACACAATAAATTTCATTATTAATTCAATAATTCGGTCCAGCGAAGAAGATTTATATATATAAACATTGGGAATGTTGCCATCATTGTTTTAGTTGACTTTCGCAGATGCGGAATCCGAAGCTCCTGGTCGGATAAAGCTCACAGCCGCTTTACAATCTACTTTTCTGATTAAACTTTTACAACTATATTTTAATACTATTATTTACCCATTATATAACATAAATTTATATTTCACCACTACATCTCGTAAAGAAACATTTTGTGTTTAAACAGTTATTATATACTACTCTATATTACTCTCTACATTATGCTACTCTATTAATTGTAATCATTTAAATTGCTTGTTGTCATAAAATATAAGTCAGTATTATTCGGGCCTTCAATAGTTTCATTTTACCTCTAACACCACACCATACAATTTATATGTTGTAATATACAGCGTGTCCCTACAACCGCGACAATAAATGAACACACTTCTAACGCTACTTGCCAATAATCATAAAAAAGTATAAAACGTTAAAAAAATACGTAATTAAGAAAATACATTTTTCAAACAAACTAACTAAATAAAAGAGAAACAAAATTTGTAACACCTATACAACTACAACTGACTGATTCATACATTCAGTGACTTTTTGATTTGTTGCCACAACGTCGCATTACAAGTATCTCCTTCTAACAGTATGTTTTATCTCTTTTAAAATCATTCAACGCATTCATATGCTTTGTGACCTTTACAAATGAAATTTACGTTACAGTTTTATACATAAGGGTGTTCTAAAAATGTTTGTTTTGTAAAGTTTAATAAAATGGTAAATATTGATGTTTAAAGAATGTAAATACTTAATACAATGTATTAGGGCCGCACAGCAGCCTCGGCCGTTGCACGAATGGGCAGGCTCGTCCGGGTAAGTACCACGACCTCACAGAAGACCGGCATAAAGTGGAAGTATAATACTTTCGCGTTTCCTCTGGTGAGTTAGCCGGAGCCCAATTTTCAAAAGGTTGTCAACGCATCTGCAACCCTCGGGTGTAGCAGAACAGTCCATGGGCGGCGGTATTCACTTAACATCAGGTGAACCATCTGCTCGCTTGGCAACTTTTCACATAAAAAAAAAAAATACAATTTTAAAAAGTTATCCTCTATATGTATGTTCATTTATTGTCGCGGTTTAACTGTGGTTTAACCACTCAGTTGCTTCTGCTATTACATAGTTAGCTGAATTCTCCAGAGCAATACTAACAGAGGATGGGTGTAAAGAAGTTTAGTATTTTGTATTTCATCTGTTGAGTAAAGGTCCAGTAATCACCCATTGAGTACATATGAAAGTACATAGGCGGCACTCATAACATAACATTTGGTGAAATGCAATTCCATTTACCACATTCCCACAATATTCACTTATACAGAAAAATTATATTCAGGGGCATATAAAAGTACTTACCATTTAAAATCCTTCAATAATTCATCAAGGTTGCCCTCAACCTCTTTCAAGGTTTCATTGAGGAACTTCAACTTAATAAGTATTTTCCTTCTCTCTCTTTCAGCCCTTTCGGCGTCTTCCCTTTCAGAAACCGCATTCGCATTTTGGGATTCCAGCTCTGGTTGACTGTCATCATGTGAACTACTTGGTGTTATGTCATCTTTGTTTTCACCATTTTTATTGGATATTTGCTCAGTGGCAGGTGGAACTTCACTACTCTCTGTACACAAAAGTTTACAAAAGTTTGGAATGAGACATTAATACATACTTCATTTAGGGTCCGGGCTCTCGCTTTTAATCCAATATATTCAAGCAACCTGAGTTCAAATCTGCGCTTAACGGTGAAGGAAAACATAGTGAGGAAACCTGCATATTATAAATAATTAGCTTTTCGGCCGCGGCTTCGCTGGCATTGAAGCCGTTAAATAAATATCTTTAAAACACTTTTTTCCAATTAAAAAATTGCCTATGTCCTTTTTCAGGCTCTATATGATCTTTGTGCCAAATTTCATTTAAATTGGTTCAGTAGTTTGGGAGTGAAAGCGAGACAGAAAGAGTTACTTTCGCATTTATAATATTAAGTAAGGATAAGAAAAAAATGTTTATTGTTAAGTTCATCAATCAAAATAGAGGAGGCCTTTGCCCAGCAGAGGGACATGTATATGCTGCTGCTTTAGTTTCAACAAATAACATCGAAAGTTTATTAAAAGACTATTTAATGAGTAAGAAATGCAATTTATACTTTATTGTACCCTACAACTGGTATTGTATAATCAAGAACAAATAACCTAGAAAAATAAATTAAATAATAAAAGTTAGAGAGAATCTCAAACACATTTGATGTCAATTTTTATATTGTGTCATCTTTATATTGTGGCGCTTTGCTTTCAATCCCCGGACTTAATAAAACTTCGTACATCACAGAACCCGAAAGGCAATTTTTCATGATGTGATGAACATTGTTAACAAAAAAATAAAACCAATTCAGATATCTCACTCACTCTACATTTTGTATTTGTGGACTTCTCTAATGTTTCTATGGAGGCCAATGAAATTAATTTCAATCCACACGGGGGCTAAGCCAAATCCAATGCAAAAAGGATTTTTAAAATCAGCTCATAAAATATCTGTTCAGTAACAGTTCTGGGGTTAATAAACGTTAAAAAAAAACTACAACTGAATTGAGAACCTCCTTCTTTTTTGAAGTCGGTTAAAAATTATGGAATTGTTACCTACCAGCTATCGCGGTCCGGTATGCGAAACGTGTCATCGACGACAAGTGACAGTTTCAAAGGTTACCAAGAGTTGAACTTAGTTTAATTAAGTATAATGAAATAAAAGTAAACACCATGACCTAAGAATGCTCAACTTGCATGTAATTCCTCTTACCTAAAAAGAAAGGCGGTTCACATAAAGTTAAGCAATTAACGCCTCTACAATACCTGAGGGATTACAGACATGTTGCTAACAATGGTCTGCTCTGCTTACTTCTACTTCACACTGGCCTTCTATAAGGCGATGTTAATTCATAGCATAGAGGTAGCAATTTCGTACTATAACACTATTTTTTTCTTTTTAAAATCAAGTTACGTAAGTAAAAAGTAAACCACTTACCACTTGATCTAGTAAAAAAGTCACAGCCAGTTGTTACATCTGCTTCCATTGCACTGACAATGCTGTCCATCTCCCTTATCTGAGCATTGCTTGCTGGCTCACTCTCCTCATGAGTTTCAATTTCCTCTCTCCTAGGCACAGCTGATCTTCTATTGTTATTGGCAGCTATTGAGAAAATTAAAATTTTATTAGTTTCATATCAGTTTTATATCATTGAGACATTAAATCAATGCAATGCACGCCTTATCACTTGATTGCAACATTAACTAATGTATTTAATGTTTCGTATTTTGGTGCATGCAATTCAATTACATGTTGTATCTTACTACATTTTCACCCTAAGACTATTATTACTATTATATTATATCCAACAACTTATTTCAAAGCTAATATATTAAAGTGCATATAAAAACTATTGGGCAACAGTTGATTGATAGCTAAAACTTATTCTGTGCCATATATCACGACGTGACGACCCTAATAGCATAGTGGGTAGTGCACCTGCCTTCTGTGCCATAGGGTGTGGGTCCGATCCCACTACTGGAAGAATATTGTGTGATGAACATAGTGTTTTTTTAGTGTGTGTTTATTTGGTGTATTTATTTACAAAAGTAAAGTATGTTTAAGCATTGCTTAGTTTGGGACTAGAAAATGTGTAAAACTTTTTTACTCAAAAATACTTATTATTATAATTTATTATATACATTTCTAGGATTAGCATAAGTGTCCATTAACCACGAAAAAAATTAAGCTAAAATTATAGGTTATTGTAATTTATCATTTCTGAGAATATTTAAATTAAAAGCAATTGAGCATGAGGAAGAAAACAAAAAATACATAAGTATAATTAGATATGGTTTTTCTATAATAACATGTTTAAGATTGTGATGTAACACATATTATTATAGCATATTTAGCTCCTTAATAACTGTAGTTATACTATAATTATTTGACTCTCTGGTATTCATTCTTAAATTAAACAATAAATTAAAGATTTGTTTGCAAGGCTTTTAACAAGCTTGCTCCATAATTACTATATTATATTTTCATTAAATATTGCAATAAATATTGAAACGAAATTTTGGTACACGATACTGTAAAAGTTTATTTACGATTTTCTACAATTGTTATGAATAGACACTTAGATGGAGCAAAACAGAGACTTACAATTGATTCGCCTATAAAAATGTAGACGGTTATTGTCCAACATAGCCATATCAGCATCTACAATACTATCCATTTCCTGGAGCGGTATTACTCTGGCGCTTTCTCTGGGCCTTTCACTAGGTGATCTTGAAGCATTTGGGGCTACATGAATACAAAAGAGTTATTACAAACAATGGGATGTAATGATATTTTAGTCAGTAAAGCTTCACAAGTTTAATTGTTAAAATACAGGGAGACTTTTTCAAAGAAGGAGGGTCAGACTCAGTAGTATAATCGTTTATTGAAATAAAAATAACCTTTTTTTTTTTTTTTCAAAAAATTACCATTCTTTTCCCTAAAAAACAGAACTTGTTGACAACGCGATAGTCATTCATAAATACCAAAATTTTACTGTTCACGCACACAAACGAATTTGTTTGCGTGTTAGTTATGAATGGTCGCACGTAAAATAAATGTGTTGCGTATAAATCACGCACTTTTTCACATAAGTTCAAATGAATGTAATGAATTACTTACAAGTGATTTAAAATACTTATTATTTTTATATAAAATTATTTATGTCTAGAATTTAATAAAACAAGTATAATTTTTAACAAAAACACTCAATCAGAAAATTAAAAAACATTGTTTATACCTATAACATTCAATGATGGCCATCGATTTCACTGGGATGCCATTATCAGATCCGGGTTTCCTTAGCACCCTTGGGATATCCTTTCCGACAAAAAAAAATAATCAAAATCGATTCATAAACGACGAAGTTATCCGTGAACACACATACAAAAAAAATATATATATATACGGTCAAATTGAGAAACCTCCTCCTTTTTTGAAGTCGGTTAAAAAATGGATACACTTAGAAAAGCCTCCCTGAATATACAATAATGTTTTCATGCACATTACACTGATTTAAGCACGTAAGTAACACAAAGTTTTACTATTATTGTTTATACAAAAAAGTATAAACTAGAATAGTGCAACAAGGAATAATAATAACAAAAACATGTATAACATTTTAAGTAATAGAGCAAGATTTTATATTATAAGAAACAAAACAAGTTTGCATACAATACATTTTAAATGACAAACCTTGTTCAGAACTGATCTGTGGGGAACTGCTTGCTTGAATGTTAGCCATACTTGGTCCTGAAGATTATTAAATCATAATAGTAATTATGAACATAAAATAGAAAAGTGGAAAAAGTCCATTAGCATTTCTAGTACTCGATTACATGTTATAATGCAGTAAATTACATTTTTTTTTTTAAAAACATTACCCTCACTTTAGGATAACATTATCCTGTGTTGTAAGGACGTTTTATAAACATAAATTGCATGAGGACAAACACCCATATGCGAAACAACTATCCATGGGTCGCACAAATAGTTGTCCCGTGTGGGAATCGAACCCACGACCCCCGACGCCGAAGCCAATAACTTGACCACAACTGCGTCATGGACGCATTTATATTAAGTTAGAGCCTTTAGCGCTAACCCAGGTGGGTATATGGGCATAAATTACAATACCTAAATGGTTAAGTAAAAATTATAAGACTTACTTGGGCGAATACTAACTGTAACAGGATGATGGGGGCGGGAACGCATCAATAGGACAGTGCGATATCGATTTGGACGCGCATTTGTTGACCACCAAGCTAGTATTGCTACAATTACCACCAGAACAGCAACCACAAATTGCACTACTTCATCCCCCACACCCTCTATCAAAGTCATATTGTATACAGCTCCAATCCTATAAAATATAAATTAATTTGGCAAATGTAAATAACTTTAATGTAGGCGTAATTCAATCAAAATAAATTTTAAACGTTAGAGAAAAATCACTAATGAATTAATCAACAAGCAGAATTTGGCGGTCACTTATTTTAATTTAATTACGCCTACATTAAGGTTATTTACAATTACCATAGTTTTGCCTTATATTACAACAATGAGCAAACAGAGCTTAATGTATAAAATTAATTGAACTGATAATGAATAATTGTTTTTTGTTTCAGAATACACAAAGATCCATGTAGTGACCTCTGTGTAATTGGCCTATTTATTATTGACAAATGTTGAAACAATAAGCCTGACACTTTTTAGTATCACATTCTATCAACAATATTGGTTGAAAATGAAGTAAAAAGTATATGAAACAATGTTTGTTGTACACATTACTATAAAATCATGAAAATACATCAGATTATAGAAAAAAAAGCAAAATTAGCAAAAAAGTAATATTAGATTTAATACATTATGAAATTTAATTTAGATTTTCTAATTGAACTTTAGTTATAACATTTTATAACGGAGTCTAATAAATAAAAACTTTTAAACCTATATATGTATATATATATATATATATATATATATATATATATATATATATATATATATAAAACTTAAAGAAAAAAACATTTTTTTTCCAAGAAAGTCAAGGTCATGTGTACATTGAAAGTAATTATTTACTGCAACATTAAGAAACGAACTTTTTGCGCATTAACACAAAGAGTCGACTAATAATTTCAGGGAAGTAATTTCTATTTTCTTTTTTCATTGCCCCTATTTCGTACTGTACAAAATAGAATAGGTATGGAGAAACCAACGAGATTAGGAAGTGTCTATCAGAAATGTATTTAGAATAAATTTAACAAATAAATGTTTTAGAATGATGCCATAATTTCAGTAAAAATTCAATATTTTAGAAATTGCGTACAGTACCTTTTTTATTTTTTTTCCTCAATTTGACAGCTCTAAGATTTGAGTTCAAACATGACATAGATAACACAAGTTTTACAGGAAAAATAATAGTTTATACTAAAATATGTATATTCCGTATTATGGAATGTAGAGTACAACGAATTTTTTTAACATGCTTATAGTAGCTTGATAAATATGTATATAACGGAACCTCCGAACAAATTTTGATTTCAACGTGGGTTTCTTAGAATTCCAAGATATTTAAGTAAGCCGTTATCAATTGAGTTCAATATCTTTTCCAGAAACAAAGAGTAAACACACAAATTTGAAGTTATTTTTCTTTTGTTATGCTTATTATGTATACCTTCTTACGTGCGAAAATGTGCGTTGGGCGCCAAAGGAATCGATTTTGAATTACACGAAGGGATTAGCGGGTATATGTACAAATAAAGATACTGTCATCAGTCATTAATCGCATGTATACGTGTTTTGTACGAATCGTCAACTTATATATTGATGATGCCATAACATGGAATGGAATGTGTTTTGTAGAGATAGTTTTTATGTTGAAAGGGAAGACTTTCTGTCGTCTACGCTTCAAAGCTAGATAGCCTCCTCTAAACCAACAAACCTAACGCAGTTGATGGTCAATGAGGGACTAAGAGTCTGGACTTCGTCGGGAGCTAACTTGAACCCTCCCAGTTCCCGAAGAAGCCTAAACTCTTAATATTTCTATTCGAAAGTTATGTAATGTGGTGTCTTCTCTTTATCACCGCAGAATCTACAGAATGGGCTCTGTGAAAGTCCCATTCTGTTCAAATACTTGTTTAACTTACAGTGCCCCGTGAGGGTCGTAATGAGTATACAGTAAAAGTACCAATTCAGTTTGAGCATGTTCCCCTCGGCGGGTTCTGTTTAAACTCAAATGCTCGACTCGACCGATGATTCTATTGTGGTAGGGCCAGGCAACAGCTTTGCTGTTACATGAATTGGCTTAACAGGAGACCAGCGTGAAGTGAAAGTATTAAACTTTACAGTTCATCATGTCGGTGAGGTAACAGGGGCCAAGTTTTTAAAGGTTGTCAACGTATATGCAAGCCATCAGATGTTGTAGATGTCCATTTGTAGGTAGATTCACTTAACATCAAATGAACCACCTGCTCGCTTGACAACTTTTCACATATAAAGAATTAAAAACATGCCTTTTTACTGTTCGCTTCCTTGCTCGCCAACACAGATAAAATATATGCATATATAACTACATACAAAAATGGGTGATAAAGATCATTGACCTGATAAAACGGTAAGTTTTTTTAATCCATTTCGTCTCGGAATCATGAAAACATACAAGTAATTGCTTTTAATGCTTGATATAATAATACTTAATAATTATATAACTTATATTTAATACTCACTTACTTATATAAGGTCTACTGTTCATAGAAAATATCAATAATTATTTTAAATACCTTGAAAGACAAGACCTTCTCTAATGCTATTAGCGCCACCATTATGTTCAGGTATATATGTATAATACATAATTACATAACATATATTTTGCATTTCTGAATAATTTACCTTTGAATATAGTCTTGAACACTTTTTCCGTAAAAAAAAAACTCATACGAGGACGAGTATTTCTTAATTACTCTTACGCTCGGACCAAACTTGAAGTAATTCTTATCTTAAACTATAATAAAAAAACCGGCGAAGGAGGGCGAAAAAAATTATGTCAGTTGTATGGGATCCTCACTTCATTATTTTTTTATTTTATTCAGTTTTTTAGCATTTGAAATACATGACCCGTAAAAATTTCAACTGTCTAACTATAATGGTTAATGAGCTACACCTGGTCGTAGACGGAGAGATAGACAGACGAACAGACAGATAGCGGAGTCTTAGTAATAGGTTCCGATTTTCCCTTAAGGTAGGAAACCCTAAAAGTTACTGAAATTGTTTAAAATTAGGTAGTAGCTTTATTGTAACTATAAACTAGCGTCAGTAGATGAAATTCTTAAAAAATCTATATTTTAATTAGATTTCGATCTATATCTTCGAGAATAGGCTCAAAATTCAAATGATAATTACAATATAATTACTATAATTACATAAATGCATGATACTGTGCGAAAAATTTACACAGATCCACCTATTTTATCTCGAAGATGGGCCCAGAGGATGGGATGCTCATTGCTCACCTCATAATCTTTAAAATTGCGTCATTCCAAATTTAGAAAGAGAGATTCACAAAGAAAAGAAAAGAAATCACACACATATAATAGATGTGTGTATGATTATTTTCTATACAGTTATATGCAGACAGATAATAAACCGAACAATGCTCGTTTTACGCAAAATCTCTGTGACAAAAATTTTCTTTGGCGCATCTACAAAAAATATTATACTCAGTGAAATAATATACTAAAGGACGTATAAATAATTTTTATATTAATACTGTAAGTTTTACAATATTTTGTTATTTGATACAATAAAATTTGATTTATCAGATACAATAGCTTAAATTTTACTTAATACAAATAATCTCTGCTCTAGTACGGAACGTTAAATTACGTGGATATGAAAACTCATTTTTAACATTGTTGTAGATGTAGGTAGGTAGTTAACTGTATATATGAGCATAGTTTTTCCAGTCTTGTGACTTGTGACCAGATTGGATTTACACTAGGCTAGGCACGACTTTATACAATAATTTGCGCGATTCTTATTTTATTTGTAGTTCGCGTTGCGACTGGTTATAAGTTTGGAGTTTCCTAATATTTAAGAAGATTGAAGAAATAATGTTCATTTAGACTTGAGTTTATGCAACATTTATAAAAAAATATATTATTTTCATTGTTTTAGCAAAACATCTTTTAAGTTTGGGCTTTATTTTTGTTTTCGTTTCGCAATCGGTCTTAGAATTACTAAGACCACGATCTGTTTTGTTTGTTTATTGAGGATTTGATTAAAAGGACAAGAAAGTAGAGAGAAGATTCGTCAAGAATTTATGATGAGCTACGTGTACAATCAAAAGGAGAATATTAAACAAATATTTAACGAATCTGACCATTACCTAACGAACATTCGCGGTGTTACGCATAAAGTGAATTTTAATTTTATGAGAAAGGATAAAATAAAGAAGTTTAAGACATCAATTTACAGAAGACACATCAAAATGTAAGTTTTATTTTTATTTCTAATCAAACTAATAGTAGCATGTATCGATCAATAACATGTTTATTTAAAGGTAATTGTTTACAATAGGAACATGCGCGTTTTTGTTTGAAAATATTTTTAATCGATAGAAAAACATTAACGAAATACTCCATACTAATATTATAAATGGGAAAGTAACTCTGCCTGTCTGTTTCGCCTTCACTCCAAAAATACTGAACCTATTTAAATGCAATTTGGTACCCACATAGTCTAGAGCCTGAGAAAGGTATGAAGACGTAAGGCATAATTATGCTATTTTTTAATTGCAAAATGTGTTGTAAAGGGTTGATAGATATTTATTTAAGGGGGCGAAAAGCTAGTAGTCAATAATCGCTTAGTAACTAGTAGACGGAGACACGTACATTTTGAGAAAATAAAAAACTAATATTTTGCAATTTAATACTAAGTAAATTCTCCATTACGTTGTGTACAAAATTCGTTTTTGTACACAAAGTAATTTTAAATTTTAAGAGGGAATTCACGTTTTTACTTTGTTGGAGAAAACTGTTACATAATATTCATAAATTATGATAACTGAGGTTCAACATTAATATATACAGGGTACATAAAAACATTTTTATTTATAAATTGAGATTTTATTATTATTTAAATTTATTAGTTAATAAGTTGAGAATTAGGTTCAATATTTATTTATTAAAAATTGATAGGTTAGTTTCGCTAGATGTACATTTTTATATGCAAACGAGCCCCGTTACTTAAAACGATTTTTTTCTCAATATCTACGTGTTTCCGCCTATAAGATTCGATAATGTTTCTCTGTCGATTAAAATATTTTTAAACGATAAACGCGTGTGCCCCTATTGTAAATAGTTAGCTATCAAAATCATGCTGCTGAAAAACTAAACTAGATTGCTCGGCGTTAGATTGCACGTGTATATAAAACTAGATTAGAACTAATAACTTCGGCTAAGCTACCATTAAGATGTTAACATATTTTTCGGTAAATAAACCGAGCCTAGAAGTTTTATATAAAAAAGACGGTCTGAGAAGTTTATGGCTATTTTTTTTACACAGGCGCCATGAAAGTTCATATCAATATTGTTTAAAAATATATAACTGTCAATGTTATCAACAGTGATACGTCAATGAAGCTTAAAGTTTATATTAAGTTACAAGTAGAGTACGCTAGAAAAAACAGAACTTTGTGTTCATGAAAGGCACATTGAATAACAGGCTTCTTCAGCACCATAGTTCTTTATACTGAGTAGTGAAGCTTCGCATGATGATTTCTTACATTTAATCAAATATATTTAGAACTCGCATGTGTTTCACCAAGTCTTCTAGTGCCCATATCTGAATGTGAAAATTTGTATGGAAATGGAAAAGTCGGTCCTGAATAACTGCCATCATGGAGAACTCGCAAAATTGTGCTATCAGTATTTGTGAAACTGTGTAGGGACTGAGATGGAAACCGTATATGGGTCTTGGTGTCCAGATAAAATTAACTAACTAAACTAACTCCGCTGGCTCAGCGACCCGAAGTGGGTTTTGGCCTCCGATACGAGTTTTTTTATGTGAAAAATTGGCAAGCGAGCAGACGGTACACCTGATGTTAAATGAAAACCGCCGCCCATGGACATCTGCTACACCCGAGGGTTCCAAATGGGTTGATAACCTTTTGAGTTGGCGCCAACGCGCTATCTTGTACGATCTCCTCCCAGTTTTCTGCGTTCAGGGCGCGAAGGACCCTCACCACTATAAACTGTTAAAATTGCTATCGTATATATTTAAATATGCTCGAGAATCGATTGTAGACGACCGAGGCCATTGAGCGTGACATCGCTGGCAAAACCTCGCACCAGCCAGGTTATCAGTGGGCTTGTGAATCAAGTGACTATTAGTACGGTTCATTGACGGGACGGTGTGGACGTCCGTCCATACTATCAAATGAACCATACTAACCGTTTTACATACATAGATACAGCAATTTTGAGCATTCTACAGTTTCAGCACGTTTTGAAGCTGTTTTGTGATTATTCCGATCCAATTATTGAGCGCTTTGTGACTGGGATGGAACCGGGGCTTAAGCTAATCAAGTCTGTGCGATGGTAAGAAACTTCGCCATGTACCTTCGGGGTAGTTTAGATGTTAGTATTGACCAGGAAAACCTTGAAATCCCCATAAGCGCCGCACTCCACCAAGCGACGGAGCGAAACCGATGGGGACAGTTCGTTGTTCAAGTAAACATTAGTCACAATCCTCAGCAGTGAGGAAACGACTAAGAGAAGACATTGACCAGGAAAATCATAGCTGTACATATCTGGTTTTGCGTACAGCATGAAGAACAAATCGGCATGATATTTTGGATTCAAATTAGAGTTGCCACCTATACAGATAATATATAATATATAGTATCATTCTATAATTATGTTAGCCAATTGTAGTGTAATATAATATAGTATGAAATGTGCTATATTTTCATTGCTAATTAAGCTGCCGCACTTTGTTCCGCAATTGTTTTGTTTGTTATAAACGTCTGTTATCCTAACATCTAAACATCAATTACTCGGCTGAATGCCGCCTGTTTTTCGAGTTATTTTTTAATGTTGCATATTTTGTACTTAAAATAACAGTTTGGTTCCATTACACCTCAAGAAGAGGAAATAATAGAAAAAACCAGCAAAGTGTAAGTCGGACTCGCGCACTCCGTAACATCACGTATAAAAACTGCAAAAATTTCAACTGTCTAACTATCATGGTTCATGAGACGCCTGGTGTCAGACAGACAGACAGCGGATTCTTAGTAATAGGGTCCCATTTTACCTTTTAGGTACGGAAGCCTAAAAAGGTTACAAAAAATATAAAACTGAATGGGGAAGTCTCAATGGTGCCATGCTGACATTAGGAGTAAAATGGCAGGAAGAAAGAGAGTATCTTTTAATTTAATTGAAAAGATATTTTAATACGGATTCTTATGATTATTTAAAAAATAATAGAATTATGTGGGCCAAAGCAAAAAGTTATGTGCTAAAATAAAATGATAAATATTATATAGCAAAAATATTAAAAAATTGTGTACTATATTTTCCCCTAAATTTATTAAAATTACTATTTGTTTTAAAAAAAATAATACTATATTTCTCAAAAACATGGTGGCAAACCCACTGGAGCATACAAAAACTGAGCATACCTAAACCTAGACAGCGTGAGCTTAACCTTAACCTAAACTGAGCTTAAATAAACAGTGGTATACTATGATAATATAAACAGCCCAGTAATAAGTTACTGAACTGAGCACATAACAATTGTGCTGTTGATGATTTGTAATTTTATCGCTTATAGCAATTAACTTGCGCGGCGTCGTTCATTCACTAAAACAATGGCAAGATATTTGCTTCGTTGTACGATTAAAATAATTTCTGAAGCTAAGTTTTCGCTACCTAAATAAATCGTGTAGAATACTAATCAGGCGAAAAGTAAATAATTTCGTTCCATGAACCATTGGCCGTGCCTGCCTTACGTAGTTTATCTTATCACGATGACGCATCAAAACGGGGCGACTGCGCCAACTACTCGAGGCCCGATGGGTGAATATTTTAATGTATAGCCTAGACTATACATTGTCGATTCCAAGGTCGTCACAACGTCATTGTTAAGTTTTGAAAAAAGAATAAACTATTTCAAAGTTATTTTATTACAGTCGCTGTATGCTGTACAAAAGACATATTCAAAAATAACACACAGAACACGAAGAACACGAAGAATCCTAAGTATTCAATGCCGTAGCAACCCTACCGCGTCGAAGTCAAGGTTTTATGACGTCATTCTCTTGTTTTGATACTATATTGCTCAGGCAACAAGCATACTTGTATCCTTAAGCACCAATAGACTAGTCTAGACTAATAACGCATATTTCTATAGTTACAACAAAATGGTACGTTCTTATTGCAAATTGTGCAGTCCATGATATTTTTTTCAAAATAATTTGCCAAATGTTTTAAATATCATAAAAAAATTATATTTGAATTAATAAAGCGGAGTTTTTAAATAATTAAACTGACCACTTGCTGTAATTTGCCAGTCGTACTTGTTTTTGAGCATTTTTGTGCCGTAGGCTAGTCGCAGTATTGAGCCAAATCCATCTATTATTTTAGTCTTATAATGTAAAATTAGCTTAATAGCATTTAGCTTAATAAAATCGTAATTTCATTTTTTGGCTCCATCATCGATGACGCAATGGCCTTTTTGATCAAATGTTTATTTTAAGGTTGTTCAACTTGTAGACGAAAATGAATAATTTTTAAATTGAAATGAGTTCGAATGTGTTGTTTGTCTATGGTTTACTGTATGTTTTAATAACTATACGGTTTTTATGCACATTTATTATTATTTTCATTTACTTAATTTATCAAAAAACATCATTTTAAAATTCGAAATACGATCTTCGAAACTCGTTTTTGGATACCACGGCCAATGATCTCAAAAATCAAATAACGGGAACAATTCTTTTTATTGCGACAAAAACTAACAATGAATACAATTATTTCATTTTAATTATTGTATAATTTTAATAATATTTTATATGGTTGTCTAAGCCATGTTTCTCTTATGCTGAATATGGTTAGGTATTTTTTAATTGAATAACCTGTTTGCGTTTGCGAAATCTTTCCAATATATTCAAATATTCAAACATAATTCCATTTAGAATGTAATGGTATGTTGAAATGGATGTTTATTAAGCGGAATTTTACCTGAATGACATTTGGTTCACTTCTAATAGCGTCCGTCTAAAACAGTTAAGTTTTATATTGAAAATGACTTATATAATGACCATTAAACTAATTGTAGTATTAATGGTGGTGGGCCTTAATTCCTAATAACTTAAATAATTATTTTTATTAAAAAAAAGTATAACTATTATTTAATTTATGTTACTAGAGGCCCATAATGTCATAATGTATACATACCTAATAACTATATTTACAGGTTTTATTATACAAATTACACATTTATCTTAAAAGCGATTCAATAAAAGTTTGTCATGGTAGTCAATGCAGGATTTTTCCGCGCCATGTTTTTGTGATAAAATCGTATTGTTATTATACAACGACCAGAGGTAATTGTACACGCAACCATTATTACAATTAAACCTTATATGAAGGCTGTATACTTTGCTCCATTCTACTTCTATTTTAGAAAAAATGCGAAGCACGCAATTTTACCCTATATGCTCGTTAATGAAACAAGAGCTCATTTAGTTCAGTATTGCTTTAGACATTTTGCCATTTATATTTCAAATATGGGGATTTCTATTAAATAATCCACTCTAAAGTAACTAGCCTGTACTTTAGAGTGTCCAATACTGACAAGTTATTTTATTTACGATAAATATAGTAAAGTGTAACAAAATATTATATATTGTCTTCATTTAAATATGTGAATTTTGTTACACAATAAAGGTATTAATAAACAAGACTTAAACATTCAAGTATATCATCATCTCGTTTCCATGCAAATACTTACCTATAATCAAAAGAGAAAGCGAAAGATTATATTACAATTCTTTTATAAGTAATTCGGCAAGAGCAATACATTCCTAAAAATTTAAATTTATCCTCTTTGAGAAACTTTTGTCATTGATAAATTTGTCATGTAAATTAATAAAGTCATGATAAGAATTCTTTGTAGCTTGGAGTCAAGGAAATTCGTTTTTTTTTTATAAAGTTGCCAATTTTTTAATTGTTTATTGTTTTTTGAACAGTAAATTCTCCTGTAATCAATTACATAACATCTTAGTTTTATTTACGCAATCGTTTTAATATTTCGCTAATTACGCTATATGCAATCATGGTAAAACCCCGTTGCTGAACTTCAAACTCCAACACCGCATTTTGTGACAACGATCATATATATATATTATACCATCCACGTTTGTATAGCATGAGTGCAAAACGCGGCGATCTCGTGACTCTTTACAAACGAACGACGCCCATTGGTGCTTTTGGTTGACGTCACAATTGCGGACCAATCGACGGGTCGGCGAAGATTATTTTTAGAACACTACGCCGCTGTAGAGGGGATTGAGGAAAACTGTACGAGGCGCTTTCGGCGCGAAGATTGCACAACGTTTTCTGAACCCCAACGCGGCGCGTGTATGCCAAGTTCTCGTATGAATTGTGTTTCAACATTTAAAGCAGTTGTAAAGTATTTTGCTCGCTAGCGGTCGATACGTGCCGAACCCTAGCCTTTCCAGTCGTATCTTTCTCATTTCTTTTAAAGTGTGACTATTCTAGAAACTACTGGGGCTTTCAAACAATTTCCTTGCTTGAGGTGAGTTATTTTCGTTACATACAAATGAACCGGATTTATTTTAGAAACTTATTATGAATTCGGTTGTTGATTTGGATGAAAAAAGAGAAAGGTTACCTACGTTTTCTGCGTCGCAAAACAAGTTTTTGTCCGTGCGCCACATGCTCCAAATTAAAAGCCGTACAAGTTTGAACTTGTCATGCTTTCGTATTTTGTAAGCTTTCCATGTTTTGGCGACGTGGTTTCGTCCCTGTACCTATACAATGTGTTATTTCTCTAGAGTTCTGGATACGCTAATTTGGCGTTTATTCTTTTTGTAATTTAAGTTTTAGGGACGTAAAGTTGGTCTGAGCTGTTATTTTCTTAGGAGATTCGGTTATTACGCACACAATAAGTATTTTTTCATATTTTTCTATTATAGTTAATAAGGATGAATCACTTTATATCGCATGGACGATTATAATGAGTGGTTTTGTTAAATCGATATTATGTAGGCGAGTAATAACGACGTAGTTCCCGAGGTCGCATATCAAGTTCCGAGAGATAACGTTAATATTAATATAATGACTCTTCATTCCTTCATAATTGGACAACTTATAATATTCTTAACTTCATCATATGTGTAATATTAATTACACTTCAGCAGATTGCTATTTATAATTTGGTGAAATTCGAAATCTTGAAATTACATAAATATGAATATTGCATATGCGCGCAGCAGGGAAAAAGGGGCTTTATTAATTTCTTGCGTTTGGGTTTTCCCCATGCGCACTTACATCGGAAGGCGATTAGTTGAATCGTCATGTGAACGGATTGAATGTTGTCCCTTACCGCACAAACGAGTAGTTGGAATGTAGTAATAAAGCGTTATTTTTTCTGTTTCAGGCCTACTTTGCTGACAATTGATTACCTGGGAGCCTAAAGAGCTAAGATTTCATTAGGGACTCGAGAGGAGTTCAATAAAGTAAGTGTGCCCAGGGCGGCGTTTTATTTTAGTTGTAACGCGTTATCTGTTACAGGTGCAGAAGGTGGATTTTCAAAACATTTTCCAATCATAAAATGTAAAAATTAACTCATTTTGAAAGCAATAACATTTGAAATAAATAATGACAAAGAACAATTTAAAAAATGGCTAATTTTTTTAAAACAAAAAATATCGCAATTTAAAACTTTTTATATACCTAGAGCCTTTTTCAAGTTACCATTTTGGACAGTTTTAGGTGAAACTTTGCTATAAACATTTTTAGGGTATCCCATGGTCCTTCATTCATACTTAGCATTTTTGATAACTTTTAACTGCTTAAATGTCGTAAACAGCGGTTATAAAAAAATAATAAATTTTTATAAACATGTTTTCTTGTCCCGCCATGAAGGTTCAATTAAAAAACAAGAATTCAAAACGGTCGACCTTCATATTAACGCATCTAATTAACTGTAATGAAATCGGTTATAAAAAAAACAAGATGGAAGCGACTTTGAGACCAAATCACACGTAACCACAAACGTTTATTGCAAGGGGATCTGTAGCCTGAATTTTTCTTTTCGAAATCGAACACATCTACTAATTCGATTAAATTTGTGTAGATTCTGTGTTTAAAAGAATAATATGCAGAATACTGTTAATAAAAATTGTACACAGAGTGTTCGGGGAGGGGATATGATAATGATGTCAATTTCATTTACGATTCGGGCCCGGAAACAACGGTGTCAAAAAAACTAAAGCTAAAACCTAGATCCTACAAAGATAGTCTAAACAATTCAGGCTACAGTTCTATTTGTGAATAACTCTTTAACATCCATTAAGACATACGATACCACATATATCTTTCTTACATTTCACAGATTGGTTTAACAATTACTTACTCATAGTTAATTACTTCCAATAGATAAGTAATACACCTAAGTTAATTTGCCATACGCAGTCTTCTACTAACACATAGTATTTAACTAAATAAGATTAGATAATTTTCAGTAATATTAAGAAGTAATTTTTAGTTAATTAGGGGTAATTATATTCAATTTAATATAAGCTACCTAGTTTAATGATGAAATTTTGGTAGAGAAAGTAGTTGGGTGGTAAAATGGGCAGGTGATGAATATCGCAGCAAACTTGATTATAATTTAATGCGTTGGCAATTTCAAAATCAAACGAAGTAGACGATTAAATGAAAATATATTCACCACAGAAGTTGTTAACGATGCTTTATCTATCATACGTTATGAACGTATGGTATCTTGCAGCAAACATTGTGCTATATCACTACCCTTTAAATTTTATAAAATCACAACAATATATTTATTCAATCTATATATTGAAGTAAATATTTCTACTTTTGCGTGCTGAATCCTATATCTATATGTATAGTATGTATCACAATATTATATGCAACCACAATTCCTTTCAATGTCATGTAAGAGGTTTTCTACATACCATTTTATTTTCAATACATTTACATATAATTATAAACTTGCCTCAAGGTTCTCTCTATCTTGTGACATTTAGGAAGTCGCGCCGAACAGTCGATACGCCTGTTTACGTCACTATCGTTCCATTTCATCTTAAAATGCTCATAATGCCGCCATTTTTATTTGCAAGTTCTCCTTTATTCCCCTTTTAATACGAACTCTTTTCTAATTTCCCAATCGAATCCCAGCCCTTCCCGTCCTCGCTTTATAAAAATATGCACATGATGTTACGTCGTATCATTTCTTTTTGTAGTTCTATACAAAATGGTTGCTCAAAAGATCACCTGTCCGAGTCGGAGCGACGATATCGGAAATCGATTCAAATCAAACACCAAAAGATATGGTTTTTTCGCAAACGAGTCTCAAGACTCGAAACGTTTTGAAAGTGGTAGAAATAGATCTTTTAAAGGCAGAAAAGAATCAACAGGCGAACGGTCTAACCGGAGTGGTTACAATCAGAAACAACGTATCGAGGCCACCATCTCCAGTGGCAACCACCAGCTACTCAGAGGTAAGAACGGCCCCGGTAACCGTGAGTACTTACTATAATTTAATTAATTACCTAATGTAAGTTTATAATTTAGTTATCGCCAACATTCACACGTACCCCTGCTAATATGCGGTTCGACTGAACTTTCAGGAATTTCCGAAACCGGAGCCCCAATTGCCGAGCACAATGATTCACGAATCGGACTGCGAGTTCTTCCAAGATCTGGTTCAGTGGTGCGCCGCTCCCGCCGAGGATGTAGTAGTACAGTCCACTGGTAAGTATTTCGATTACTTCGTCGCCCCATCCCGTCAGCAAGTACGTCAATAAATGTGCATCTTTCTTTCGCAGACTCCCCAAATTACACTGAAGACAGGACACACAACACAGACACACCGCACACACCATTCTCGCCGCAAGGCTGGGATGTATCAGACGCTAACTCACCCTCGGCTCAGGCAAGCTTCTACAACGCCATGTCGAACCCACTGTCGCCGACAGTGGACGAGCTGGAGAAATTTGACAACGAATACCTGAGACCGCTCCAAGAGAAGGGCCGGGTGCCGTTTCCGGAGCAGTTCTTAGATATAAGCAACTTGCCTGTGGTTTTGGGGGAATTAGCGTCGGGGAGGGGGGCCGATGTGGATCCGTGGCAAGTCCCGGAGCCGATCGACTGGCTAACACACGATACAGAACACACAAAAACAAACACAAGCCTACATACCACAATGCCCTTCATCGAGGAGGACTCGCTGGACATGAAACTAGTGTCGGTTATACCGCGGGAGGTGGAGAGCAATGACGTAGTCATATCGGAGTACATACTGAATGACGACCAGGTAGCCAGGAATATGGTGGGGATTCCGGATTTCGGTACGGAAAAACGGAGCCGGGGGCTGTCCGTAGACTTGGCCGCGTGTGCCCCGAGCTGGCCCGGCGATATAATTAGCACCCCGGAGGTCTTAAGCTACGTCGAGCAGTTGGAGAAAGAGAAATGTTCAGTCCCAAGCCCGGTAAGAAACCTTCAACTGCACTACGTCGTACCGCGTTTCTTTCACCCAGTTCCCTTCGTATTAAATACGGTTGAACCGCAATTGAGCGAATTTTTTAATGGCTGTATGATACGAACACAGCAATCATCTTGAGTTGCATGTGTATTCATTTGTTGTTTTCCTCTAAACAGACGCCGGCGCCGCTCGAATGGCCCTCGCGCGACACGTCCACGGACAGCATGACCAAGAGCGAAATGTCGCCGCCGCTGGACTACGAACCGATCACACCGAAGACCGAATCCCACGCTGACTCCGACAACGACGACACAAAGTCGTACACTAGCAAAAAGCGGCGCCGCAACAGCGAGGACTCGGACGCGACCTACACGCCGTACAACGAGCACACGCCCCGGAAGTACAGGAAGAGGAAGTCCAGCATACCGATCGTGGACAAGATCCGCGCATTGGAGGACTCGCAGCAGCTGAAGCCCACCCGTAGGGGGCGCCCGCCGAAACGCAGAGAGAGCACGGTCTCCTCCGTGTGTAGCGTCGACGAGAACTCCTCGTCGGTGTCCACGCACGAGCTCAGGTACAGGGAGCTGAGGGACAAAAACAACGAGGCATCAAAGAGGTCCCGTATGAACAGGAAACTGAAGGAGCTGCAAATGGAGCAGCTCGCCCTGGAGCTAGAGGAGCGGAACAAGAAGCTCCGAGTCAGAGCTGAGATATTGGAGGACATGACCAAGAAGCTCCGCGAGGCCTTCATGTCGGCAGTGTCCCAAAAGAGGCTCAACAGCTAATGCATATGAATTGAGGAACCCACGGTGGAAATTGATGGCAATTTATATGTAAAAATCAATGTTCGTAGATAACGTCTCGTGCGTTAGGATGCTTGATAGGTGGCGTTTATTTCTGTGAATATGGATAGTAGATTGAGGAGTCTACTGACTTTTTGCTTGCTTCGTTGGTAATCCATACCCGGACTTGACAAAAAGAACCGAGTCTATATATGACTTGATAAGAGAAAATAGTTTTTAAGCTTTTCTAATTGTTAATTCAATATAATGTCGACACTTAATAATATATTTTTAACAATTAAGTGTTGAAACTCTGGTATCATGAGTTCTATAAGTGTTTCGAGATTACTGTTCTCGAAATATTAATTCTACGATTAAAAATAAATCTCTAAAATACCTATACTTATTATTAATCTATAAATCAGTTAGTTTTTGAAATAATGCATGGTATTTAATTGGAGTAGACTTTATCTTTATGTTGTATTTGAAATAAATGATTTGGAATTGTTGCCAAGTGTTTTATTCTTTCTGACAGTATTCAAATCTAAAGCGATATTCATCCACGATGACTGCACCATATGAAAATACTTTATTAGTAGAAGTGATGGGTACAATGGGCGACCTTATTACTTAAAAGAATTTCTATAAAGAAACGTTTGGATGGACTAAAAAGAAAATGTATTTAGGAGTAAAGGTATAGAGGTTAAATTTCAGCAGCCCGCTACTTTTATATAGCAAACAAAAGAAAAATTTAAACGATAGAGAATTATAGAGACATTTCACTAACGAATTAATCAACAAAAAAATTCGATAGTCATCTATAGTTTTTCGGGAAAAAAACGTAATTAAATCTTGTTATTTTCACTTAGATAATCCGCCATTTTGTTGTTAACGTGTTATATGTATTAACGTTTCACTACTAAAGAAACTTTTTTAAAAATACTCACATTTGGTAATTTTGCTTTATAAAAGAAATAGTTATTAAAAATACTGTAAGTAACTTTACACCGACATTTCTTCTTGTCTTGTGATATAAATAATTATTGCATCTAAAACCTTTCGATTTAAATCTAAAACGTTTTGTCCACATTTAAAACATTTAAAAGTTTCTAAAAGAACTCCATGACGACACAAAAAATTAAAAAGTACTGAAAGATTTCTGTTTCTATTAAAATTTTGTAAAACGAATGAGATTTTAAATTACAATATGTAGATAATTTATCAATACTGCTACTAGACACACACGTATTATTCGCCATGGTAAATACGAGTAACTTAAAGTTAAATATTTTTTTTTGTACGTACGGTATTAAAATTTAAATGAGCGGGAAATACTTTTGGTTATAAATTTGACATACAATTAGGCATCAAAAATAATGATACAGCCAATATGCTAAAATCGATTTCGAAACTATTACAAATTTTATCAAAAGCCCTTAACGTCACCATGGTGAAATATAAACCGATATAAATTGCATTTGACTTTACTTAACTCAAGCTAATAGGTTTTAACCGTGATTTTTATGTAAATTAAGTTAGGTCCAAAATGAGTCACAAATCCGACACAGAGCACCCCGACTCCAGGTGGTCTTGTGGTCCCTACCCCTAGACTGAACATAAAAAGGCGGAGCCAGAACCTCGCGTCGGAGGTTCTAAATGGCGCAAGCCCGCGAGGCCAAGTGGAGCAAAAGCCGAGTGGGTAAAGCGACACTCAGGGGCCACATAGCGAGTGTTCTGGCGAAGCACGTGGGAGAGTCAAATTTAATAATGAAGTCATATTTTTTATATTTTTTATTTTTATTTATTAAAATTACATGCTTTTAAAATCTTCATCTCTAATTTTTTTTTGTTTTAGGTACAAAAATATGAGAAATATTCAAAATAGAAATATTCGAATTTAATTTAAATCAGTTTATACTACACCATGGTAACGTTAAGGGCTTCTAACAAGAAGATTTTATAAAATTTCTAATTGAGTTTTGAAATCGATATTAGCATATTGGCTGTATCAATATTTTAGTGCCAAATCGGATATCAACCAAAAGTATTTCCCGCTCATTTTATATTAATCAAATATGTATATACCTACATTATTGTATTAATCCACAGAGTACTTTAGTATATACTCTATTAGTCTTATTATTTAATAAACATGTATTCCAATCGGAATCAATCGTACGATTTACGGAAGGTTTTTGAAAGTTGACAATAATAAAATGGTGGATTTTCTTAGTGAAAACAACAAGATTTAATTATGTTTTTTTTCGAAAACTATACGTGACTACCGAATTCTACTTGTTGATTAATTTGTAAGTGATATGTCTCTATAGTTCTATATCGTTTAAATTTTTCTTTTGTTTGCTATATAAAAGTAGTGGGCTGCTGAAATATTACCTTTTTGAAATTAGTTAATGAATGAGCACGCATTACTTCTCGATTCTAGAGTAAATCATTTCAGAGTCGCCCACACTACAACATAAATTACCAACTCATAAACTTGGTTTATTGCGTAGGAATTTTTAGCTCTCAAGTTTTCTGATGACCTCAGAGACGAGTGGGAATCGCGTAGAAATTGGAAACGTTCCTGTGATGGATTAAACAGAATGTTGAAAACAAGAGAAAGTATGTGAGCATTCCGAAGTAGACAAATAGGCAGCCACTTGATCTTATTTGCACAAGCCAAACATGAATCGTATGCAAAAATGTTGAATACGCTCTAGCTTATCAAGTTGCTCAGTGAGATCTAGATAGCCGACATCTGCATAGTCTAGTAACGGAAGTAATTTTATGCAAGAGCAGTTTTGGTGGCAGTGGGTAGGAAGTTGCGTGATCTTCTTGACAAATGCTGCTGAAGCGAATATCTTGCGAGTTATTTACCTTATAGGTGAGGGCCCCAAGATTTTTATTTAAAAAAATTTCTAACACGTAAAATACTAGATGTTTATAATGAACATTGGATTGATTGAATTTTTTTCACGAAGAAACCTTATGGAGCCCAAAATCACATTCAGAATTATTATAGGACCTTGCGATAGCCTCAACACCAGAATTTCCATAAATTAAAATGCAATCAGTATTTTTCTAAGGCGTTTGATGTTTGAGTAATATACACCGTTTTGTGTAAGACGGGTTCGTTTTATGACATTAATCATTGTTATCTGATATTGAAATTTAATTTTTAACACTACAGGAATAGGTTTAGACAACTGATACAAATATACATGATATGTTTATACCTATACCGTCCTCACAAACAATATCACAGGAATGAAATTGCATATAATTTGATAGCAAAAATTCATGCCACATTACTTTGTGAGACACACAGCCGTTTCTAAATATGCATCGGCCATCATGACCAATCACACCTGACCTAAAAGCAGATTGGCAGAAGCAGGTAATGTAGTGTTTTTAATTTTACATTTATTATTATTCTTGCTCGGTCCCTCAATGCTGAGGGTCGTGACCACATGATGTTCTCCACTCCGTACGGTCGTAGCTGGTGTGAATCGCGTGTTGCATGCTACCGCCCGTCGCAATCTTAACTAGGTACGTCATCTTGTCGGTGCCCTGCCATCTTGAGCATGTCTGCCGTTCATCTGGCCTGTAACAATCTGCTTCTCGAGTGTGCCTTGAAGATAGGATAATGCGTCCAAATATGCGTTCACATTTACATTTCAGTAGTAATAAAATCAAGTTGCATAAATTGGTAACAATTGTATCATATGAAGTAGGAAAGAGATGGATTTTTTAAATTTGTTATTCAAAGCTTATGAAGTGTGTGTCCGTTTTCATTTAATTTTATCATGTTTTTTAAATAAGTATTCAACAAGTTTGGGCGCTTTGTTAAAATTGTAGAAACTTACTATATTCGTGCATTACACGTGCATACACGTCCTGTATCATGTGCTCATATAATACCTTCCACATTAACTCACCTTCACAGTGTAAAAGTAGCTTTTTTGTGTAGGTATGTAAATAAAGATCAAGAAATTATGAATAATCTTTGACATTTATCTATTTCAAAATTAGGCCAAATATAACCTGAACACATCTATAGGACAAAAATAGTTCAAAATAAAATTCCGAAATCTGAATGATATGATTTTGAGAACCTTAATAATAGTAATCAATAACAGATTACACAATAAAGTTAAACAAATTAATGGGGCTGTAAAAAGAGTAATTTATTTATAATTCACAATGAGACAAATGTACCAAAACAAAATTCTTGAGATAATAATACAAATAAAGAAGAGTCATAACGACGTTATTAAACCAATAAGAATATCCTTGTGACCAGGCCTTTATATTTAACAATTAGGTACTTTCATTACCATTATCTATATTTATTATTTTATGCTCAGGGCTGGCATACTATAGCAACAATAGATGTGGTAGATGTAAATATATAATAAGCCTTAACAGATGTTGATTAACAATTTTCGAATGTAAACATAAATAATACAATTAATATTCTAACAATAATCTAAATCGACTAAATATTTTAATATAGACATATTCTAAAATAAACAAATGGTTTTCATAGTGGCATTACATTTTTGCCGGCATATTTAATTCTGGTAAGGCTAACTAAATATAGCACAAATCATTTGCACAGACAATTGCTATTCACAAAGAAAGTAGATGGGACAGCAGCACCTATTTCAGAAACCTGTATGAGAAGGATCATAGGAATATTTAGCACTTATTTCCTTGGCCAAATTTCTTAACCGCACAAAAAATGATATTATTAATCAAAACCATGAAAAAATTTACACCATTCAACACAAGGTCACAAATTATGAGCCCCAACCTTTAAGGCCATTGTCCAGTAAACAGTCTCTTGGAACAATTATACTAATGTAAATTGAATGGGAATGCCAGTTGAATTACATTGTAAAACGTTACCGATTTAATATATATATTGTTATTCACTCTATTGGAAATAGCTTTAAAGGCTGGGGCAAGCCTCGAAGAGGTGAGGACATATAGCAACCCCTAATATACACGTTTGTCACACCACACTAGGAATTACTCGAGTCCTATTACATAGCACAATATTAGATCGTCCATGTGCTTAACAATAAGTCTTCGTCACTGTATCGCCGACACTCGAAAATTTACGCTTTACACTGAGTCACAATGAAACTGACACTGTGATAAAGAGTACATGGGGCTTCTGTTTTATGTTAATCGGACACACCGTCATCGGCCTCCTCCAGGAAGCTGAATTTATTTGATGCTACAAAGTTCTGCAATAAGGAAATGTTTGGTATTAGTAATTATTGAAAAAATTAACAAACATTTTTGGAAAAACAATATGAATTAAGCTTCGCTTGGATATTGCTAACAAAATCATCATAACAGGTGACACAGGTGGTTCTGAATGTTTTCTCAGGATTTGGTTTATTACATTTGATATTAATTTAATTTTCTCCTTAAAACATTGCTAATAATTTTAAATAACTTTAGTAATCACTGCTAATGGGCAAGTTTCTAATGTATGAAAGTTTCATTACATTTTTACTAATTGGTTTATGATAGTCTTTGAATTGATAAGATAACAGTAAAAACATTTTCTCTCATGGCGCCAATATAACAAACATCAAAATGTACCCCCGCACAGCTGCAGTACAAGTACTGCCAGAATGTAAGAAGGGGTAGTGTCCGAACTAGTAATAGTACCAGCCAGGCAGTTTAACGACACGAGTGGGTGACTTCTCTAAGTTAAATACGACATGACATGCTCACCGGTTTCTCCTGTTCCTTCAGTTTGGGTAGGGGCTTCTCGTCGCGCTCGTCGTGGCGCTCGCGCGAGCGGCTCACCCTGTCGCGCGAGCCGCTCAGCCTGTCACGCGAGCCGTTCGCCTCCGGGGAGGGCTCCCTGGGTCCCTCGCTGCGGGGGCGCTCCTCCCGCTCCCGGTCTCGGCCCCTGTCGCCCGAGTGGTCCCTGCGGTCGGGCTCGCGTTCGCGGCTCCGTTCGCGGCTCCGGTCGCGCCTGTCGCGCTCGTCCCTGTAATCGCGCGGCTGCCTATCGTCCCTGTCGAAATCAAAATGTCCTCATTCAGTTAACGAGGCTTATTTCAAATTCTTATTGAAGGTCAAGAAACTACTACCGGTTAATTCTGCAGTCTTATTATCTTAATTTTTTTACACAAGTATATAAAATTATTTAGGTATAAATTCAGCAGCGGCCACGCGATAAAGGCAAAGCAAGAGTCAAAAATTGTAACATAAAGTTCATTTGTAAAGGTCACAAAGCATATGAATGGGTTGAATGAATTTAAAAGAGATAAAACATACTGTTTGCTGTCTGTACATAGGCTTGTAATGCGACGCTGTGGCAACAAATTAAAAATTTAATAAGTAATAATACTTTTTTTAAATTATGTATTTCTTTTAACGTTAATATTTTTTATGATTATTGGCAAGTAGCGTTAGATGGGTGTTCATTTATTGTCTCCGTTGTAACGACACGCTGCATATTATTCAATTCTCAATATAATAACGCCCTAGCGATTAGGGATGCTTTTAAAAAATGTTGTGTTGATGTCACCTATTTTATAAGTTAATACATGTACCAATAAACGAATTTCTAGTTTTAGCGAGCGTAAGCCGCGGTACCTGTAATCGCGGCTGTCCCTGTCGCCGTCCCTGTAATCCCTGTCGTCGCGGGAATCGCGCCTGTCCCTATTGTCGTCTCGCTCGCGGCGATCCTCCCTGGAGTAGTCGCGCCTCTCGCGCGACGTGTCGCGCCGATCTCTGTCGTCTTTTGAATAGTCGCGCCGGTCTCTTTCGTCCTTTGAATATTCACGCCGCTCTCTATCGTCCTTTGAATAGTCGCGGCGTTCTCTATTGTCTTTCGAATAATCACGCCGGTCCCTGTTGTAGCTGCGTGAGTCTCTACCGCGTTCCTCTGCAATTCGAGATTCAATAAAAAAATTAGTTCCACCCATGAACTGCAATGTATCAAATGATTAATAAAATTGAAATAATCAAAGTTAAAAAACAAAAGTCATTTTATATTCTACTATGGGACAGTAAATTATAACTTGGAAAACATAAGTAGGCAGTTTAATTAGTAGGTTAAGGAAACTGAGTAGATAGTGCTTACCACGTCTCGCACCGCCACGACGGTCACCAGAATGATCATTCTGTAAAATAAAAGATGATAGTTTTTTTTACACAAAGATGTGTATAAATCGGAATTGTAAAGATTATTGGGTATTCGGCCAACTCAGTGTTTCGCTGATACCGAATTCTAAAGATGTTGTGTTGTAGTTAAATTGGTAAAATCAAAATATTGAACCATTTTATAATAATGTTTTTCTTGGTGTACTGGTTTTCTTTATGAGGAAGAAGATTTCGCGATCGAAGATTAAGATTTTGCGTTTCATCTAGTGAGGTAAACAGACTCCGCAATTTAAAGGTTGTCCACGCATCTGCAAGCCCCTTGTCAAACTTTAACAAAATGAAATAAAATCATACCCTACGGCTGCCCCAACGTTCTTTCTCCTCAGCAGCGCGTCTGGCCTCCTCTTCTTGTTTACGAAGACGCTCCTCAATTTCGCGCTCCCTGTTAGAAATTAAGTCACATAAGATACAGAAAATGCTTAGTTTTTAGCAGCAATTTCGTGTTTTCTAATTATCAAATGTTGGTATTGAGCGACCGAATCGTGCATTTATTGGCTCGGTACGGTGTCTTTGTTAACCCTTTTCATTTTGCACAATACGAGTTAGACAACTCCAGACAGACAAAACAAAATAATTAAGTCTGTCTGTAAATGTGCTGACCTTAATGTTTTTTCTACAAATGAGGAAAATATGATTTATTTGTGTGTTGCTACATACAAATAAATAAATTTTGCTCAACAAAAACATCTAAAACCACAAAACAAATTCTTTTAAAGTATTTTACGGATGCTATCGCCGTTGTCGTTTTTAAATGCCCAATATTTCAAACTCTACACATGAGCACATCGGGAAGTAGGACAGAATGAGCTGTTCACTGTTCTAGTGTCATAATTGAACTATGATAAGTAGTAAAGTATAAGCCTATACATGTCCCACTGCTGGGCAAAGGCTTAATCTGTACAGAGGGTATCAGGGCACAGTCCACCACGCGGCTCCACTGCGAATTGTCGGACTTCACATACCTTCGAAATATTCTTTTCGTTATTATTTCGAAAATATACAGATTTCCTCACGCTGTTTTCCTTCACCACTGAGCACATGATAATTCAGCACTTAAAATTGACAATTGCATTGGTGCTGGCACCGGGGATCGAACTCAGGTTGCTTGAGTATATTGAATTAAAGGCGAATGCCCCAACACTGAGCTATCACGGCTCAGTATGATAAGTAGCACCCCCTTATCCATTATTTATTTTGGTTAGTCAGGCTAATAATGTCCACAATTCAGAATATTCTTATACCGTATGCGAAAATAGAAGTAATCATTATTGAGCCACTGAAAAGATATTTCAATACCATACCTACCTATATAATCATCATAGTATTGAAATATCTATATAATCATCAATACATAATCATTATATTTATCATGATTACTTAACTGGTAGATCAATCAAAAAAAAGATATCATTTGCTTAGTTTCCTGGCAGCTATCTGTTATGTTGTGCTAATGTGGGTAAATATTCAAGATTTACATTGTAAATATTGAAATAACTGGGCTGAAAAAATTTTAAGCTTACTTAGGTTTACGGAACGAATCTGGGACAAATTATCCAGTCAACTTTAAGTTATTTAAAGTTAAAAATTTGGGCATCATATTTGATCAAACGTTATCCTGGACGCCGCAAATTAGTGAACTAAGCAGAAAGATGTTTGCTGCAGTTGGCTCACTCCGAAGATTGCGCAATGTCTTCCCCATCTCTACTAAAGTTGCTCTGTCTCAGTCTCTTTTTCTACCGATTTTCGAATTTCTACCGATCCTCGACTACGCGGACACTTGTTATCCGGATCTATCTGAGGAGCAACTTAATAAACTTGAGCGGCTTCAAAATCACTGCATAAGGTTCATATTTGGGTTGCGAAAGTATGACCATATCTCCGAATTCCGCCAAAAGCTCAAGTGACTCCCGATTCGTCTTCGCAGGAATACTCATATTCTTCATCTTCTTTACTGCATTCTGTTCAATTCCACCACTCCTCATTATTTAAAAGATCAATTAATATATCTAAATGATTTACACTATTTTTCTCTATGTTCTCAAAATAATTTTCTACTAAGTACTCCTATTCACTCCTCTTCCTTCTATGCTAATTCTTTTACGGTTTCTGCTATACGTCTTTGGAATTCTCTTCCTTTAGATATTAAACTATCTAAATCTCTTCACATTTTTAAAACTAAATTAAAATGTCATTACCTATCCTCTTACTATACTATCTGTCATCCATCATATATCTTTTTTTTTTCTGTCTATATGTATATATATATATATATATATATATTTTTTTTTCTCTATTGCAATCTATCAATTTGCAGATATTCAGCAATATGTATAAAATGAGAAGGGCTTGCACGATAGCAGTCCAGTGACTGCTTCGTTGATTCATGGGCCTTTCAGAAAAGGTCTTGGGGAATCTTTCTTTTTAGTCTACGAGCCACTGTTTGGGTGTTCATTAGATTGACTGCCAGCATATTTGGATGATTAGTGATTCGCTTCTTGTACGCTTTAATCCTTTCGGAGATTTCTTCTATGACGCTTTTGACGCAGAGGTCGTGATGGAGTCTACCAAGGTGCGTTCGTTATTATTCTTAATATCTTTGACTGGACTCTCTGTATATTTTCTATGTTTGATTTAGCTGCTGTTCCCTAGAGTTCTAGACCATATGTCCATATAGGTTTTATTATGCTTTTATATAGCAATAGCTTGTTTTTTGAAGTGAGAGTTGTGATTTTTTATTAAGTAGCCAGTACATAGTACGCAACTGTTGGCCCATAGCTAATCGTTTTGTGAAAATATGCTTTTTCCAGGTTAGGCGTCTATCTAAGTATATTCCAAGATACTTGACGTGATCCTCTTGGGGTAGAGGTATGCCATTTAGAGTGACGGGTGGACATGTTTCTTTCCTGTTTGTAAAAGTAACTTGGACAGATTTGATTTCGTTGGCTTTGATTTGTCGGATTGTCGTTTGTTGGATTAGTCTTTGAGCCATTTGGATAATTGATCGAGACTGTTTTGAAGCTTTTGTGCTGCAATGACTGGTGAATTGTCCATGGATATAATTGCTGTGTCATCAGCAAATGTTCCAGTAACTACTCCATCAGCTGTAAACAGCAGATACAACGTGGGAGCCATGACGCTGCCTTGCGGAACTCCAGCTTTAATAGAATATAGAGACGTTATCTCTTCTCCTTGTTTAACAAAAAAGTGTCCGTCGCTTATATGTATATATATATATTTTTTTTTATGTATTTACTATTCTAATTATTTGTTTAGTACACCCTACCGCTTTCTTCTTTTAATGAATCCTCTGCCCTAAGGTTGCCTGGAAGAGATTGCTGTTTTAGCGATAAGGCCGCCTGTTGTACCCATGTGTCTTTAGTTATAAATCCTTTATTTCTACTGGTGTACAATAAAGTATATTTTACTTTTACTTATTTATCTACTTAAACATGACGAATATAAAAATTGAAACATAAGTTTCAAAATTGTGACTTTCCAAATTCCTTAAAATGGGCACCTTAAAAACCACTATTTATACATTAACAATGTATCAACTTGTTAATAAAATTAAGGTAGCAAAGGCTACATTTAATTTTAATTAAAACTTGTGAAAGGATATGTCTGTCACATTCTGAACAACCAGTTTACTTTTAAAAGTATGTAGGAACTAATAAATATGTAATGCTGTTTTTAATTACATACCTATTCCTAGAACTTGTACAAAGAATGTCTTGAATATTGTCGTTCATAGTAGTGTATAAATAAAAACTTGTTTTCATTATACTGTTATATTAAATCAGTATTTAAGGAAAAGTTGATGATATTACTCACTTGGCAGCTGTGTCCACAGGTTTTGCAGCACCAAACACCTTTTCCGCCGGGACAGGTTTGGGTTTTTCTGGTTTGTCTTCTATAACACCATCTGCTGGTTTGGTGGGTACTTCGGGATCACGCGGGACAGTCCGCGGTAGCAGAATTAGTTTCGGACGCTCACGAGGTTTCGTGTCTAAATATAATTAAAGTTTGTTATTACTAAAACTGGAAATGAAAAAAAAAAAAACTTTTACCTGTATGGATATTGCAAAAGGTCATTAAATAATATTAATCAATATTAATAATTTCAGGCTTATTTATAAATACAAGTTATACTCATACAACTTGGCACCAGGTATTTCTATAGGAATCATTACAAACATTACAAAATCTGATGCCCTAATGCCCGGTTTCAGAATAACTGATCATAGTAATTAACTAATCAGCTGTCAAACAGGGTGTACGCTTGTAAGAATCTCTTTTAATAATTTGATAAATTTAGATAGTTTAAAATTATAACAGTTTGACCATTCTAGTTTGAGTTCTTTGAGTTATGAATGCTGTACCTTCTCTCAGGTCACGATCGCGATCACCAAACCCTCTTCCACCGAATCCCCTTCCATCACGGCTCCTGTATTATAAACATAAATAAAAATAATACCAAAACAACTTCACTAAGGGCTTCTTTCATTCAAAAGTAAACCACTGATTAGTTACTTTCTTAATAATGATAATTGGCAAGTAAAAGTCACAAGCATCCCTTGTCAATTTCACAAATGAAATCAAAGGTCCAAGTAACAACTTACTGTTTTTTTGTTCCTTTATGGTTTGCCAGTGTCAACATAAATAAATATACGAAAATGAAGTCATTTTCTGTTGAATTACTTAGAAACAAGACAGTTATATTGGACATATATGCTGAATCCATGTAAGTTTAACTTACTGGTTAACACCAAGCAAGGCATTGGGTACTATAGTACCATGAAAATAAGGGACTGACTTATTGAATGTTGGCTTTTGATTTAAATAAAACAAATCACACGGATTTTTTTTTGGATTAAGTTTAAAAAGAAAGAAGTGCTAATTTTGCTTTAAATGGACTAATTAATTTATAATAATTAATTCGTCCAAAAATATTAATTAATTTTAAGTTTATTTTTTCTTTTCAAGATAATTGAATAAAAGCTTGTTTTTAAGTAGTTTGTTTTACCATTAATTTATTTATATTATTTGTATCGAAGAACATTCAAATTAATCTAACTGATGATCAATCAAATTAAACATTTCCACTTTTATCATCCTTACTAAAAACGAAATAGCCAACTGACAATAGCAGTGGTGTAGATTTGTGTTTAAACCGTCAGTTAAACATACATATTGGCAGATGAAGTAGCAAGTAAGTTACGGACTAGTTTAACCCTTGGTTAATGCCACATTGTAAAATTTGTACAAGCAGTTATCGGTGACTTTAAAGTGGTGATTAGGCTAACCACGTTAAAGTTGACACTTTAGTACCAGATGGTGAAAGAAGTTCAACTGTAGGGGGGTAGGACTTGCAGATAGATTTCAATAATAATACCATAAAAAATTATGAGTTGAAACCAATATAACAATTTCTTCTTTTCAATATAACAGATAATGTTTATACAGGATAGTTTTTCTAATTGTATCCATTTTTTTCAATTAAATTCTAGATATAAATAATGTTATATAAAAAATGATAAATATTTAAAATCACTCTTAAGTAATTAATTACATTCATTTGAACTTATTTCAAAAAGTGCGAGATTTATACGCAACTCATTTATTTTCCGCGCGATCATTCATAACTAACGTTTTAAGTTCGTGCACAGTAAAATTTAGGTATTTATGAATGACTACCGCATAGTCAACACGTTCTGTTATTTAAGGGGATAGAATGGCATTTTTTTGGAAAAAAAAAACTTTGTTTTTTATTTCAATAAACGACTATACTACCGAGACTGAACCTCCTGTGTAAATTTGGGCACTTCTCAAAAAATCTCCCTGTATACAATTTTTCTCGTTTGTAAAATTTTCACAATTGTTAAATAATCCAGTGAGGTACATTTGATGTAATTTTTCAAGTAACTTTCGAAACTGTTGGCGCTGGCAACACTGTATACCGGATATGACGTAGCAGACGATGCAGCAGCGGTCATTGGCATTTTCGGTTGCATTCCTGGATGGTGATATAGCCACTAGTGCTGCTTGTTGTTAATATTCAAGTTCAGTTATAGTTAAAACATTAGAATCTTATAAAACTGGCATCAATTAGCATAACTCACCAAATATTATTTACAATTGGATGTAAATTATAGTAATGTATATCAGACAAACAAAGTAATGTTAACCTACCCGAATCCGTCACGCTCAGATCTGAAACCCTCACGGCCTGCGTAGCCACCGCGCTCGCCATCCCGGCTGAAACCTCCTCGTTCTCTTCCACTGAAAATAAACAATTCATGAGCATATTACAGTAATAAGCATAAAATCCAGGTTGTTAAAAAATCTTTACTAACAAAAATATAAGTACAGTACGTCGATTATCCGAACCACTGCGCCAGCTCGGCTCGCAAGTGCCTACCTTCCTCCCGCGCTAGTGCCTTGCACTTGTCTCGACTTGTCTTGTTAAGGCTCATTTACACGATGCCATTTTATTGTACATACAAGAGAAATAATTGAATGCAGTAAATTAAGCGCAATAATTGACCATCAAGAATTGTAAGCTACTGTTTACACGCAGATATAGTAGAAAAAAATGAATGCGATAATTGAATGCAAGTCTTGGCAAAAATTGCAAATGTCTTTTGTTTACACCAATACAGTTATGTTTAGAAAATTATTGCTTTCAAGTAGTGTTGCATATCCATAGTCTGCTATCGATAGACAATCGATTATTTATTGATAATTAAGGTAAAAGCAATAGTATCGGTAGTCTATCGATAGTATTGTCACATGTCAATAATGCATGTGATAGTATCGATAGTATTGCAATTGTCATTAGTTTCTGACAAAAAATATTGATACTATCGATAGCCCCGATAGGTTTGTACTATCAATAGCCAGTAAAAGGCTCAACAGAACACACTATTGTGTGTGCTATTTACACCAATAAAAGATTTGAAACAAAACTTGTTTAATAGTCAAGAATGTTATGTGTTGTTTAGATCATTATGAAGCTCAAGTCATTTATTGCTTTAATTTAATTGTATACAACAGGCAAAAAACTTGCATCATGTAAATGGGCCTTTAGTTGTACTTGTATGTCACACACTTAAATTGCCATAAATGTGATGAAGACTTTCAACAATAGATGGATATCGAAGATAAAGTTTGACTGGTTATCATATTACCCAGGATAGCGAAATATTAGACCTTATAACTAACTTCAAACATTGGTTGCCATGGTAATACCGCAAACTAAGACGCTTTTTAACTTCATCATGCAGCTGTTAGGCCGTCGATGTGCGCAGTCGTAAAAATTTTATTTTCATATTTTTTCCAAAGAATTAGAACTTCAAAAATAAAATCTTCAGATACATTCTATTCTGAAATTTTCAATGGAGGAATATCTTAGCAAAATGCTTACCGTTCATCTCCGTAACGGTCCCGTCCGAAAGAGTCGCGGCCGCCGTACGGAGTCCTAGCTGGTTCCGCGGGCGCAGGCCGATCGCCATCGCGCCATCCACCAGGCTTGTTGTCAGTGCTCGCTGGGAAAACGTATAACTAAATATTCTGTTCCACAACACTTGACTGTAGCAATTGTATAATCTATTGATAAATACATAAAGCCACTCAGTATTAAATGGAAACGGCCGACGGAGCGAGCTAAAGACTAGTCTGAATTGAGTTACGACAAGGTCGTGTCACAGATTGTACTAAAACAGCTGGTCACAGAGAACTTTCAACGGCACACAGGGCTATGTCTCATCCAAAAGGAGTCCCAGACTTAACCACTGGGCCTATGTTTCTGGTGCCTCCGCCATTGCTAGTAAACAACGCTCCCGTCTAGAGAGTAGGAAAACACATTGACCTTTACTCAGACCTTCCCGAGACAGAGTGAGTAATTGTGATCATAGATTTTATTAAATATAGTAGAGTAGGTAATCTATTTGCCGATTTTTGATAACCTGTTTTGTTACAAAACACATTTGAAACAGAAGGAAATGAAAAAGAATCAGCTCATGAAATAGAAAAATCTAATGATCATACTCTGCATGTATGTCCCAAGTGTGACATTGTAGCTCGCTCCATGGCTAATTCTTTTTTAATCATCATAGTGACTAGTAGTTAAGTTGTCTTTGTTAAGTTAAGTTGTCTTTACAAAAGTAATACAGTCAAATTATATTATTATTTATTAGTAACAATTTTTCCCAAAAATCAATATAACAATATTAAATCAATATATCAATATAACATAACTTTTAATACTAGTGAGGTTGTCAGCATCTTTGACCAGTTAGTTGGTTTGCATATACATCCACAATAAGTGATCAGTTATAACAGGTGGATAAATTTTTATGTTAACAAAATAATAATATGAATGATATATATAATAGCATGGCCAGGGTTGTAATCTCTAATACTTTATATTAGCAATTATTGTAAGATTGATCTGAATCTCAGAAATAGTTCCAGATTTTCATGAAATTTAGCATGCTGGGCCTGGGACACAAATATTGTTACAACTTTTTCATGTTCACTCTTTCACGACAACCTTGTCTGTTGATTTGTTTAATCTAGCAACAACTGTCGTTAACATTGAAAGATCTTGGTATAATAATAATAAATTTTTCAGACACAGTTTTACACAACATACTTAGTCCCCAACTAAGCAATGCATGAACTATGGGTACTAGAAAACTGATAAACATACATAAACACACTTTTCTTTTGTAAATAAACACATATTAATACTACTAGTATTGTCGATACTAACAGTCTCTCTCGCGTTCCCGCTCTCGGTCCATTGGACGGGCGCGGGCCTGAGGCTCGGGCGCTGCGCGCGGACCAGCTCGCCAATCACCCATGGTTCGCTCCGGGTCATAGTCCCTGTAATAGTATTCCAATATAAATCGCTCTACCGTTGACAAATAACAGTTAAAATGGCCACGTCATTAAAAGTCCTATTATTATTGTCACCTTTATATGAAGTAAATTCTTAATTAGATTTTAAAAATTAACACTTGAATGCTTAATATTCACTACAAAGTTTAAAACTGATAATTAATAGTACCTAATTATACATTTAACCAGAAACATTAACTTTTAAACATTACAAATTTTAAAAAATAATGTATATTTACAAATGACAATACATTGTTTAATGGGGCACTTATAAAAATGCCCCATTATAAATAATAAATGTTTTTCTGTTTAATGTAGTTACACTCAATTAAAAACAAAACTACATACCTGTCGCGATCAGATCGCCCGCTTCTGCCCATACGGCGGTCATTATCATTATTGGAGACTTCTATTCTTATTCTTCTGCCTCCAACAGTCTGCATAATATAATTTTTTTTTAATGTATGACATACAATATAACATTATCTATTGATGCCTTATTACCTCATGTAACCTCAAAATTTTAATGCATCTTTAAACATGAATTAATAAAGTGTACTAAAATTGTGAAACTAAAGAGGACCATACTCTTTTCTGGAATAAAAGAATTTAATTTTTTACATACATATACAAATAGTATATTGCATCCTTACTTTGATTTTTATGTCCCAAAACAATAGCTACTTTGTGTTTTTCAAACTTAAATTCCCTATATGAAGTTATTTTTCTTCAGAAGTTGCTTAGTTTATCCAAGAACTAAAAGGGTAAAAACTTAATCATAGAGAAATATATAGCTCTCTTGTTAGGTGTGAAGTATGGTATTCACTATTAAGACAGATAACATTAAAAAACTAAATAATACATTCATAGTCATCACTTACCAGATCTTCAATATTCATTGCACTAATAAGACTTTCTCTGTCTTCAAAGTCCACATAACCATAACCTTTTAGACGCCCACCCTCTCGTGGAAGTCTCAAGTTGGTAATCTGTAAAGAAAATATTTAACTTAAAGTAATAGTGTGCTCAATAACATTATTAATTTTATATTCACAATTTAGTTCATGTTAAATTTTATCAGTAGATTAACTATTACAAAACTTTCTCTTAAAACTGTATTCTATTATTGCCTATATTGTATTAACTGTCAAGTTTTAAATATTTTGCTGTAATCACAGAAATTCCAAATAATATTTTTTTACATGCACTGTTTAAAGAAAACTATAAAATGAAAATGGAATTGGTATGTTGATTGTCATTAATTTTGTATTCTACCATTATTTTCTAGTCTCAATATCTTATTAATTCTTGGATATCAATGTTTATATAACTTAAAATCTTAAAAATCAACAAACTGTTGGAGCTACCTACTTCTTTTAAATGAGTCAAATCCTCAGTTATGCCTTACTTCTACAAACTTTAATGTTTAAAAATCTCAATTCATTCAAAAAATAAACTAGTAAAAGACAAAGTATATCTATTGACATGATGAATGTACCTTAAGGCCCTCAAACAGGTCAGCAATGGCACTCTCCTCCATATCATAGGGCAAGTTCGAAATGTGGGCGATGTAAGGGGGGCGCCTTGGAATGCTATCCTCGTCGACGGCCATTCCACCGCGTGCAGCTCGCGACGCCGATGGCAGAACCACCGGCGCGCGGGGCCGCGAGGAATAATTAAAGCTTTCCGCTACGGACAAATAATTGATAAAAACATTAATAAATATATATTATATAGTTTTTATTATAGTGTTTATTATCCACAATATAATGTTTTTAAATAGATATTGGTTTTAGCATTAATATTTAACAATTATTTCATGACATATGTTTAACATGGTTGAATCAAATAAAAATATTTTACACTTGTAATGGAATGAGAAAACATATTTTGTTTGTTATTGTTTTTATGATAAAAAATATATATATTATTTCTAGGTTTTCTCAACTCAATGACAGATTGCATTGATACAATATCTTTGTGTAATATCTTAACTCTGTGTATGTAAGAATTGTAGAATAAACCTAATTTAAATTACATTTTGTAGTTATTAGGCAAACTTTGCCATGCAACAACTTGGACCAGTTACTTGACATTGAGTCACTGGTAAACACACAAAAAATCATTTGAACACTGTGAATGTATTCAATGTGTTTAATACTCCTCTGGTAGTCTTTGGTAGATAAAACTGAGAGAATTGTCAACAATTCTATAATTTTTTTATTTTTTAAGTTATTGTTCTTTTCAAATAATAGGAACAAACTATTTGTAATGTAAATTTACTGTGATAATTGTGTCAACAACATAATTGAATTTCAAAATATTGATCTTATATTTAAGAAATAGTAAAGTAAAACAGTAATTTCAAGCTGTACTTAATTTTGAATAAGGATAAATTCTTGCTTAAATAAATTTATAGTGTAGTAAAAATTTAAAGAAATGAAAAAAGTTTAAGTTTTTATTAGTAGTCATATCAGACAAAATGTCTGATATGAACATTACAAAAAAATTTATGTATCACTTATGTAAACAAGTAATGTGTAATCATGTAAATACAAGTAATTATTATGTATCAAATAATAACACTAAAAAATGAAACAAATTATGGAGTGCCTTTTGTACCCTTTTGAGTTAGTTTTACACTTATTATATTATAAATGAATTAGCCCTCAGCTGTTATTGGGAGCAAGTCAATGAAAGACTAGTCTGAATTGAGTTATGACCTCAATCACCTCGTAGATTGTGCTTAAATTGCTGGTTGCAAGGGATTTCAATAGAATCAATACCTATGCCTCCTCCATACACCCCAGTGTTGGCGTCATAAGCTAGGTATTGAACTATAATTTCTGGTCCCCTCACCTTCTCTATTAGAGAAGCATCCGTCTAGAATGTTGAGAAAACACAAAGACCTTTACTCAGACCTTCCCGGGGCGGAATAAGTGACTGGCACTCGGTACGTGCGCCCCAAGTACGAGATTAACATTGACTTGCCATTTCCCGTTGCATCATCATTGGGCTTATAAATACCAAAGTTCTACCGCACAAACAGCTACTTACTTTCATCATCTATAGAATCGGCCCAATTGTTTGTCGTGGATATCGTCGTCGGCTCCGCAATGATGACACCCATGTTGGCTTTGATCCATTTTGCCTTCTTTGATTTCTTGCCTGCAAATTGTTATAATATGATTAAAAATAACTATGAAATGAATGGCGAAAAAATGGCGAGCTTAATAAAGGGCACATAACGATGACGCATGGCAAGTGATCGACCTAGGACGATTTTGGAAAGCGGTTATTCGAGACATTCAAAGGACAATTTAGAGTAACATCTGGTAAGGCCAATTTTTAATTAATGTTATAATTTTTAGAAAAAAGAAACAGTAACGAATAAATTTTCGTAAAATTACACGTAATAAAAGTAAGAAAGGTGGCCACGCGGTAAATCCAAACGTCTTGCAGAGGAGAAAAGTTGACACGTTAGCATTATAAATTTGAGATTTATAAGTTTTTACCTTCATATTAGGGTAAATAAACAAGAAAAACACTAAAACTAGCGAAAAACAATAGTAATGATACTAGGAATAAAGAAGAAACTGGGGGTTTAGCATATGACAAAATTAAGAGAACTAACCTGTAGCGGCCATATTACAAGGCTGGGGCCTGGGTTGCCACTGATTGAAAAAATTGGTTTACTCCAGCACTACCATGAAATGTCTGCAGTAGTGATACCATAGTGCAAAATATTTAAAATAATTAATATTATTCGAAATAATTAATACAAATACACAAATGTGTGAATTATAGTTATAAATTTGAGCATTTACTTAGACATTTTAAATTAATATAAATACCAAAATTTACTATGTAAATAAATTTAAAAAAATGTAGATAATTAGCCTTTGTGGGTAATCATACAATATGCCGTACTACAAAAATTATTATTTTTTTATAATTAAAGGAGTTGAAATAATGAACATATATATTAACCTTATGAAGCCCTTTTGGTGTTACATACATTAAAATAATTGTGCTGTGTATACATCCCTCACCATCAATATCATCGTGGTCGAATCTTAAATTAACAGCTATTTTCGAAAGAACTATTCTCACATCTTAAATAAATATGGTGTTGAAAAATAGGGTCCAGCGACTTAGCAGAATTCCAGGAAAGGGAGACTCCACTGTTGACTAAAGATACAGATGTCGCCACAGTCGAGAAATGCTCCAGATTCTAAATCCTTTATTTTGTGAAATGTACTCCATTTGATTTCGTGTTCATTTATACGCGACTATCGAAATCTTTGTCACACGGGGGATTCTTCGATTGCAACGACGCTAAAGGCTTAGCCCCCATGGAAACGTAGAGTTGCAAGACCTGTGTATAAAGTACGCTCCTGGATGAATAAAAAAAAACAACAGAAGTGTAATAAAAAATATAATATTATATAGGCCATGGTTCGATATGTTCTGTTACAACGTTTTTGAAAAAGGTCATAGTATTCATTATTGTTATTGTGCAATCACATTCATTATTTATTCATTATGATTTTTAGTATTGGAGTGTTTGAGCCGAGATTTTTGCAAATTGCTAGATTTTTGACACACTTGTTTTATACGAAGATAGTCTCAAAGCTTATTAAGCTCGAGGAATTTTTTAATTTAGTTTCTTGAAATGTGAACTGTCCATTCACATTACAAGAAATCCATGCTAATATTCTAAATGCGAAAGTAACTCTGTCTGTATGTCTCGCTTTCACGCCAAAACTATTGAAGCGATTTAAATGCAATTTGGTATACAGATAGTCTAGAGTCTGAGAAAGGACATAGGCTATTTTTTAATTGGAAAAAAAGTGTTGTAAAGAGTTGAAAGGTTAAAGAAAGATATTTATATATGGGCTTCGACGCGAGCGAAGCCGCGGGCAAAAAGCTAGTATCAAATATACGTGGGGCGTACTAAAAGTTTCCAAAATGAATAAGAAAAAATACTATCAAAGTTCAAAAATGAATGTACTGTTTCTCAAATCTTCTTAAAAGGGATATTCCTTTGCGTAAATGCACTTTTTCATACGATTAAACCAATTTTAAAAACATTTGACCATGAAAATCGTCGACCGCGTAAATGGTTCTTAATTTTTGGGAACAGAAAAAGTCAAAAGGTTCCAAGTCGGGACTGTATGCAGGATGGCTCATAAGTTCTACGTTTTTCACCTTCAAATATTCATTTGTCTGTGTGGCCGTGTGGGAAATAGCATTGTCGTGGTGTAAGATAATACGCCGTTTACGGTTATTTAAACGCCGTTATCAATAACTCCACCACTGAGATTGACATGACCGTGTTTGAATTCCGCAAACCAGCTATAAATAGTTGTCTGGGATGGCGCTTCATCGCCAAAAGCAGATTGAAGCCGAGCAAGGCTCTGTGAACTGTCAAATTACACTTAAAATCGTAAAAAATCACAGTACGAAAATTTTCCCAAGTTAAATCCATGGTGATTTAGACACGCAATTTTTAAAATGGCAGCACAATATAAAAACAGCTAGAGTTTCATTTTCAAATGTTGTAATTATTTTTTAAATATTTATTTATTTATTTATTGTTATATGGAAAACAACAGCATGAATACAAATAATAAAATATAAGAGATGAGACTTATAATTAAAACCAATTACAGTTTTCCTTTTGAAAGACTTAATAATAAGGTACGAACAACAAATACAATGTGTTTATGTGCGTGTGCGTGCGTGCGTGCGTGCGTGCGTGTGTGTGTGTGTGTGTGTGTGTGTGTGTGTGTGTGTGTGTGTGTGTGTGTGTGTGTGTGTGTGTGTGAGTGTGTGTGTGTGTGTGTGTGTGTGTGTGTGTGTGTGTGTGTGTGTGTGTGTGTGTGTGTGTGTGTGTGTGTGTGTGTGTGTGTGTGTGTGTGTGTGTGTGTGTGTGTGTGTGAGCATGTGCATGTGCATGTGATGAGTGTATGTGCTTGATTATTGTTCAAAGATTTTGAAATGTGGCCAATGATTCAATAACAAGTTTCTTAAACTTCTTCCTATTTGAGTGGAAGGGGTCGACATTACAAAATTTTGAATTGTATGAGCGTGGTATGCGATTTGATGAATACCGGGTGTGAGAGAGCGAAACGTGAAACAAACGACTATTACTGTGACGCCTACGCTTAGACGGTACATTAAGCGAAAGCCTAGATAGCAGCTGTGATGACTCTATTTTACCTGTTAGTAACAGCATATCTAATAATTCACGTCTGTCGTACAATGGAAGTAATTTTTAGTATTGACAACAGTCTTTATATGAGAGACCGTTATGGTAAGTTTTGAAATTGAGATATTTAATAATTTTTTTTTAAATAAACTTTTTCTGAATCGATTCAACAGCGTTTATGTAAGTTGCATATTGCGGAGACCAGACGCAAGAGGCATATTCCAGAGTACTTCTTACACACGCAAAGTACATTCTTTTTATACATTCGACATGATCAAAAGGTTTAGACACTCTAAATATGAAACCAAGTGTTATATAAGCTTTTTCGACTATATAATTTATGTGATCTACCATAAGAAGTTTCGAGTCTAATAGAACTCCTAGGTCTTTCACTGTATTAGAATTTTGAAAGGGAATTTTGTTTATGGTATATTGAAACAAAATCGGACAGAATTTAAGCGTAAATGTTATCTGGATACACTTCTCTACATTAATGCTTATTCTATTTTTATTGTAATATTTTACCAAGTTGCCTAAATCATTCTGAAGAAGCTAACAATATTCTTTTTTTCTTACTGTAATGTAAACTTTTTTTATCGTCTGCAAACATTAATACACTGGATGCAAAACATATGTCTGAATGTCGAATAAATAAGCGTTATAGAGAAGCGGGCTCAAGTGGGATCCTTGTGGCACGCCAGATTTTACCGAAACAAAGATCGGATCTGCAACTCCCTATTACAGTTGCTTGTTTTCTGTTAGAAATATACGTTTTTATCCAGCGGTACAAGTCTCCATGTATTCCCAACAACTGGAGTTTGTGCAGTAAGATGACATGATCCACTCTGTCGAAAGCTTTTTCAAAGTCAGTGTAGATCACGTCAACCTGTGCCCCATCTTCCATATTCTTAAATATGTCGTTTGTAAAGATACTAAGATTAGTGACGGTAGATCGATTTTTAATAAAACAATGGTGTGTATTGGGAATAGCAATAAAAGGATACAGATTCTTATATACAATTTTCTCCAATAATTTTCCTAGCACATTCAAAATTGATATGGGACGGTAGTGATCTATTTTAGTCCTAGACCCTTTTTTATGGATTTTAATTACATGTGATTCTTTCCATTTAGAAGGAATCACTTCACTTAATGACTATTTACCTCAGAATTTTATTAAACGTTACCATGTCAATAATTTTTAAAGTAGACGTATTAAAATAGGCACATATCTTTCTGTATAAAATGTGGGAATACGCTTTATCCCCAGGTGAAACAGTTCAGAAAAATTTTGCCTGAATACTTTCGAGGAGATGTATATGCAACGCGTAATAAGGATTCCAAACAATACTGCAGTACTCCAGTTTACTACGAATTAATCTATTAAAGACTTTAACATAAGACTAGACTTTAAGATAAGATAGACTTTATCATAAGACTTTAACATATTCATGGATAAGAAAACCTTTACAACATCGGGAAATAAATCCAAACGTCTTGCTACAAGTATTAAATTATTGCTAAAGTATTATTGCTATAAGTAATCATAAATATTTTAGGGAATATGATGCATGCAGTCCATGAGTCTCGTACCGTAATTTTACAATCTAAATCCATATGATTAATAGAATACTGAAAGTCAGTTTTCTTTACAGCGCTACATGAGAATTTGATACAAAAGCATTTTTGGACGTTAAGAAATATGTGGTTATTATTACACCATGTCGTGGGTGATCCATATCTCGTAGCAATAGTATGCAATATTCATTTGTATTAACACTACGAAATATTTTAAAATCATCCGCATACATCAAGCATGGGAGAAGATTATATCTACGGCTAAATTTTCTGAATCAGGAATACACAGTGTTGCGACATGGCGCTTCATCAACAAATGCCAATCGAAGTCGCTGCAAATTTATTGTTGAGTTAAGCTACATCGTAAATCATGAAAGTCGCTATTTATACTGTCGTCTCTTTTAATAATAATAATTTAGTTGCTGGTTTAGGTTGTTCTTCAGCCACTAAAATTTCGGAGGCATCAATTTCTAAGGCCGGATGAAAATGATCTTCTAATATTAAAGGAACGTTTGGTAACGATACCCTAAGGTAAGTATTACTAATTAATAAATTAAGAATATGATTACTACAGTTCTTATTAAAATTGTATTGGTTAAGTCAGGAAAAATTCAGTTTGCATATAAAATTTATGGACGTGTTTTGAATCTCAGTAGTTCCTACTCGTATATGATTTGGGCCCGATGGTGTCCAGTGAATATTCAGTAAGTTAAAGTCACCCGCTAATATAATAAAATCATTTGGATGTATAGTTACCACCGAGGAGATTACTTCCTCCAAAAGCGCCAGACAATAAGACTGCAAATTATCGCCAGGAATGTATGCTAACCCAATGTGTCCGGGCGACGTTGTACT